TCAATCATAAAATTTTAAGTTTTTCCCCCTTAAATTCAGTTAAAATCCAATGTTATTGATCTAGAGATTGAAAATATATAACTTTATAAATCGACAGTTAAATTATTTTAAGAGTTTTAAGTTATTTTAGAGAAATTCCCTAGCTAGTTAAACATACACATAGATTCAAATCTTATGGCTTTATGTAAGATTGTATAGCATATATGTAATTACAAATCATTATAACTTCTCTAAATGATGTGGTGAGTTGGCATCACAATAGAAGATGAAAAAAATTCGTATTTATAATTTTCTAAATACGTCCCTTCTTCTCCTATTTCCTTAATAGTACATCACTTTGTTATAATAATACTCCACATTTACTAAATGTTAAAATTTTCTTAACTTTTGTTCTCTTTATTGATAATTATGTATTTGTTTGTCAAATTCTATTCATAACTTAACACATTAATGTGACGTACTTATCATTTTAATGTAGATAACGATAGAGTTGAAGTTGATGATCAAGTTGTCATCACCATAGTTTCAAAAAAAAAAAATTGTTGTGAACACCATTTAATGTTTTCTAGAAATCGCTAATTCACTATTATCTTTTCCGGGTCCATTCAAGTTAATTGGCCAGCCACTTCAAACGGAAAAATGACGGTGGTTCTTCTCCATCCGTACACCACTACTATTGGGCCGTCGGGGAAATTTTGAATATTTTTGTTTATTTGTGAAGTTCGTATAAAAACTATGGATTATTCATTACGACTAGACAGGAAGAAAAAAAAAACACATTAATTTATGTTCCCATCAACCACGTGGCTTAGAGCAAGTTGCCATTATTCAACATTTCCAATTCAATAAATACAAAACATTGATTTAGTCAAAACTTTACCACTAGCTACATTGTCTATATATTTACGTAGTTACGTACCCTCCACAACTCATTACTCTTCACTCCAAAACATAATACGAAACAAGAAATTAAAACAAGAAATGACTATCTTTCTCTATTTGATCTTGCTCTTACCTCTTCTTCTAATGTTTTTCAAAAAGCTCTCACATTCTAAAGGGAAGCTTCCTCCGGGACCAATAGGTCTTCCGGTTATTGGAAATTTGCATCAACTTGGAAAATCTCTCCACAGATCTTTCCATACTCTCTCTCAAGAGTATGGACCAGTGATGTTTCTTCGTTTCGGTGTGGTCCCTGTGGTTGTCTTCTCCACAAAAGAAGCAGCTGAAGAAGTTCTCAAGACTCATGATCTCGAGACTTGTACCCGACCAAAGCTAGCCGCGACCAAGTTGTTTTCTTACAACTACAAAGACATTGGTTTTGCTCAATACGGTGATGACTGGAGAGAGATGAGGAAGCTTGCGATGCTCGAGCTCTTTAGCTCGAAAAAGTTAAAAGCTTTCAGGTATATCAGAGAAGAAGAGAGTGAATTGCTCGTCAAGAAACTCTCGAAATCTGCCGAGACACAAACTTTGGTGGATTTGAGAAAAGCTCTCTTCTCTCTTACCGCGAGTATCATATGTAGACTCGCCTTTGGACAGAACTTCCACGAGTGCGATTTTGTCGATATGGACAAAGTGGAAGAGCTTGTGCTCGAGTCTGAGACCAATCTTGGCTCCTTCGCGTTCACTGACTTCTTCCCGGCGGGTCTTGGGTGGGTTATAGACCGGATCTCTGGCCAGCATTCGGAGTTACACAAAGCCTTTGCAAGACTTAGTAACTTCTTTCAACATGTGATCGATGATCATATAAAGCCTGGACAACCTCAAGACCACTCAGACATCATTGGTGTCATGTTGGATATGATCAATAAACAAAGCAAAGTCGGTTCTTTCAAAGTCACTTATGATCATCTCAAAGGAGTTATGTCGGTGAGTATAACAAGATAATCTTTAATTTTTTCTATTTATAGTATGTAGCAATCTTTTCAAGATTTATGTTTACAAATTCATTGACGACAGTCAAACACTATGACTAACATTAATTTGTTTGTTATATGATCAGGACGTGTTTTTGGCGGGAGTGAACGCAGGAGCGATCACGATGATATGGGCGATGACAGAGCTAACCAGACATCCGAGAGTCATGAAGAAACTCCAACAAGAGATTCGAGAAACTCTTGGAGACAACAAAGAAAAAATCACCGAACAAGATCTAGAGAAAGTCCAATACTTAAAATTTGTGATTGAAGAAACATTCAGATTACACCCACCAGCTCCTCTCTTGCTCCCAAGAGAGACAATGTCTGAGATAAAGATCCAAGGCTACAATATTCCCAAGAACACAATGATCGAGATCAACACTTACTCAATAGGACGTGATCCCAATTGTTGGGAAAACCCTAATGATTTCATCCCCGAGAGATTTGTGGATAGCCCTGTCGAATACAAAGGTCAACACTACGAGTTGTTGCCATTTGGAGCTGGTCGCAGGATTTGTCCTGGGATGGCCACGGGGATAACTATCGTCGAGCTCGGTTTACTTAACGTTCTTTACTTCTTCGATTGGAGTTTGCCTGATGGAATGACCATTAAAGACATAGACATGGAAGAAGCTGGAGCTTTCGTCATCGCCAAGAAAGTTCCTCTTGAGCTCATACCAACACCACATCAATGGTGAAGTCGTGAAGAAAGGTGAATAATATACGAAAAAAAACAAAAAAGGGTCTATTATTTCTTTGCGTGGCTCTCTAGCAATCAGTTTTATTTTGGTTTTGTTTTGTTTTTCTCTCTTTACGTTCGTTATGAGTTCATCAAATCGGTAAATTTTAATGTTTCATTGTGTATAAATCATGTTCTCACTAATAATAAAAACTTCCGATTGTGACGGTAGTAAATCATGTTCCAAGTTTTAGTTTAGCGACTATTTGAATAGAATTCAGTTTGAGATTGACATAAGACTAAAAGAAAGTACAAATACATATGTAGAATATATTTAATCTTTCTATAATTATCGTTAAGTTATTAAAAGAAAATAATTAAGAATTTACTTAGAAACATTTTCTTTTACATCTTTGGGCATGCATAATCCCATTAATATATATACAATTATACATGTTTGGATGATTTTCAATAGTCATGTACAAAAGATAAGAAAAAACCAGCTCAAACTAAAATCAGCTAAGTACGCAAAAAAAATTCAAAGTTTCAAAATCATATTAACATTTTTACCAAAAAAAAATCATATCCTATATTTTTAAGGCAACTAATTTTGTAGATTTTGGGCCACAAACATAGTGAGACACCAAATTTAATAGGCGGGCCAGGGCCTCCAAGACAATTATATGAACAATCGAGACAAAAGTGTCATTCCCAACGCGCGTAACGCTCGTGAAAGTTTCACGCGCCACTGTAGCTGACGACAAGTTTGACTTACAAATTACTAATTTTTAAACTACGAACGAACCAATAGTGCATCAACTTGTGATTTCAAAATGGAAATTGGTTCCCCAAAGCTTTTTTTTTTCTTTTTCTTTTCAACTCTTACATATATCAATCTCTTATCTGATATTTCATAACCATAAAAAAACACTAAAAAAATTCTCTTACTCTTCACATTTATATAAGTACTGGACAAAGCTCGCAGAAGCATAATTCCAAATGAACTCTTTTCATAAGATAAAGTCAAACCTTTGAAAATTTTATAATTATGGTTGGATCCTGAAAACGTTTTTCAACTACTTCAAAGTTGAAACCATCCAACTTAAAAGACATGAATGCTTATAGTTGATTAAAAAAACAAAAATCATTGTCTCACCTTTATTTGAAAGATTTGACGATTCTAAATAATTGGACTAATTCTTGATAGTTGAGTTGCTCAATAATTGGAGAACTTGTTGGTGCTTGGTACGACTCTGCTTGCATTAAAATTTGATCATAGCCATATACTAACAAAGAGCCATAAATGCGATGATGACATTTTCTTAATGAGTAGTGACTATCCGAAAAATCCAAGCCGCCATTTACTGTTCAATACAAAAATTAAATACCTTTTTTTGTAAACTTTGTTTTTTCTACAAAACCTTTCTTGCAACGGATTGGATAATCCATATTTTTCATGTGTATAGAGAAACTAACTGTCAGCTAACTATGCTTTCTTGCTTCATCTTGGTTTTCATGGCATGATTCTGTTGTGGAGATATTGTGAACTGAATTCTCATTAATCACAAAGGTAATATATATATACAAGTGGTTGTTGTTATCTCTAACTTATATGATGAGACTAAATCTTTTATGATAAGATTCAATTTTTACAGATATACATCAATATATACTTATAGGAGCAACTTACTTGTCCGCCAATCCTGGTTTCCACTCTCGCATGAAGCATCTTGATTATCATTTTGTTCGAGAACTGGTTCAAGCAAATGTGCTACGTGTATCACACATCAACTTCATTGACCAACTCGCAGATGCTTTAACCAAGCTGCTACCTCGGGCACAGTTTAGTTATCTTTCAGACAAGATTAGACTCTATAACTTATTACCAAAAAAAAAAAAAAAAAAAAAAGATTAGACTCTATAACCAGCGTCTATCTTGAGGAGGCATATAAGTATATATTGATGTATATCTGTAAAGATTAAATCTTATCATAAAAGATTTAATCTCATCATATAAGTTAGAGATAACAACAACCACTTGTATATATATATTACTTTGTGATCAATGAGAATTCAGTTCACAATATCTCCACATGTGTTCCCTTCTGTTTAGTTTCGTTATTGCAAGAGGATTTAGAAACTCATACGCGTACACGGAGTGTTTATATTCGTTGATGTGGTGTTGATTTCTTAATAAATCTGACGGATGTGTTTTTGTCCCCACACTTCTACCAAAAAAAAATACAAAACCTTTCCATTGTTAAGTTTCACTACAACCACTAAAATTCTTTCACGATTTTTTTTTTTTTTTGTGTGATACATATACTCCATCCTCTTTTATAAAATATAGAGAGTCACTTTTAGATAATCCCTTAAGCTTAGATTTTTAATTTATATAAGAAAAAACGATTTTGCTGTCAACAAAACAATTTCAAAGTTTCCCGGTTATTTACCATTTTCCACATCAAACCTTTCATTACATGCATTTGTTAATATATTATGGATTGCAATATATATAAATACATCGGCCTACAATGCAAAATAAGATCACTTACAAATCCTAGGAAAAAAAGAGACGACAATACTTTTTCTTTTTTACAATGAAGCATATAGAGAAAAAAAGAAGCACCCTCTCTTACTGTTTTAAGATGATTTATACAATGTATTCTTTGGTTCAATAACGACGAATAGGCACAAGTTCAAGAGGAACTTTCTTGCCAATAATAACCGCACCTTCTTCTTCCATATCGACATCTTTCACTGTCGTTCCTTCAGGCAATGCCCAATCAAAGAAGTACAGCAAATTCAACAATCCCAATTCGACCATCGCGATCCCCATCGTCATACCGGGACAAATCCTTCGACCAGAACCAAAGGGCAAAAGCTCGAAGTTAAGTCCTCTGTAATCAACAGAACTATCAACGAATCTTTCAGGTTTAAAGTCATCAGGATTCTCCCAAAGTTTCGGATCGCGTGCTATCGCGTAAACGTTGATCATGATCTGAGTTTCTTTGGGAATGTCGTAGCCTTGAATCTTGATTGGTGACATTGTCTCTCTTGGTAATAAAAGTGGAGCTGTTGGGTGTAATCTGAATGTCTCTTTTATCACTAGCTTGAAGTAGTTAAGTTGGTTAAGATCTTGTTCTGTGATCTTCTCTCTGTTTTCTCCAAGTACTGTCCTAACCTCATCTTGCACTTTCTTCATCACACTTGTATTTCTTATTAGTTCTGTCATTGCCCAAAGTATGGTCGTAGCACTTGTGTTTACCCCGGCAAGAAATATATCCTAAATCCAATCGCCAAAAAAAAAGAAAAATAAACGAAGTGTAAATAAGATGAATTCATAATGCCGTATACTAGTTCAAGACTCTTGAATCAAGACCATAATATAAAGGGGAAAATAATAATTCTTCATGGTAATTATTACTTACACATGCAAGAAATGGAGTACTATATGACTAAAAATCAGATTGTTACGTTAATGTAACTCATTAACTACCGAATTAATGATTGTTACCATGCATTCTATTTAGCCTTGTATCATATAGTCTAATGATAATCGGTATATATAAAAATGATATGAAAAAAAAAGTTTATACAAATATGATAAAAGAACTTATTCTAGTATACAATTTTTGTTTTCTATATTTTGTTAATGTTATAAATCTTGATTTTTTCATACATTTATCTAGATACAGCTTATAATATGTTCAACGACTTTCAGATAGATTAAAGAATTTTACAAATTGGAGTAAACTATGTATCCATTTTTCATTTGCAACGCATACCTCACATGCACACACAAAAACCACATACCGCTAAAAATCGGATTGTGACATTACATGGCAATACTATGTTAATCGGTAAATATAAAAATGATATGAAAACGAAATTTATAAAATTAAAATAACTTATTCTAGTATACAATTTTTGTTTTCTATATTTTTTTAATGTTATAAATCTTGGTTTTTCATATATTTATATAGATACAGCTAATATGTTCAACGACTTTCAGATACATTAAAGAATTTTGCAAATTGGATTAAACTAGCTTATCCATTTTTCATTTGCAACGCATACCCTACATGCTGACATGCACACACAAAAACTATCTACCGCTACAAAACAGGATTGTGACATTACATGGTGGCAATACTAATGGAAACCACTAGACTAATAATTAAGTCAGATACCACAATTAAGCAAGAAAATAAACAAAACAACTGAGAGAGAGATTAATTTAAATTGCTTACAGAGATGACTCCTTTGATATGATCAGTAGTGAGCTTAAAAGAACCTTCATCGCCTTGCTTATTCATCATATCAATCATCACATCCACAACATCTGGACTCTCTAATACTCTTCTTCCTGGCTTTAGATGATCATCGAGCACTTGGTTAAAAAAACCGTCGAGCTCTGAGAATAGTCCTTCTAAGCTCTTGCTTTGACCGGTAATTCTATCGATAATCCAACCTCCAGGGAAGAAATCAGAGAAAGCGAACTTCCCCTGAAGCTTCTCTGACCTAGACGCTAGTTCCTCCATACCATCTTCGTCGATAAACTCGGATTCGTGAAGATTTTGACCGAAGGCTAGTCTACACACGATACTAGCAACTAAAGTGAAAAGGGCTTTCTTCAGATTCACAGGAGAATGGTTCTGAGCAGCTTCAGAGAGTTTCTTGACCAACAAGTCAACCTCTTCTTCTCTTATATACCTAAAAGAGTTGAGCTTTTTCAAGCTGAATAGCTCGACCACGGCGAGCTTCCTCAACGCTCTCCATTCCTCGCCGTAAGGAGCGAATCCGATGTCCTTGAAGTTGTAAGAGATTTTCTTTGTCGCTATGGTTTCTGGTCGGCTGCAGCAATCTAGGTCATGGGTTTTGAGAACTTCTTCTGCTGCTTGGTTTGAAGAGATTATGACCATAGGGACAAATCCGAAGCGGAGTTTCATCACTGGTCCGTGGTTTTTTGAGAGTTTTTGGAGACATTTGTGTAGTAATCCTTCGAGGTTGTGTAAGTTTCCGATGATCGGAAGTTGTTTTGGGCCCGGGGGAAGTTTTAGCTTTGAGGATTGGAATTTTTGTGTGAAGATTAAAGTTACTAAGAGAAGTAGCAAAAGCCAGAGAAAACAGAGGAAAGTTGACATTTTGTGATCTTGCTCTGATTTTATTTTTCTTTCCTTTTCTATTTTTCCGAGTGAGGAAGAATTAAAATTTAAAGAGAAATGAAAATTTGACTTTTCAAACTTTTTTTTGGTTTTTCTGCTAAAGACTTTTCAAACTTGGAATCAAAGAAAACACTTATCAGTTCAGACTTAATAAGAATAAGAGATGGCTACTCTGACTTCACGGGTCGTTATCCATGTCCATAAGTCAAAAAGACAATCATGACTTAAAAATTAATTTCAATTCCGAGGTAATTATCTTCTAGATGCCTCGGGTTATATAGATATCTTCAATAGCAGGGATCTACATCTGGATAATAAATTAAACTTCTTTGGATACAATCGGGTTATAGATATCCAGATTTATACTAATTTGTTATTTTTTCACTTTAAAAAGTGTTATTCTCTCTTATTTATAAAATATGTAGTTTTATTTTTGTTTCATAAAAGTGTTATTTTGTATTTTTAATACAAATTTTTAAACAAAAATTCAGTTTTAATTTTGTTATATTAATATATTAATTAGAAAAAAAATTTACTTAGTATATTTATAAATAATAGAAAAGATTTTTTAGTAGTTTTAACATTTTTTATGAAACAGAAAGAGTATTTTGTAGTAATTTATATATACAATCGTTATGAAAGGAAAAAATACTTGTAGTCCAGCAAACAGGAAACTTCAATCTTAACAACAAAAATAAATCTCGACCATATTAATCAAATTTTTTTTCATTTAATTATCATGCAATAAATTATTTTGGTAACATGATGTTGTATATGTCGAAGAATACTCAATAAGTATATTATGTCCACAAATTTTAATTCACTTAGACTCAAAATGTCAACTTCAACTATTAGCAATAAACTAATAATGCGTTGAAGGCATCGAAGTTGGAATATTAGAAAATTTAACTTTCTTTTTCATCAACAAGATGCAGAAATCATTCATCAAGATTATAGACGGTAAAAAAGCCACCCACAACCATATCCTCTTTTGGCCATTACTGCATTTGTTTTTTCTATCAATCCATGCCTCCATAGGTTTATGTAAAAGCTTAAATAAGATAATCTTTAAATAGAAGTATACAGTAATATATGGAGGGAAAATATAGAAATATATACTATGCTATTTTTTTTTGTTCCTCGTAATTTGGGCCATCATCACTGAATGATGAAGAACTGGAAGAAACTGAAGAGGGATTTTCATAATGATGAAGCCCATGTCTCCGTTCCAGAACTTTGTTCCCTTTCAAGCGAAAATCGAAATGCAACAATCAACATTTCCAACTACAAAAACAAATAATATCGAAATACTAATCATCGATGATACACATTGGGATGGTTGAAATTAAAGTAGATACAACATCGAAATACAAACCGGTGCATGATCAAACCCAATTTTTAGCAAAATAACAACATTAATTTCCCAACAAGTTTTAAATCTTAAAAAAAAACAAGTTTACTTTTAAGTATGATATAACACATCTACAGTCGCCCATCACATGCGAAGAATGGGAAGAAGCTCAAGAGGAACTTTCTTAACGACAGTAATATCACCAGCTTCTTCCATATCCATATCTTTCATCTCCTCAGGCAATTTCCAGTCGAAGTAGTAAAGCAAGTTCAAGAGTCCCAATTCAATGGTCGCAATCCCTGAAGCCATTCCTGGGCACATCCTCCTTCCAGAACCAAATGGTAACATCTCAAAGCTATTTCCTTTGTAGTCCACAAGACCATCCATAAACCTCTCTGGGATAAACTCTTCTGGATCTTTCCAGTGTTTAGGATCCCGCCCTATCGACCAAGCGTTAACCATTAAAAGCGTTTTTGGTGGAATGTCGTAGCCTTGAATCTTGATTTGACTCATTGTCTCTCTTGGGAGTAACAGAGGAGCAGCTGGGTGTAGCCTTAAGGTTTCTTTCACCACAAGCTTCACGTAGTGAAGCTTATCAAGATCTTCTTCCACGATTCTCTCCTTTTGTTTGATTCCAATGCAAGTTTGTATCTCGTCTTGGACTTTCTTCATCACTCTAGGGTTTCTAACGAGCTCTGCCATCGCCCAAATCATGGTGATGGCGCTTGTGTCTACTCCAGCGAAATATATATTCTAGGTCAACAAAAATACATTAGATTATAAAGTAAGGAATGTGGATATATAGGTTAGATTCAAGAATCATGAAGTAAAGAGAATTTCTTGCTTACTTGGCTGACTCCTTTGAGATGATCAGTGGTGAGCTTGAATGATTGATTTTTTTCTTGTTTATGCATCATATCTAAGAGCGAGTCGATTAAATCAGGACGATCTTGTGTGAAGTTCTTCAATTGATGATCATCAATTATATGATTTAGAAAAGTATCAACCTCGGCGAAAGCGTCATGAAGTCTCTTATGTTGTCCTGATACCAAGTCCATAAACCATCCAAGACCAGCAACGGGGAAGAAATCGGAGAATTTTAAAGTCATATTTCTCTGAGCTTCAAACATCAGTTCTCCGATCTTCTCCTCATTTATATGCTTGTTCTCGAAGAAACTCTGACCAAAGGCGGTTCTAAACACGATGCTCGCAGCTAGGCAAAAAAGGGTTTTGCTCAAATCCACCGGAGATTTCTTCAAAGCCGATTCTCTCAGTTTCTGGACCATCGAGTCATTCTCTTCCTCTCTAACATACCTGAAAGCTCGAACCTTTTTCACGCTGAAAAACTCACGAACCGCGAGCTTACGCAGCTCTCTCCATCCCTCGCCGTATACCGCATTGCCGATGTCTTTACCATTACGCGAGAAAACCCTTGAGGCGGTTCTTTCAGGTCGTGTACAGCACTCCAGGTCATGTGTTTTCAGAGCTTCTTCAGCTGCTTCACTCGATGAGATCACGACCATTGGGACAAACCCTAGACGGAGAAGCATCACGGGTCCGTGTTTCTTGGAGAGATCGTGAAGACATCTATGCAGCAATCCATGGAGCTGGTGTAAGTTTCCGATGAACGGGAGCTTTGGTGGGCTTGGGGGAAGATTCTTTGTCGAGGTTTTGATCTTATTCAAGAAAATCAAAGGTAAGAGAAGCAAGAGGAAAGACAAAAGAATAGCCATTGTGCTCTGTTTTTCTTTCGGAAGCAGAACTTTAAGACGCAGCAGCGCAAGTTCTTTACTAGTTTGATAAATAATAGTGTGAAGGTGTTGCGTCTTAAAACTCTGTTTCTTACATGTCGTTTCATTGTTGTCACTCGTCATGATAAGCTTGGTGAGGTTAAAGATTCTCGTAAACGTGTCATTATCTTAAATTATTAACAATTAACACATGAAAAAAAACATTAAATACGATATGATTAGTGGCATGTTAAAAAGTTATATAGAAGAACATTATATTGGAAAAATATAAGGAAATGGGAAAGACGGAAAGAAACTAAAGAATATTTGTAAGAAACTACAAGAAAGAAAAAACAAATACATTGTTGAGTCTTGACCATATCAACATAAGTGAGAGCGATTCATACATAAAGTTAACATGTCGTTTACTGTTTGTGAAGATAAGCTTTGAGAGGTTAAGAAAAATTCTCTTAAAAACTTGGTGTAAAATATCTGAACCTAGACCAAACAAAACATCAGAAACATATGATTATATTTTAGCAAAAAAATAAAAACTATATGATTATTTTAACCAAGTAAACATACAAAAATCCTCCTAAATCAAATTCAAAAAAGTAAGTTATTCTATTAGAACTATTTGATTTATTTATTAAAAATGAATTTTGATTGTAAAATTAACTTGATCAGTAAAAAAATGTAAAAAAAACAATGAACATAAAAATATTCCGACAGAATGCAGTCTTTTTCTCTTTCTTAATTTATGGTTAATATAACATGCATGCATTACAATTCGGTCTGAAGCCAACTTAGCCAATACATTCCTCCGTTCGAGAACTTTGTTCCCTTGCAACAATCAACAACGAGATACAAACCGGTGCATAAAATCAATTTTTTTAGCAAAATAATAACATTAAATTAAAACTCTAAAAACAAGAACAACAACATAACTCAAGCTCAAGTCTGATCTATTACACAGTTCAACTTCCCTTTATGTTCCTCAAGACTCTGTGACCCCATCACTGGCGAAGAAGAGGAAGAAGCTCAAGAGGAACTTTCTTAACAGCAGTAACAACACCAGCTTCTTCCATATCCATATCTGCCTTCTCCTCAGGCAATCTCCAATCAAAGTAGTAAAGCAAGTTCAAGAGTCCCAATTCAATGGTCGCAATCCCTGAAGCCATCCCTGGGCACATCCTCCTTCCAGAACCAAATGGTAACATCTCAAAGCTGTTCCCTTTGTAATCCACAGGACAATCGATAAATCTCTCCGGGATAAACTCCTCTGGGTCTTCCCAGTGTTTAGGATCCCGTCCTATCGACCAAGCGTTAACCACTAGAATGGTTTTTGGCGGAATGTCGTAGCCTTGAATCTTGATTGGACTCATTGTTTCTCTTGGGAGTAACAGAGGAGCTGCTGGGTGTAGTCTTAAGGTTTCTTTCACCACAAGCTTCAAGTATTGAAGCTTATCAATATCTTCTTCCACGATTCTCTCCTTTTGTTTGATTCCGATGCAAGTTTGGATCTCATCTTGGACTTTCTTCATCACTCTAGGGTTTCTAACGAGCTCTGCCATCGCCCAAATCATGGTGATGGCGCTTGTGTCTACTCCAGCGAAATATATATTCTAGGTCAACAAAAATACATGAGATTAGACAAGTTAGATTCAAGAATCATGAATTAGTAGAGAAATTCGTTTGCTTACTTGGCTGATTCCTTTGAGATGATCAATGGTGAGCTTGAAAGATTCGTTTTGATCTTGTTTAGGTATCATTTCTAAGATGGAGTCGATGAAATCAGGACGATCTTTTGTAAAGTTCTTCAATTGATGATCATCAATTATATGATTAAGAAAAGTATCAACCTCGGCGAAAACGTCATGAAGCCTCTTATGTTGTCCTGATACCAAGTCCATAAACCATCCAAGACCAGCAGTGGGGAAGAGATCAGTGAAACTGAAAGACATATTTATGTGTGCTTCAAGCATCAGTTCTTCGATCTTTTCCTTATCGACATGCTTGTTCTCGTAGAAACTCTGTCCAAAGGCGGTTCTGAATACGATACTCGCAGCTAGGCCAAAAAGGGTTTTGCTCAAATTCACCGGCGATTGCTTCAAAGCCGATTCTCTCAGTTTCTTGACCATCAAGTCACTCTCTTCCTCTCTAACATACCTGAAAGCTCGAACCTTTTTCACGCTAAAAAACTCACGAACCGCAAGCTTACGCAGCTCTCTCCATGACTCACCGTATACCCCAAAGCCGATGTCTTTGCCGTTACGCGAGAAAACCCTTGAGGCGGTAGTGACAGGTCGTGTGCAACACTCAAGGTCATGTGTTTTAAGAGCTTCTTCAGCTCCTTCACTTGATGAGATCACGACCATTGGTACAAACCCTAGACGGAGAAGCATCACGGGTCCGTGTTTCTTGGAGAGATCGTGAAGACATCTATGAAGCAATCCTTGGAGCTGGTGTAGGTTTCCGATGAACGGAAGCTTTGGTGCGCTCGGAGGAAGATTCTTTTTCGAATTCATAATCTTCTTATTGTAAATTAACGAGAAAAGAACGGGAAGGAATAGAAGGAAGAGGAAAGGCAAAAGAATCGCCATTGTTTTGATTTCTCTGTTTAGTGCTCTGTTTTTTTTCAGAGGAAGCGACGAAGTATTAAGGCAAAACAGCAACGTTTTTTTCTTTTTTTTTTTTTTAACTTACGGACACACTGGTCAGTTTGGATATATACGGACACACTAGTCATTTTTGTTCATCGTCAGTGAGGATAAGCTCGAGATGAAGATTGAGAGACCGAGGCCAGAAATTCTTGTGAAATACGTGTAAATATCTGAAATGATAACACATGACAAAAACAAGAAGTATTTGCAATGATCCGATTTGATACATGACACATTGAAAAGTTATACTCCATAAGAAAATTATAAGAGAATGGAAAGACAGAACAGTCGTGAAGAATATGAGTACAAAACTAAAGGAGTATAGAAAGAAAAATAAATAAAGGAAGAATACTTTCTAGTACAAAATATATGATTTACATCAACGAATATACCATAAATTTAGATATGGATATGTGTTGCTCTTTTATTTTGACAGAAAAAACATATACCATTTTTCCAAATTCATTTAGTCGAAATTTTATCAATATATGCATATAAAATTAAGAAAATAAAATTGAAAGATATATATAAAGCAAAATCCTCTCTGTCAACCACTACTTAATGGTAAGGTTGAAATATGTGCATTTTTTTAGGTTAGGAAGTTTTGCACAGCTGACATCCGAATGAGTGAACAACTGTGTTTTTCTATACATTCACAAGACACATTTGCTTTTTAAATCTTTCCTTCTTTTTTTTGTCATCTGGAATTAGATCATAAATCTTTCTCTATGTTAGTTTTTTAAAAAAAAGTTTAGTTTTGTGTGGAGTCTTAACAAAATTCAAAATTCAAATATAGTCTGAGGTCTTCACAAACTTTAGTCTAAAGTCTGATATATTACACAATTCAACTTCTTGTTACTCAAGATTCTGTGACCCTATTACTGGCGCAAAGAACAGGAAGAAGCTCAAGAGGAACTTTCTTAACAACAGTAACATCACCAGCTTCTTCCATGTCCATATCTTTTTCTTCAGGTATTTTCCAGTGAAAGAAGTAAAGCAAGTTCAAGAGTCCCAATTCAACCGTCGCAATCCCATAAGCCATCCCTGGACACATCCTTCGACCAGAACCAAAAGGTAACATCTCGAAGCTCTGTCCTCTGTAGTCTACAGGACCATCCATAAACCTCTCCGGGATAAACTCTTCTGGTTTTTCCCAGTGTTTAGGCTCCCGAGCTATGGACCAAGCGTTAACCAAAAGAAGGGTTTTCGAGGGAATATCGTAGCCTTGAATCTTAATTGGACTCATTGTCTCTCTTGGGAGTAACAGAGGAGCAGCTGGGTGTAGTCTTAAGGTTTCTTTCACCGCAAGCTTCAAGTATTGAAGCTTATCAAGATCTTCTTCCACGATTCTCTCTTTTGGTTTTACTTTTATACTTGTACGAATCTCGTCTTGAGCTTTCTTCATCACTCTCGGGTTTCTAATGAGCTCTGCCATCGCCCAAATCATGATGATGGCACTTGTGTCTACTCCAGCCAGAAATATATCCTGGTCATCAAGAAGGGTGTTTAGGTCAGGTTTTAGATTCAAGAAACATGAACTAGAGATTATTTACTTACCGAGATGACTCCATGGATATGATCAATTGTGAGCTTGAATGAATCATCTTGCTCTTGTATATCTATCATATCCAACATCACATCGACAATATCAGGACGATCTTGAGTTGTGACTCCATGCTTACTCTTCATATGATCATCAGCCACTTTCTTCACAAAAGTATCAACCTCGACGAAAGCGTTATGAAGTCTCTTATGTTGTCCCAACACAAAGTCTATAAACCATCCAATACCAGCAACAGGGAAAAAATCAGTGAATTTGTAAGACATATTTGCCAGAGCTTCAAACATCAATCCTCCGATCTTTTCCTTATTGATTTGCGTGATTTCATTGTAATTTTGTCCAAAGGCCGATCTGAATATGATACTCGCAGTTAGAGAGAAAAGGGTTTTGCTCAAATCCACAGGAGATTGCTTCAAAGCTGATTCCGTCAGTTTCTTGACCATCAAGTCATTTTCTTCTTCTCTGATATACCTAAAAGATCGTACCTTTTTCGTGTTGAAGAACTCAAGAACGGCAAGCTTGCGCAGCTCTCTCCACTCCTCACCGTATGAAGCAAAACCAATGTCTTTACCGTTACGAGAAAAGGTTTGCGTTCCGAGGGACTTGGGTCGTGTGCAACACTCTAGGTCATGGGTTTTAAAAACTTCTTCAGCTGCTTCACTCGATGAGATTACGACAACTGGTACAAACCCTAGGTGAAGAAACATCACGGGTCCGTATTTCTTGGAGAGATCATGAAGACATCTGTGAATTAGTCCGCGGAGCTGGTGTAGGTTTCCGATGAACGGAAACTTTGGTGGACTTGGAGGAAGATTCTGTTTCGAGTCTCTGATCTTCTTGGTATAAATTAACGAGAAGAGAACGGGAAAGAAAAGAAGCAAGAGGAAAGTGAGAAGAATCACCATTTTTTACGTTTTCGTCTGTTTTTTCACAAAAATAAAGTATGAAGACAAAACAACACCGTTTACAAAGTGTCGGAATATGGAAAACGCATTATCGGTTTGGATATAGACAAGGCTAGAAGTACATAAGACAAAACAATATAATTATTATTTTGACAACATAAGTCGGTTGATAATTTATATTGTGATATGTATTAACGTTAGTTACGTTACTGTGAGGATAAGCCTTGGGATGAAGAAGACTTGATAATTTATATTGTGATATGTATTAACGTTAGTTACGTTACTGTGAGGATAAGCCTTGGGATGAAGAAGACTGAGAGTGTGAGGTTTATAATTTTTTTTGTAGGCGGTTTATAAAATTCTATATAATAATATGTGTAATTTTCAGAAATACTATGAAGTATGAATTGCGTCATTCACTCTACCAAACGAAACGAGTGCCAACTTAATAAACCGTACGGTTTGATCAGTGGTAACAGAAGTAATATTTTACATAGGCGAATATATATACAAGGCCACAAAATTAGATATATCAGTAAGTATTTTTATTCTGCAATCTCCCTCTGCTGCGGAATTATCACATCCAACATACATGGACCAGGTGTCTCGAGCATGGTCTGTATAGCCCCTCGCACTTCTTCTCTCCTAGACACACTCCTCGCCGGAATCCCACAAGCTTCTGCAAACTGTAGCATATTTGGGAGTGCCAACTTCTCTCCGGGAAAAGCTTTTTTGTCACTAAGGTACTGGTTGTTTAGTATAAGTATCTTCACAGGAACATTCTCTTTCACAATGGTAGGCAACTCCGGAAGATTCATCAGGAAGCTCCTGTCTCCGTCAATGTACACAACAATCTCATTAGGGTTTGCAAGAGAAGCTCCAATGGCAGCGGAGAGTCCAAAACCCTCTTCTCCGAAGCCTCTTGATGCTAGCCAGTGCATAGGTTTGCTACACTTGTAAAACTGCGCGGCCCACATCTGAAGTTGCCCGGTACCTGTACTTATAACAGCGTTCCCATCCGTTAGCTCATGAAGAAGCTGAATCACATACTGTGGGGGAATGGCCTCTTCAGGCGTCTTGAAGCTCAACAGAGAGTGTTGCTTAAACTCGTTCAACTCATTTCTCCAGAGCTCAAAATCAAGCTTGAGCTCCTCGGCTCGTTCCTCAAGAATATTGTTCATCTCTCGCAAAGCCGACTTAACATCCACACACACTGATACATGATGTATCCCAATCTCCGCTGATGAGTCAATACCTATATGAACAGTGTTAGTCTTGCTAGGCAAGGTATCGTCAGACCCAAACCCTAAAGCCAGCAAAAGATCACTTTTCTCCAAGGCGTGATTGGCGTACAAAGTCCTCTGCATTCCAAACGTTTGCAAGGAAAAATCGTCGTTGCAAGGGTAAGATCCAAGTCCCATCAATGCACTTGTAACAGGGATACCTGTAAGCTGGACAAATCTGTTCAATTCATCGATCGAATTCAAACAGCCACTTCCAACATGCAACACAGGCTTCTTAGAAGCCAATATCAAGCTAAGAATCTGATCCCATTGAGATTCCCAATTAGGAATAACAAGCTCTCGCTGAACATCCACCGGAAAATCAACCATAACGAGCCCGCGCCGACCGGAAGTAGCCAGAAAGAAGGCCTCCTCGATGATCCTAGGTATATCCTTTGCCTCCATGATCACTAGATGTTTATGTTTCTCCATCCAATGCGTTGGCGTCTCTTCCCCATAGATAACCTGGCGAGGGAGTTGACCGGTTATGGCCACAAGAGGCACGCCTTCGAGCATGGTATCGGCTAAACCGCTAACGAGATTAGCAGCAGAGAGGGCTATACAGATGCCAGGTTTTCCAGAGGACCGAGCGTAACCCTCCGCAGCAAAGAGAGCTCCCTCTTGGTTGTGAGATTTGATGTTACGGATCGAAGAGGAGCGCTCGAGCGAGTGGTGGATGTGCATCGATGCACATCTAGGGTATGCGAAGACGGTTTCGACGCCTTGCCTCTCAAGGGACTCCACGAGGATATCAGCGCCCTTGCGAAATTTCTCGGGGTCATACCGGGATAGTTTGGCGGCTGAGCAGGAGAGAGAACGGGGTTTGCTCCGGCTACTGGCGCGGTACGAGGGTTTGAGAGGGTTTAAGACAAAAGAAAGCGCGAATTTCGAAATTTGTAACAGAGATTTCGAGTAGGAATGATCATGGTATTGGGAGAAAGAGGTTGAACAAGTTGTGATCGCCGACATGATAGGTTCTCAGAATTTCAGGAGAGGAGAAGAGGAATAGCCGGAAAAAGGATCACAGAGCGGGACCCTGTAACCCTAAATACTAAATACTTGTGCAAACCTTTTCTTCTTAAATAAAGGAACATTCTTATCCGTACCCTTATATTTACGATAATGGCCTCCAAGCCTTTCATTCAGTTCCGATATGTGTCAGTGTGTTCTTTATTTTTCCTTTGGTCAACGTACAAGGTCCGGTCGTGTTTAGATTTATATGGACTTAAGAAGAATTTTTAAATTTGTGAATTGCAAGATCCGAAACAATTAACCGTAAAAGATTAACCGATACTGAATTGCAAGATCCGAAACAATATTTCTAAATTTTTTTTTGTCAACTACATAAGTACATCAAACATTTGGTCAAAAAAAGAAACTACATAAGTACATTTTATTAAGAAAAGACTAACCGTACAAATAAACTATGGAGTAAGTAATTTTTATGAAAATATATAGTTTGATTTTTCAAAGTTTATAGCAGTTTTTCTTTTAGTAAAAAATACTTCTGAAAATTGATTATTCAAAGAATTGCTTGTTGAAGTTGAAAAGAAATAATATTTTCTGGAATTAAGCGTGAAAATTTTGTTTTGTTTTGTTTGCATTCTCCTTCACGTGTAGATGTATTATTGCGTGACTTGAGTAAGTAACGGTCGTTAAACAGGTGCAAAGTTTTTGTTGGGACATTTCGTGGAACACTTGGTTGCCTAATAACGGAGGAACAAGGGAACAAGAGACTTCGTTCTCTTTCAAGGTACATTCGATGCAAAACTTTACATTTTAATCTCATGAGCAACTTAATGTAAGTGATCAATGATCTAAATACTTGACAAGAACAAGTTGAAATAAAAAGCTTCTGATAGACATTTCGTCGAACACTTGGTTGACTAACAAAAGTACAAAATGAACCAAGAGATTTAGTTATGCTTAGGTATAATCGATACTCCAATTTATTTTTTAATCTCATCAACAACTTTTTTTAATCTAAATACTTTGTCGGAACAAGTAGTAGATGATTTTTCTTGTTCACAGTGAGTCCAGGAGCTTCTTCCATGTCGATATCCTCGACCACCATGCCTTCTGGTAACTTCCAGTCAAAATGATACAACAAATTAGCCAGACCAAACTCCACCATTGATGTCCCCATGTACATTCCTGGACAAATTCTCCGACCACCCCCAAACGGTAACAACTCAAAGCTCTGTCCTTTCGGATCAATGTCACTATCAATAAACCTCTCAGGAAGAAACTCCTCAGGGTCTTTCCATGTACCTGGATCACGTCCGATAGCCCAGACATTGACATGAATCCTTGCCTTGGGTTGTATCGTGTAGCCGTTGATCTCGAATTCAGACATTGCTTCTCTTGGGAGCAGAAGAGGTACTGGAGGATGTAGCCTCCATGTTTCTTTGATCACCATTCTCAGGTAGTCAAGGTGTTCTGTTTCTTGGAAGGTGATGAGTCCTTCTCTGTTCCTAGATTTGTTTCTGATTTCGGATTGAACTTTCCTCATCACTCGAGGGTTCCTCGCGAGCTCTGCCATTGCCCAAGTCATGGTTATCGCAGTAGTATCGATTCCGGCTAGAAGAACGTTCTGTTACAAGAAGAAACAAAACATTTCAGAATCTCAGGTATTGTTTGAGTACTTCTTACAATTAGGGTTTAGTTACCATCAAGATTGCTTTGATATGGTTTCTTCTGAGCTTTTCATTTCCAAGAACAGCTTCTTCTTTCTCCAACCTCAAGAGCACATCCACGAAATCTTCAATCCCTTCTTCTTTCTTTTCTTGTCTATGCAGATCAATCATTTGTTCATAGAACGCGTCAAAATCTCTCACGCTTTTCGCTCTGCGCCCTTGCAAACCCGTGAACCAATCGATGATCCATCCGACGCAAGGAATAAAATCTGAGGCAGAGTAGCTCCCCAACATCTCGAGTGCCTCACGGACTAACTTGTTGAATCTGTCATTGTTGAGCACAGTTCCCTCGAACCTCACACCAAAAGCTGCCCTGCATATCACGCTAACGGTTAAAGCAAGAAACTTCTCGTTCAAGTTAACATGAGTTTTCCGAGAGGCTGATTCAGCCATTGAATCGATCAGTTTCTTGACCTCCTCGTCCTTGATGGGTTGAATCGATTGAACTTGTTTGGTACTGAAGAGTTCTTGAACACCGAGCTTCCTTACTTCTTTCCAGTAATCATCAAAAGGAGAGAAAGCAATGTCCAGATAGTTGTAAGAGAGGTCTCTTATCCCTATAGATGATTCAAGATTTAAGATTCATGGGTTTTGTTCAATCTTGTGAACATAGACATAATGAAAAACTTTAGTACCTGCTAAGCTTGGACGGCTACAACAATGGAGGTCATGGACTCTCAGAACTTGTCTTGCTGATTCAGAGGAGGAAAGTATGAGCGTGGGGACTCTTCCAAGCTTCAAGACCATCACAGGACCATACTGTTTTGAGAGTCTCCATAGAGATCGATGTGGTAATTCTCCGAGCTGGTGTAAGTTTCCGATGATCGGAAAACCAGGAGGAGACGGTGGTTTCCGTTGATGTTGTTGCCGCCGGTTCTTGTGTCTGAAAGCGGCGAGTAGAAGACAAATGAGGAAGAGAAGTGAGAAAAGCCAAAAGTTAGCCATTAGTTTTCTGATTGATGACTGACTGACTGATGAAGCAAAAGCTCTTGCGGTGATGCTTATATATACAGACGTTTAAACAATTAAATTCACTAAATTGCTTATAGAAAGGAATATTTTTAAGACACTTATGGTAGTTATGGTTTATTTAGAGAAGGAGTTTAAAGTAGAAAGCAACTGTGAAACAACACACTCTGTATTTGGGATTGCTTTCTTATTCACAATCATTGCCTTGTACAAGGTATTTCTACATACACGTTGATCATCATTATCTACACATTTTTAGAAGATACATTCTGTATATATCTCTAGCTAGTTATACTTATCAAACTATGATAATAACAACTCTATCCTTATGACAATTGGAGTCTCTAATACAACCCAAATATGATTGATGATGACTACAAACTCAATCGAGCTAAGATTTCTAATACTTTTTTTTATAGATTTATTTTTAACAATTCATACAAACGAAAAAATTCTTATTTGAAAAAAATATACAATTATATTAAAGATTTAAAATACTTGACTCTGAACAAAGATTTTAAAAAGTATTGATTTATTAATGGGTTTGATCAACTTAATAGCTGAATAGGGGAATAATTAAATAATAAACAGCAAAATGGGTAAACTGAAAACTGAATAAACTCAAAAAGCTAGTATCTATTAGATGATTTTTTTTTTTAAACTAATTATAAATTTAAAATGTGCGGGATGAATTAAAAAATAATGGGTCTGACTGATATGTCAAAAAATAACAAAATAGCAGAATAATTGAAAAATTGTTAACAGAACGAACTTAACTGAATAATATTTTGGTTGAATAATTGTCAAATGCTGAAAATCTATTTTTAGTAGATTAACCACTTTTTGTTTCCCTAGTTATATTTTTAACATGCTAGCGGAATCATGTTTTAAAAACATGAAAATGTGAAAATGTGGTGAATAACATGAACGATAAAAAATAACAGAATCAAAATTTCAAAATGTAAAAACATGAAAAAACTGCATACCATTCAAATCCAACATATTGATTTTTATTTTTTATCATTCAATGCTTAATATTATAAATGATACTCCCTCCGTTCCTTAATGTATGATTTTTTAGATTTTTTACAAGTTTTAAGAAGCAATCATTAATTATTCTTTTCAGTTACTTTTTTATTTTAATATTCCTTTATATTAGTATTTTAATGTATATTCTCTCTTTCCAAGAATAAAGTGTTCTCGAAAAAAGAAATAGATTATATATAATGCAAAAAATCAAATTTTGTGGAACAAATTTTTTTTCTAAAACATCAAACTTTCTGGAATGGAGGGAGTATGTATTTGGTGGAATCACGTTTCCAAAACGTGAAAACTTGAAAAAGTTACATACCATTAATCCAAATTGATCTTGTTTTGCAATTTTATCAAATCAAGTACATTCTTGTAAATTTTTGTTCTAGAAAAATTGTATATAAAAATGGAGTGAGCGCATATCATATTAGTCATTTACAAAATGCTTTTAAAATATATCCACTTTGTATAACAATATATATTTGCGTGAGTGATGTTGTATCTGCGTGAGTGAGTAACGGTCGTTAAATCAGGTCGAAAAATAAGTTTTGTGTTTTTTAAATTTAATTATTATTTTTCAATTATGTTTTAAAATATAAATGAATTTTTTGTTATAACAAAATGTTTAGTTAAAATTAAATCATATTTTACTATTTAATTTAAAGTCTTATCATTCAAAACATTGATTTTAAGTTTCATATACTACAAAAAATTATAATATTTAAAATGGATTTAGATATTATAATTAGATAATTATATTTTAAAAATTATTTATTCCCGCACATAAATTATATCCACTTTGTATAACATATATATTTTAAGTAAAATAAATTATGATTCATACAATGACAATGTCGTGCATCATTCTAAGTCAGAACTTTAAACAGAAAAATATCATTCTGAGTTAGTAGAATAGCATTATCGGTGATTACAGGCTGCTTAATTACGGATGATGACTTGTAAATTTAAGAAATCCCGTTTTTAGATAGTGTGCTTATCTTACACGACACTTGATGACATCATTCAAAGCTCTAGCCTCTAGAAATTCTTAATTAGTTATGAATATGAAAACAAAAACATTGTTGAGAAAAACAACATATACAAATTAAACAACCATAACCAAATGATTTAGTTTTATGATCTCAACACGTTAGTCGAAACAAATTTTGGTTTCTCTATTGTCTACACACTTGTTAAAAATGTGCTTTACATTTTCAACGACAAAAGAGAGCCTTGCGGTTTCTAACGTTATTACAATAAACTTACGTAACCCATAATACAGTAGTGACTTTGGGGTGGACCATGGAATTCCATAGGCTGTGGACAAAATCATCACAAATTGTAATGCTTATTTTTATTAAAAAAAATATTAATGAATTAACGGAACTGGGCTCAATGAAAAATAGAAGTAAACCATATATATTTGGTCTTCTATTTTGCATTTATCAAGTGAGAAAAACCTAGAATTTAGAGAGAAATTAGAATCTAAAACAAAGTTATAATTTACTGAATACTAGATTTTAAACATGAGCGTGATGGTACGATGGTATCGGCTCTTAAGCCAATGATGTAAATTCGTTACAGCCAATGATGTCACTGAATTTACAAAAATATCACTGGATTATAATACTATCTTTAGTAATCTTTATTTTTGTCGACATCATATCGATATAGCCTATTTTTTTTTTTTCTCATTGGGATTGAAAAATATCTCCAGCTCATGGTTCACATTGATCGTAGTAAATGCGCCGAATTTCTAACACAAGACGACATAACATAACGATAGAGACTTTGTTGGATTTTTTAGATACCAATACCATTGTTTTCATCTTTATATATAGCGAAACTACATATAGAAAATTCTTATAATTGTAAAACTATATAAGTTGCAAAAGTATTAAAAAATAAAAAATGAGCATTGGAAATTCTCATAAATAAATATGAGATGTCGTTCTATATTTAAGGTACAATCGATGAAGGACTTAGTTCAAGTGATCAATGATCTAAGTACTTCACAGGAACAAGTAGAAGCTCACTTTTCTTGCTCACAGTAAGTCCAGGACATTCTTCCATGTCGATATCTTCAACCACCATGCCTTCTGGTAACTTCCAATCAAAATTATACAGCATATTTGCAAGACCACACTCCACCATTGTTGTCCCCATGTAAATGGCAGGACATATTCTCCGTCCACCCCCAAATGGTAACAGCTCAAAGTTCTGTCCTTTAGCATCAATTTCATTATCCATAAACCTCTCGGGAAGAAACTCTTTTGGGTCTTTCCAGGTATCAGGATCACGCCCGATAGCCCAAACATTCACATGAAGCCGTGTCTTGGGTTGAATCGTATAGCCGTTGATCTCAAATTCAGACACTATTTCTCTTGGGGACAGAAGAGGTACTGGAGGATGTAGTCTCCATGTTTCTTTGATCACCATTTTCAGGTAACTTAGCTGATCCGTGTCATCCAAGCTAATCATGGATTTGTTACCTATTTGGTTTCTTATTTCAGACTGAACTTTCTTCATCACTCTAGGGTTTCTAGCAAGTTCTGTCATTGCCCATGTCATTGTGATTGCAGCACTGTCGATACCTCCTAAAAGAATATCCTGTTTATAAGAACAAATAAAAAGAAAAATGTAAAAATGCCATCATGGGAATAGAAGTAACACATATTTTTAAAATTAAAAATTAGATGGAGTTCATTTCTATTTTTTTTTGTTATTATATAAAAAAGGTTGTATATATTATTAGATGAATTCGAAACAATGATAAGGAAAGTTGAAACTTTGTAAAATCGAAAAAGAATTTTAGACTAAATACATCTTTAATTTAAGTAATATTAATTTATACGAGTTTTACTATATTTTTATTATAATTCTTACCATCAAGATTGCTTTGACATGGTTTCTTGTGAGGTTGTCATTTCCAAGAACAGTCTCTTCTTTCTCCAACCTCAATAATAGATCAACGAAATCTTCATCCTCTTCTTCTTTTTCGTCTTTATGCAGATCGATCATTTGCTCATAGAAAGTGTCGAGATCTCGTACGCTTCTCTCTCTCCGCCCTTGTAAACCCGTGAACCAGTCGATGATCCATCCGACATACGGAAAACAATCTGACGCGGAAAAGCTTCCCAACATCTCGAGTGCTTCACGGACTAACTTGTTGAAACTTTCACTGTTGAGCACAGTTCCCTCGAAACTCAAACCAAACGCTGTTCTGCATATTACACCTACGGTGAAAGCGAGAAACGTCTTGTTGAGAATGACAGGAGTTTGCTGATAAGCTGATTCTGCCACTGAATCGATCAGCTTCTTGACTTCCTCGTCCTTGATGGGTTGGTTCGAGTGAACTTGTTTCGTACTGAATAGTTCCTGAACAGCGAGCTTCCTTGCTTCTTTCCAGTAATCATTAAAAGGACAGAAAGCAATGTCCACAAAGTTGTAAGAGAGGTCTCTAGGCCCTGAGGAGTGATAGCAAGATCCATCAAGTAAAAATTCAAAACTCTAGCGAGAATGTGTTATGATGTTTACATTACCTGCTAATTTAGGACGGCTACAACAATGGAGGTCATGGATTTTCAGAACTTGTCTTGCTGTTTCAGAGGAAGAAAGTATGAGTGTTGGGACTTTTCCAAGGTTCACAAGCATCACGGGGCCATACTTCTTGGAGAGGTTCCATAGAGACTGATGTGGTAACTCTCCGAGCTGGTGTAAGTTTCCGATGATCGGAAAACCAGGAGGAGAAGGTGGTATCCGCTGTTGCCGCCTCTTTGTGCGTTTGAAAGCAGCGAGAATCAGAAAAATGATTAGGAAGAGAAGTGATAAAAACCAAATGTCAGCCATTTGTATACCTTCTTTTCTTTCTCTGAGTCATATGACCCCCTGAAGAAAAATCATGTCTTTAATATGCATTAATGCTCACTTCAATACTGACAAAATAATAATAATTGGAGGTTGAGGAAGCTTCTAGTTTTTGATAAAAGAATTCTCGATATTTTTTCATGAAACTAGTGTTAAATTTATTAAAAAAAACTGTTCTTATATCTAGTTATTACAGTTAAACCTATGGGTATAATGAGTTAATGACTATCAAAAAATAAACATACGTATTTCTCTATATTATTTTGGGTAATAAAGTCTTTTGATCAATGAAAGACGTTATCAATAGAAGTTTTGAGTGTATTGTATATATGATAAATTAAGAAGGAAAAATAGTTTTTATGTTATTTCAAAGAATTTTTCGATGATTTTGTAAAAAAATAAAATAAAAAAAAAATCTCAAAAAATCAACTTTTTGACTATACATTAACCACTACACCACTATTAAATTGTTTAAATGAGAGGTTTCAAATTTTTTGGGACCGAGACAAATGCCTTTTTGATAACCTACTAAGCACGACTCTGACTATAAACCATGGGATCATCCATAGATGTTGCAATCATCCATACATTATTACATATATATTAATTTTATGGCAATTGTTCGAACGGTTGGAACGTTGAATCACGGAGGAAGATAGCAATGCGCACTTCAATGACAAAAATGACGACAAAAGTGAGCCGCACCGAGCCAAGCTACGATTTCTAAGTTAATACGTTGTTACAATAACGTACGTATACCATAATAGTGACTTTGGAGTTTGGACCCTGGAATTGTATAGGATGTGGACATTTCATCACAAACAATGCTTTTTACAATTTTTTTTTTTTTTTGCCATCTCAATGCTTTTTACAATTAAATTATAAAAACATTGACCAAAAAATATTAAATTATAAAAACAAAATAATAAAGAAGTAATGGACTGGGTTCTATGAAAGATAGAAATAAACATATATTTGGCCTTTTATTTTACATTAATCATAATGAGAAAATTCTTAGATTTTAGAGATAAACTAGAATCTAAAACAAATTTCTAATTTACTGAAATTTAAGTTTTTAAACATGAGCGTGGTGGTACGATGGTATCGGCTCATAAGCCAATGATGAAATTCGCTGCAGCCCATGTTCGGTTTGATTGTGTTGTCTGCATGCATTGCGCATGGACCACTTCATCAATTGAACTTGAGCCTGGACATAAATAACAACACTAATAGTGAAACTGTAAATGCGAGATTTACAAGAATAGGGGAAGACGACGAGGGTACCAAAATTATCACAGGATTATTGCATGTTTTTAGTATAGTCTCTAGCTATTTTTGTCAACAGCATATCTATATATGGCGGCCTATTTTGTTTCTTCTCAATGGGCTTCAAAAATATCTCGGGCTCATTATTCACACTTCACATTGACCACAGTATCACACAAGACGACGTAACATTATATATCACATAATATCGTCTTCCATTGGACTAAAACATTTCCCCGAGTTTACTTCACTTGGCACCTTCTGATTAAAAAAAAATTAAAATAATTATATAAGCAAAATATATAACATAACTAACGAGACTTTGTTGGATTTTTTAGATACCGATCGACATCGGTTTTTTCTTTTCTTTAAACGACATAAAGGAAATTCGTTTTATAAAGCTAAATTCAGTATTGGCTCTCTTAAACATTTTGTGAAACAATTCGTTAACCAGTATAAGACGACACACAAAGGAAAAATAATTTCGTTATATCTATGGTACAATCGATGAAGAACATAGTTTCAGTGTTCAATGATCTAAGTACTTCACAGGAACAAGTAGAAGCTCACTTTTCTTGCTCACAGTAAGTCCGGGACATTCTTCCATGTCGATATCTTCAACCACCATGCCTTCTGGTAACTTCCAATCAAAATTATACAGCATGTTTGCAAGACCAAACTCCACCATTGTTGTTCCCATGTAAATAGCAGGACAGATTCTCCGGCCACCCCCAAACGGTAACAGCTCAAAGTTCTGTCCTTTTGCATCAATGTCACTATCCATAAACCTCTCGGGAAGAAACTCTTTTGGGTCTTTCCAGGTATTAGGATCACGCCCTATAGCCCAAACATTCACATGAAGCCGTGTCTTGGGTTGTATCGTGTAGCCGTTGATCTCAAATTCAGACACTACTTCTCTTGGGGACAGAAGAGGTGCTGGAGGATGTAGTCTCCATGTTTCTTTGATCACCATTTTCAGGTAACTTAGCTGATCCGTGTCATCCAAGCTAATCATGGATTTGTTACCCATATGGTTTCTGATTTCAGATTGAACTTTCTTCATCACTCTAGGGTTTTTAGCAAGTTCTGTCATTGCCCATGTCATTGTAATTGCAGCAGTGTCGATACCTGCTAAAAGAATGTCCTATTTATAAGAACAAATAAAGAAACATGTAAATATATCATATGTTAATTGGAAGTGGACTGGGAATACAAGAAAAACATATTTTGAGTTCCAGATTTTTTTTTGTAAGATAAAGATCTTTTTCAGTTCATAGCATTTCAAAACTAGCTAATTTCCATAAGATGTTAATTAAGATACTACGTAATTTTTTTATACTACATAAACATATAAGTATCATAAATTAGTAATTATATAACTTTATGGTACTAATTTAGATTACTGAGTTTAACTATACTTTTAATATAACTTTTTACCATCAATATTGCTTTGATATGGTTTCTTGTGAGTTTGTCATTTCCAATAACAGTCTCTTTTTTCTCCAACCTCAATAACAGATCAACGAAATCTTCATCCCCTTCTTTTTTGTCCTCTTTATGCATATCGAGCATTTGCTCATAGAAAGTGTCGAGATCTCGTACGCTTCTCTCTCTCCGCCCTTGTAAACCCGTGAACCAGTCGATGATCCACCCGACATACGGAAAAAAATCTGACGCAGAAAAGCTTCCCAACATCTCGACTGCCTCACGGACTAACTTATTGAACCTGTCACTGTTGAGCACAGTTCCCTCGAAACTCACACCAAACGCTGTTCTGCATACCACGCTTACAGTTAAAGCATGAAACGTCTTATTCAGATTGACAAGAGTTTTCTGAGAAGCTGATTGAGTGATTGAACCGATCATCTTCTTGACCTCCTCTTCTTTTACGGGTTGAATCGAGTGAACTTGTTTAGTACTGAAGAGTTCTTGAACAGCGAGCTTCCTTACTTCTTTCCAGTATTCATCGTAAGGAGAGAAAGCAATGTCCAAATAGTTGTAAGAGAGGTCTCTTGCCCCTAAAGAACGACCAAGATTCAAGATTTATGGGGTTTTGTTGAATAAAGAATCAAGGTTCATGGGTTTTCTTGAAATCAAGATTCATAATATAAAAAAATCAAAACTTAAGTACCTGCCAAGCCTGGTCGGCTACAACAATGGAGGTCATGGATTTTGAGAGCTTGTCTTGCTGTTTCAGAGGAAGAAAGTATGAGTGTTGGGACTTTTCCAAGCTTCACAAGCATCACAGGACCATACTTCTTTGAGAGACTCCATAGAGACTGATGCGGTAATTCTCCGAGCTGGTGTAAGTTTCCGATGATCGGAAATCCAGGAGGAGAAGGTGGTTTCCGCTGTTGCCTCTTCTTTGGGCGTTTGAAAGAAGCGAGAAGCAGAAAATTGATTAGGAAGAGAAGTGATAGAAGCCAAACGTTAGCCATTTGTATACTCCTTTTTTTTTTCCTCTCTTAGTTATATGATTTATGAAGAAAGCTGCATGCCTTAACATATATATATAACTTTGAGCAATGCTCACTTCAATAATTCAATTGATGAAAACTGACAAAATAATAACAATCAAAGGACGTTAAGGGAGCTCCTAACTTTTGACTATATGTTTCCTCGTACTGTAAACGTGTAATGACTTTGAACCATGGAAATATATCAATAGATGTTGGTCGGTGAGCCCTGGAGCTTCTTCAACCTTACTTTGTCATCATACAAAATATGTTTTAATAAATAAATTGTTTCATTTTCATGTCATGCTTCTAGAAGGATTCGTACACAAACTTTAGATTTTCTTTTTATTAATCGTTTTTTTTTGTTGTCAACGTTTGATCAAGCTTTCTTCTTATATTTCTCCACCTCTACAGAAATGGAAAGTTTGTGTTGGACATTTCGTGGAACTAAAGAAACAAAAGGGCCTATTATAAATCGTCTCCAACTAAAAAAAGACACAAAATATGGGCGATTTTAGCTCAGACCCCTCTGTTCCGTCTAGAGTCTTTTGCTTTCATTTTCTATTTGTTTTCAAAATTTGGAAGGAATATTTCCTTGCCGCTCTTATCGAGATTTTGGAAAATTTCCAATCCTGCTAGCAAGTTAGTTTCCAAAACAGTCAAATCCCTAGTCAATCAAAGGAAAAAAGAGAAACAAAAAATCAATATCACCGATCAACATTTATTATTAGCGGCCCCTTCCAGCCACCGTTCTCCACAACTACAGCAACAAGATAGGCAAAATCTTGCATTCTGACTAAGAAAGAACTGTTTCTACTGCTAATGGACGGATGTTTGAATCGAGCCTTGCAAAACATGTCGTTGGAAGAGGATCTACCGGTGGTGATTCCGCCCGATGAAAATTTCAGTGCTATGGTTCGTAGCGGTCGTAAACTAATCGGACGCCTACTAAACCCGGAAAACCAAAGTATGGCAAGAATGTTGCGATCAATGCCAAGGATATGGAAAATCTATGAAAGGGTTCGGGGAATAGCGCTAATAAGAGAAACTTTCTAGTTCATCTTTGAACTAGAAACGGATCTAGAAACGGTAATGAAGACAGGATTATGGTTTTTTGACGAGTGGGGAATGGTAATGGATAAGTGGACTGAATTCCCTCCAGCAACCTTTCTTCAAACTGCTCCGGTGTGGATCCGAATGCATAAGCTACCGGTTAATTACTTCACGTTGGGAACTATGGATGCGGTAGCAAGCGCAGTTGGGGAGGTAATGAAGATAGAGTATGACCCGGAAAAACCCTCGCTACAAGGATATATTCGTGCTTAAGTACGGCTAAACTTAAGCCAACCGGTGAGAGATACGAAATCATTAACCTTACCCAACGGTACGGTGGCAGTAGTAGATGTAGAATACGAACACTTCCGAAAAAAGTGCTTCTCTTGCCTTCGCCTTACACATGAAAAGCAATGATGTCCCCTGTTACAAGGCAACAGAAACAGAACAACACAAAGCCAACATCAGTCGCAGAATAGAGGAAGACAGAGTTTTCAACCTCGACAACACCACTCCAACCTATCAGAGCGTTTGATGCCACTCTTGTCGCCGGTTATACCCCCTGGCTTCATCCCCCCAGCAAACGTAGTTGCCCCAGAAGTCTTTGAAAAAATGTGGGTGTACATGAACTGCACAAACCCTGAAGAACGTGCCATAAGAGAATATCGCATGAAAGTCGCTCTGGATGACCTTTCTCGCGACACTGTAGCATAAAGATCATACATGAGACTAACACCACCCCCACTGGTCACAATAATCTCCAACAAAGGGAAGGGAAAGGTGGGAGATACCAACAACTTAGAGCAAAGACAAAGTGCAAGTGGACTTTCAAGCAGAGTTCACGGTGAGGAAGGAAATCTTGAGTTAACACAGATAGCTCAAAACCTGCAGCAACCTGCAGAAATGACGCATTCACTAGAGGCGCACCAAGGTGATAATCTGCAGACGGGGAACATGCAGGAGGATCAGATAGCCACATCAGCGGACCCGATGAGGATTGTAACAAGATCAGATACAGAGGCAGAGGCTGAGAAGATGTTAAATCCCCACGGAGAAGTAGGAACAGGCAAGCCCTCAGACACGGTCGAAGCATTAACCACATCAGGATTTCTCGATAACATGGATGTTGCAGGTTTTAAAATGGGCTGCGGAGATACAAGTGCTAATAGCTCGAGTGCCAAAGGGAAGAATGCCAAAAAACAAAACAGCTCGTGGTCAAGGAGGAAGAGAAACGCTACTGGAGTATTGGGCAGAGCAGTAACTAATTCAGAGATCCCAACAGAGGCAGAAACAGAACAACCTACCAAAAGAAAGGCTTCGGAGTTAGCTGAGGTCAGTTCAAAATTCTCGAAACAGAATGAAGGTTTGATGGTTCACCAGAAACCATCCAGCTCTCAATGACGACGCTCAGTTGGAACTGTCAAGGGTTGAGGAACAACTTGACAGTTCGACGCCTTGAGGAGATGTGTCGTGAGCATCTCCCGGATTTTGTGTTTTTCCTAGAGACTAAAAGCTCTAGTGATCACGTGGTAGGCATTCAGAGATCGTTGGGGTATGATCACAGTCATTTGATAAACCCAGTGGGTCTCAGTGGAGGACTAGCGGTATTTTGGAAACAAAATCATCAGGTTTTGATCGAGTACTCAGACAATAGAATCATAGATGCACGTGTTGAAGTGGGGACGAGGATTTTCTACATCACCTTTGTTTATGGGGACCCAGTGAGATATTTACGGAGTAGAGTGTGGCAGAAACTAATAGACATTGGTGCACAAAGGACAGAAGCTTGGTTTTTAGTAGGTGACTTTAATGAGATGATGAATAATAAAGAGAAGCTTGGTGGCCCTACTAGAGCAGAATCCTCCTTTTACCCCTTCAGATCGTTTGTCAGAGATTGCAGAATCAAGGAAACTCCAAGTCATGACAATCAATTCTCATGGGCGGGGATGAGGGAAGTTACTCAGACGAATGGTCTTAAAGAAAAAGTATGGATACAATGCAGGCTAGACAGAGCCTTTGGAAATGCAGAGTGGTTCAGACTTTTTCCAAAGACACAATCTGAGTATTTGATGCGCATTCACTCTGATCATAGACCGGTGATTACTCAGATATCATCTACTATGCAAAGGCATAAGGGGCGGTTTATCTTTGACAAACGATTGTGTGACAAGCCAGGCTTCAAGGAGGCTGTGAGGAAGGGATGGAATCTACATGACAGAGATGGAGACAGACAAACCTCGGACAGAATCACCGATTGCAGAAAAGAGATATCTAAATGGAAACGCAGTTCAAACTCCAATTCAAAAGCGGTGTTAGACAACAGTCGCATGGAGAGTCTGAAGACTGAGTTACTAAAAGCTTCAAGAGAGGAAGAACAATATTGGAAACAGCGGAGCAAGGATAAATGGATGGTCGTAGGAGACAAAAACACCAAATTCTTTCATGGCAGTGTACAAACCAGAAGGTTGAGAAACAAGATCTCGGCACTATTGGATAATAGGGGGGTTGAACAATTTGAGGAAACAGCCAAAGGAGACATCGCAATCGAATATTTCACAAAGCTATTCACATCTTCTCAACCAAGGGACCCGACAGAATTACTTGAAGGCTTCCAAGGATTAGTGACAGAAAGCATGAACAGAGATTTGATCAAACCGGTGTCAGAGACAGAGATCAAAAAAGCGGTCAAAAGCATCAGCAGCGACAGTGCACCAGGCGCAGATGGCATGACAGGGAAATTTTTCCAGCAGTTCTGGGACATCACTGGGCCACAGATCACTAAGGAGGTCAAGGCTTTCTTTGAAGCAGGAGACTTACCATCAGACTGGAACTTCACTCAACTGGTCCTCCTCCCCAAGATACCTATTCCTACTGCAATGACTGATCTTCGTCCAATAAGCCTTTGCTCTGTCACATATAAGATCATCTCCAAGGTCCTTTGTGGACGATTAAAACGTATCCTGCCAGCCTTAGTATCACCTGCACAAGGAGCTTTCGTGGCAGGTAGATTGATCTCTGACAACATATTGGTGGCACATGAAATGATACATGGTCTGCGGACAAACCCCAACTGCAGGGAAGACTTCATTGCCATCAAAACTGACATGTCCAAAGCCTATGACAGAGTTGAGTAGAATTTCTTGGAGCAACTGTTCATACGGATGGGGTTTGCAGATAAATGGCAAAGCTGGATAATGAAGTGTGTGAGATCTGTTTCCTATTCGGTTCTCATAAACGGACAAAGCCATGGTCACGTCACGCCGGAGAGGGGAATCAGGTAAGGAGATCCATTATCACCTTTCTTATTCATTCTATGCGCAGAAGCCCTGGTACATGTGATGAACAGAGCTGAAAAAGATGGGAAAATCTCGGGTATGTGACTGACAAGAAAGTGCCCATCGGTGCAACACTTACTCTTTGCAGATGATAGCTTCTTCCTATGTCGGGCTACTTTGAAGGAATGCTCTGAGTTCTTAAAGTGCCTGAAACTATACGGCCAGGCCTCTGGACAAGAAATCAACTTTCAAAAATCAGCTATCACCTTTGGAGAATCCATTGATCCAATATCACGATGGCTAATAGCGTCCTTTCTAAGAATAGAGAAAGAAGGTGGCACCGGTTCCTACCTTGGTCTACCAGAATGCTTTAGTGGATCCAAAAAACAATTGCTTGCGTTTATTGGAGAGAAGCTAAACAAACGCCTGAAAGGATGGTACGCCAAAACTCTGTCACTTGGAGGAAAGGAGATTCTGTTGAAATCTGTGGCAATGGCTCTCCCAGTCTACGCCATGTCCTGCTTTAAACTCTCAAAATTCCATTGTAAAAATATCACTAGTGCAATGATGGACTATTGGTGGAATGCTTGTGACAAAAAAGGAAGATACATTGGACCTCATGGAAGGATATCTGTAAGTCTAAACAACAAGGAGGACTAGGGTTCCGGGATATATGAGATTTCAACCAAGCAATGTTGGCCAAACAAGCCTGGAAACTGCTGAATGACCCTGAATCTCTCTTGGCAAGAGTCTACAAAGGAAGATATTTTGCCAGCTCATCCTTCTTAGAATGTGGTAAAGGATACAGACCATCCTATGCTTGGCGAAGCATACTACATGGTAGAGAACTTCTGTCTCGGGGCATGATAAAGTCTATCGGCAATGGTATGGACACAAAAGTATGGATGGAGAAATGGCTTATAGATGAGCACCCTCGGAGACCATACAACATACAGAGGAACATCGACTTGAATCTCTCTGTAGGATCATTAATCTCATCCTTGGGACGCTGGCGAGAAAACAGAGTTCGTGAACTCTTCCCTCCCGCAGATGCAGAACAAATCCTCCAAATGCCACTAGGGACGGTTGCTGATAAACATATCTGGGCCTACATAGAGCATGGAGCGTATACAGTAAAGAGTGGACACTGGCTGCTATCACAATATCCTCAAACTCCAGAAGCGCCACGCACAGCTCTCCAAAAAGCCCGAGTAGATTTAAAGAACAGAATCTGGAAAATTAAAACTCTTCCAAAGATACGGGTTTTCTTATGGAGAGCAGTTTCAGGTGCTTTAGCTGTCACAGATAGACTGAGAAAGAGGGGTTTGGGAGGCGATGTTACATGCAAGATATGTCAGAACGATCCAGAAACGATTAATCATGTACTGTTCAAATGTGCTACAGCAACACAACTATTAGCACAAGCTTCCATACAGCCGCCTGGACAGGGATTTGGTGACTCTCTCGAAGAGAATCTCAGGTATATGTTTGATTTAATGGAAACTAGCACGTATCCTGAGAAAATCCGCATAGCGATACCCTGGACAATCTGGAACATATGGAAGAACAGGAATGCGATAACCATCACTGGCAAATAGGAGGCCGTCGAAACGATAATAGCACGATTTTCAGAGGAGGCAGAGTTGTGGACAAAACTTAACTCCCGTGATCAGAACTTGGCAACCAGCAATGGAACCAAACTGTTAATTGGTTTGCGTTGGCAACCCCTCACGGAAGGAACAACTAAGTGTAACACACATGCCCATTGGAGAAACCACAATATGCATTCGGGAGGAGCATGGGTCGCCCGGGATCAGTCCGGCTCAGTTCTCTTCCACGTTAGAGAGACATTTACACTCTCCGAATCGCGTGGTAGCTGAGTTACGATGCTGCGCTTGGGCTCTACAAAGTATAAGAGATTTGAGGATTACAGATGTTCTTATCGGCTTTGATTCCCAAGCGGCGATGGAAGCAATCAATAAGCCATTGGAATGGCCAAGAATTAGATCACTGACCTCACACATCCTCCAGCTACAAAAGGGTTTTGAGAGATGCACCTTTGAACTGGAAAATCCAAAAGCCAACAAAATCGCTCGAGAAATAGCCAACAGTATGTCACGATATGGTTTCTTTCTATCTTACATCGCTCGAGGGGGACTGGCGTGGCTCCACAATCTTATCAGACAAGAAACCTCGTGAAGCTTCTGCTATCCTTCCCTTAGGATAATATTTCAATAGGTTTCAAAATTTTTTTAATTTTTAAATGTTTCAATTGTTTACTTCTCCGAACCTTTCGACATTATTATCGCAATTTCAGATGATTAAAATAAAAGAAACAAAGGAACATTTGGTACAATCGATGCTATACTTTACATTTATTTAGAATTTTTTATCATTCTAATTAGTTAATGCTAATATTAAATACTATAATACAATACCCACAAAATAAAGATTCTCTCTGAAGGAAAAAAAAGTTCAGAGATGCGTTATATAGAAGTGGTTTGAAAGAGGAGCATAATCAACCAGATAAGGGATTCTGAAGCAATCGGAGAAGTGGTTTCGATGATCGCAAAGCTGGTTTTGCTGTTGCGGTACATTCGATGTGCTTTGGGAATTTTTAATCACTGAGAACTGAAAGTTTGTGATGATACCTCTTGCTCTGAATCTAACACTTTTTTTTTTGTGTTAAAGAAATCTAACACGATCCCTCACTGTTCTTCATATATGATTGGGATTAAGATTTCTTTTTTTTTAGCGAAAATGCAAATTGCATAAATGGAAAAGTTTCTCTCAGACATTTCATCGAACACTTACAGTAATTAAAGAAACAGAGTAACATCAGATTTCCTTAGATGCTACATTTTATTCCGTAAATCTCATGAAGAACTTAGTTGTAACTTAAGAGATCAATAAACTAAAATTTCACAGGCACAAGTATAAGCACGTTTTTCTTGTTGACGGTGAGCCCGGGAGCTTCTTCTATGTCGATATCCTCGACCGACATGCCTTCTGGTAACTCCCAGTCAAACTGAAACAACAGATTCGCCAGACCAAACTCCACCATTGATGTCCCCATGTATATCGCAGGACAGATTCTCCGGCCACCCCCAAACGGTAACAGCTCAAAGTTCTGTCCTTTCGGTTCAATTTCAATATCCATAAACCTCTCAGGGAGAAACACTTCCGGGTCTTTCCAGGTATCCGGATCACGCCCGATAGCCCAGACATTCACGTGAAGCCGTGTCTTGGGTTGGACCGTGTAGCCGTTGATCTCGAATTCAGACATCACTTCTCTTGGGAGCAGAATCGGTGTTGTAGGATGTAGCCTCCATGTCTCTTTGACAACCATTTTCAGGTAATGGAACTGCTCTGTGTCTTCCAAGCTGATCACTGATCTGTTCCCCATATGGTTTCTGATTTCAGATTGAACTTTCTTCATCACTCTAGGGTTTCTAGCGAGTTCCGTCATTGCCCATGTCATGGTTATTGCAGAAGTATCGATTCCCGCCAGAAGAACGTTCTGTGAGAAAAAAGATATGTCAGGATCTCAGTAACAAGTATCGTCCAATGTTTTGTAGTTTACCATCAAGATTGCTTTGATATGGTTTCTTGTGAGCTTGTCAGTTCCAAGAAGAGCTTCTTCTTTCTCCAATCTCAACAGCAGATCCACGAAATCTTCACTCCCTTGTCTCTTCTCCTGTTTGTGCAGATCGATCATTTGTTCATAGAACGCGTCGAGATCCCTCACGCTTTTCGCTCTCCGACCTTGCAAGCCCGTGATCCAGTCGATGATCCATCCGACGTGAGGGATAAAATCGGAGGCGGAGAAGCTTCCCAACATCTCGAGCGCCTCGCGGACTAACGTGTTGAAACTGTCACTGTTGAGCACGGTTCCCTCGAAACTCACACTAAATGCTGCCCTGCATATCACGCTTACAGTCAACGCAAGAAACGTCTTGTTCAAGTTGATTGGAGTTCTCAGAGATGCTGATTGAGTGATTGAATCGATCAGCTTCTTGACCTCCTCTTCCTTTATGGGTTGAATCGAGTGAACTTGCTTGGTACTGAAGAGTTCTTGAGCAGCGAGCTTCCTCACTTCTTTCCAGTAATCATCATAAGGACAGAAAGCAATGTCCAGATAGTTGTAAGAGAGGTCTCTTGGCCCTAAGGAACGATCAAGATTCAAGATTCAAGATTCAAGATTCAGGAGTCAAAGGTCAAGATTCAAGATTTGAAGATAGAAAAGTCAAAACTTAAGTACCTGCCAAACCCGGGCGGCTACAACAACGGAGGTCATGGATTTTCAGAGCTTGTCTTGCTGTTTCAGAGGAAGAAACTATGAGTGTTGGGACTTTTCCAAGATTCAAAAGCATCACAGGACCATACTTCTTTGAGAGTCTCCAAAGAGACTGATGGGGTAACTCTCCGATCTGGTGTAAGTTTCCTATGATGGGGAAGCCAGGAGGAGACGGTGGTTTCCGTTGATGTTGCCGCCGGTTCTTGTGTTTGAAGGCGGCGAGAAGAATACAGATGAGCAAGAGAAGTGAGAGAAGCCAAATGCCATCCATTTTCCTAATATGTTGGCTGATGAAGGGGAAAGCTCACGCCTTATAGGTCTCTCTCTCTCTACATGTGCTGTCTTCAATGGCCTATTTTAATACTCCTACATATCTCGTATTCCCCGGTTTGAGGAAGATTTTGCCAACTTATTAAAAGAATATGAATGTTCGAGAAAATATAAGTAAAACATGGCATCATATCGGATATGATTCTTTTTTGTGTGTACAGTAAGTCAGTAACAGCAAAAGAAAAGACAAAAATAATATTTTTTTAAGTTGTGTGATACTATAAGATATTTGAAATCAGCTATTTGCCAAAAAAATAATAAAGATATTAGTTTCAATAATACATTAACTTCGGGGGAAAAAGGTATAGAGAGACCTCTCTAGTTGTTGCACTTGTCGAACATATTAGTATAATTTTGACTGACTCTCTGAAAATAAAATAAATCTCAATTTCCGAAAATAACCTTGGGTTAGTTGAATTAGTGAACTGATCACACGTGTCTTTGGTTTCAGATTTAGGTCTATAGTACAATCGATGCTTAGTTCAAGTGATCTCTAAATACTTGTCAGGAACAAGTAGAAGCTCGTTTTTCTTGCTCACATAGTCTGAAAGATTCTTCCATGTCGATATTTTCGACCAACATGGCTTGTGGTATTTTTGCTTTCATGGTATCAGAGCCATGTAACTATGTAAGGCTCCTTTGATCCACTCTCCGTTTCGAATCACACAACCATTTTGTTGTATCTCTGCATTTGGTGATGCAGAGAACCGTTGGAGATGGAGCAGAATTAGGCGACTTGGGCTTGAGTGATTCCTGTAGGCCCAATTCCTTATTCTTCCATTTCTGTTGGGCCACCGCTTGAAGCATCTCCCCATCGGACGGTAAAGAGGAGGATCACGTAGAAGTATTTTCTCCGCATAATAACTGTTTACTTTGCATGCAAAGAATCTTAGAAAATAAAAATTATTTCTGTAAAAGACGTGATATACCTAGAAATGTGTCTGCGAGGAAAGTTATCTAGTTGTTAAACTAACTTTTGGAGAAAGAGTAAGATTTTGGTCGTTACTGCTTTGATATTTTGACGTCTGTTACTTCTGGTTCTGAACTAATTGGATCGACTTGAAATTGGTTTCGAGTGGTTTAAAGATATGGTCCACCTGCCAGAAAGATCCGAGAAATGGCTCAGAGATGCAGGTTTCGAAACACGGTTCAGTCACGGAAGCTGGTCAGTGGTCGCTTACTAGCTTTTTAGAAAACTTGTCATCTTGCTCATGATTTTTTTCAACGTGACTGGTCCATGTATCGCTATCAGATTAGATATATAGACAAATTGCATCAGACGACAAGATATCTACTAATATAAAGCATATTTAGGGTACAATATCATGCATCATTCTAAGTTGGATTAGCACCCACCACCACTAATATTCAAATTGTAGATATTCTTTTAATTTTAATCATGTTACTTTATTGATAAAGTTTTAGCCATTATTGTTAACCTTCTTTTTGTGAGCGAACCATCTTTGTTTAGTTGAAGTAAATTCTATTCTACATTAATATGGCCGAAACGACATGTGATAGTTTCACTCGAAAAAAATTTGAAAAAAAAAAAAAAACCAAACAAAACTAGCATAATTGAAACAAGTGCATTTTTCGCTTCATTAAAATCAATCAAGTGATTTAGATTTTTATGATTTAACCAACTATTAATCTCTTACTTTTCTGCACCTACACTTGAAAGGTGGTTCGTAATTAAAACGCAACTAACTATTGTTGGTTTTGTTGTGCTAAGTCTACGAACTAAAGTAACCAATTCATAGAGATCTAATTACATAAAAAAATAATATATATCCAAGGTAACAAATAATTATATATTCAGGATACATATTAGTTAGCTAGCTAGAGTCTAAAAGCAAGATAATCGTAGCTGGATTCTTTGGCAGAAAGAGCAGAAGGTTCACGGGAAGAAATAACTTTTAAAATCTCAAAACGATATCGTAGCAGCTGAGGATTTGAAGCAGAGATAAATCATTAAAAAATGGAACCAAGATCACATGGAGAGAGGCCCAGATGAGTAATATGAGAGGGAGAGAGAGATCTACAGCATCCACATATTTTATTTAAAAACTCCTTTTTTGTCAGTAGGTTTAAAATCAACTTTAAAACATAATTGACAGTATTGTCTAAGTCATAGAACTTTTTTCTATCTATACATACATCCTGTTCTTTTTAAGTTTCCATTTCATGCACCATTGTATTATTAACTATTAACAAAACAAGAAACAAAAGAACACAAGATTTAGTTTTATTAAGTTCCATCGATGCTACAATTGATTTCGTAGTCTCATGAAAAAACTTAGTTCAAGTGATCAATGGTCTAAATACTTCACAGGAACAAGTTGAAGCTCAATTTTCTTGCTCACATTGAGTCCAGGAGTCTCTTCCATGTCGATATCTTCCACCGACATGCCATCTGGTAATATCCAGTCAAAATGATACAGCATATTCGCAAGACCAAACTCCACCATTGATGTCCCCATGTAAATCGCAGGACATAGTCTCCTGCCTCCTCCAAAGGGTAACAACTCAAAGTTCTGCCCTTTTACATCAATGTTGTTATCAATAAACCTTTCGGGGAGAAACATCTCTGGATCTTTCCAGATGTCAGGATCACGTCCGATGGCATAAACATTCACATAAAGCCGTGTCTTGGGTTGAATCTTGTAGCCATTGATCTCAAATTCTGACATTACTTCTCTTGGAACAAGAAGTGGTGCTGGAGGATGTAGCCTCCATGTTTCTTTGACTACCATTTTCAAGTAATGGAGCTGCTCTATATCGTCCAAGGTGATCATTGGCTTGTTCCCCATTTGATTTCTGATTTCGGTTTGCAGTTTCTTCATTGCTCGAGGGTTTCTCATAAGTTCTGTCATTGCCCATGTCATTGTTATTGCAGAAGTACCTATGGCCCCAATCAGAACATTCTGTCACAAGATCATAAACATAAATGTTATAATCTTCAGCGGTTGAAGTTTCGGTAAATGATTGTAATAAATTGTTTAATTAGTATATATAGTTACCATTAAGACTGCTTTGACATGGTTTCTTGTGAGCTTGCCTACTCCAAGAACAGATTCTTCTTTCTGAAACCTCAAGAGCATATCCACGAAATCTTCACTCCCTTTTTCTTTCTCCTCTTTATGCAAATCAAACATCTGTTCATAGAACGCATCAAGATCTCTCACGCTTCTCTCTCTCCGCCCTTGTAAGCCCGTGAGCCAGTCGACGATCCAGCCGCCGTTTGGGAAGAAATCTGAGGCAGAGAAGCTCCCCAGAAACAAGAAAGCCTCGTTGATGAACTTGTCGAATCTGTCATTGTTGAGCACAGTTCCGTGGAAACTCACACCAAACGCTGCCTTGCATATCACGCCTACAGTTAAAGTGAGAAACTTCTCGCTCAAGTTAACCGGTGTTTTCTGAGAAGATGATTCCGCGACTGAATCGATCAGTTTCTTGACCTCCTCGTCCTTGATGGGTTGGATTGAGTGAACTTGTTTTGGACAGAAGAGCTCTTGCACACACAGTTTCTTGACTTCTTTCCAGTAATCATCAAAGGGAGCAAAAGCAATGTCCAGATAATTGTAAGAGAGCTCTCTTGGCCCTGAGAAATGATCAGTAATCATCGGTTTTATTGAATCATGCATGTGAATAGAGCAAAACAAAACTTGAGTGAGAGTTATGGTACCTGCTAAGCTTGGACGGCTACAACAATGGAGGTCATGAATTTTCAAAGCTTGTTTTGCAGTTTCAGAGGAAGAAACTACGACCGTTGGGACTCTTCCAAGCTTCAAAAACATCACAGGACCATACTGTTTTGAGAGTCTCCATAGAGATTGGTGTGGTAATTCTCCGAGCTGGTGTAAGTTTCCGATGATCGGAAAACCAGGAGGAGACGGTGGTCCTCGTTGCTGTTTCTTGCGTTTGAAGACGGCGATGATAAGAAGACAAGTGAGGAAGAGAAGTGATAGATACCAAATCGGAGTCATTTAATTGATGATGATGAAGGAAGCTAGTGCTTTTATATATACAAAATACATTTCTCACATTAGTGATCATTGCTCTGTTTTAAACTATTCTTATTTCCTTCAAAGCTTATTTTTTAGAAGATTAGTTTAAGTTTAGAAGAAAATACACAAAAAGATACAAGAAGCCGGTTAATAGCAAACCTTCCTGAGTAATTTACCAATCAACTAAAATAAAAAGGGTTTTAATGAACCCCATATAGATGATGATGACGAAGGAAAAACAAAAAATAAACAAAAACAAAACTGATGATGACAAAGCCACAAAAGACATTAATCACGTGGGACAACGACAGCTGAGCTAACTATAATATACTCTAAACAATTCTTTTTTTTGATAATTTTTTTATTTTTGTTTTTGTTTTTGCAGAGTATGTGGTGAGATTTTGATTCTTCTAGACTGTTAAATTTGTTTTTTAAGGGAAATTTTCATGTGCTTGATAGACTGATACCAAGTACCAACGTATGTTCTAAACATAGATTATAATCTAGGTTAGTATGATATTAGACTAATGCTGTAACATGATTATGATAAAGACAGTTATATAACTCACTTACAAAAGATTCATTTAGACAACAGACAAGCTGGCCCTGAAATTTTGGGGACTCGAGCATAATTACAAAATGTTGACCGAAATTACTTAATCAGAAGAACAAATCATGTTTTGTATCTGGACTTTTGGGCCAATTTTTTAATATTGGTAATTCATTTCTTTTAATCAATTGGGCTTCTATAAAAAAAATTTGGTTTATATTAACAAATCATAAAACATTAATAATATTCTATATACATATTAAGAAAAAATTCTTAAATGGATCACTAAAAATTGAGGACCAAAACAAATGTTTCATTTTGCTAGGCCCAGAACTGACCCTGACAACGGACCACAACTTTCATATTTGTCAGCCCTAAACAAACTCACATTTTCCTTATACACTAAAAATACTAGAAATTTCTTACTGAAAACACATCACATCACATCAAGTATTTGGTCAGAAATGGAGTATGTTAGGTTGGGTTTTCGTCTTTTAAAACATGACTGAAAATTCTGTAAAATCAGAAAGAGCTTATACCTATATGACATATAAAGAATTTAAAAATCTAAACCCCCTCAAATTGGTGTAGCGGTATATAAGGAGACTGTTTATATATAGGATTAATAGTTTCTATACGACTGACTATATGATACTTTGTTTTTTGATTGATTATAGTTCTGTACAGAAACAAAATTATATGTCTCAAGAACATACATGATTTTCAATTGAATCAAAACTTTATTACAGCTATACATGAGCTGAGCACACAAGCTAATGATATTAGAGTTTGGAGTCGCCTAAGTTAACATTTTTGGGGGGCCTAGATTTTGATATGTTTTCAATGGATTTCAAATTCGGAATTATGTGTTCTTTTTACTGTTTTATCATGGACTCTTGCGGCCCATAGGCCACCTTTTTAAACCCACGATGCGCAAAAACTGGCACCTTTAGTGAAAATCAAAAAATGTATGTAAAGCCAAATTAAAATAAAAACACAATGCATGGTTGTATGTGTATAAATTTACACACTTATTAAAACATTTAGTCATTTGTATTCACTTGCATATATGGTCATTATTTTTGTTTTAGTTCCATTTATTTATTGTACTACTATTTATAGCAGTAGATAATGCAAATTGAAATTACTTTTCAACATATATTACTCTAATGTTAAATGTAAATGGAAATAAAAACTGAGAATGATGATACGAATCACACCCAACCAATTGAAATACTTTAATGTCTACACATATTGGAAAAACGGAACCACAAGGTGACAACTGACAAGGGTAAACTCAATTTGATGACATCGGTGTTTTATTTCTGGTCTGCAAAGTTAATGATATTATATTTTTCAATAGGTACACATGAACGTCTTGAAGTTTCTTTTGATCCATTACGTCGTGTACATATATCACAAAACGTTAACAAGATATGGGTTCTAAATAAAAAGATCTGACTTCTTTTGTCCAAACCCAAAGTTACAACAATATGAAATTATGAAACGGTTTATAAATATCTACAAAACAATAATTTACAATGACTAGTCATTAGTCAATATCGAAAAACTAACATATGGATTTCGAAAATGAGAACTGTTTTGTTAATTTTTTAATAGTTTATTTGTATACTCCAGCATTAACAACTCATCATTTAAAAGCAAACAAAAATTTAACATATGATTTATCAAACTATTTATTACATATAAAATCATTTAATTTAAATTTAAACAATTTACATATCATTGAAGCATTAAACATAAAATAAATGAAACTGATGTTTAATTTACAATCATAATAAATGTATAAATATTAAATAGTATCAGATTTTAGAAACATTTTTATATTCCCTCTGTTTCTAAATGATGAATAGTTTTTTTTTTAAAACTGTTTCAACAAGTTGGATGTTTTCAATTTTCTAGGTGTAGCTATTGATGTTTTTTACTTAATTTACCCTTACAATATTTATTATTTAAAGAAAAAATTAACTAATAATTAATAAAAACAAGGATAGAAAATATATTTTTAAAAATTTCTTAATATATGTGAAAATCGTAAAATATTATATATTTAGAAACATAAGGAGTTGTATTAGTTTGCGTAAATTAATCATGAGTTTCTTTACTAAAACAAATAAAAATAAATCATGAGTCTTCAAATAACAAGAATAATTCATTGAAAAGAAAGAATTTATGAGACTAAAATTAAGAAAATATCAACAGATAAGAAAGATAAATCAGAGTTAAAAAAAACCATAATACACGAAAATAGTATTCCATAAATAATCACATAAGTAACTCGTCATCAAAAATTTATTAAAAGGAATAACTATGACAAAAAAGGACTGAAGATGACAAAAAAAATTGAAAATACAAAAAAATATTTGAGAATTGAAATGAATGAAATGTATGTAAAAAATTCAAAAATAGCAAATTAAAAAAATATATATTAATACTAGAATTTAGATAAAGTAAACAAAATATGACGAACAAGTAGATATTTGATATACAATAGATATTACTAGAATCATCATAAAAAAATAAACAACTAAAAATGTAAAAGAAAAAATAAAGACAAAATTTGATAGTAAAACTAAAGATCTAAAACCATATCATACAGCACATAAAATAAAGCAAAAGATGCACGTTATGGGGTGTTTTCTCACTATTTTTAAGTAGGCGACTTCAATATATATTTATTTATTTGGTCTTTCTTTATTTCATGTAATTTGGAATCTATAATAATGAAAGACCAGGAATGGACTTCATAAATTCTCATTCTGTTATTTGACCATACTTATTATGCAGTTAATCAATGGATGCTTATATGGGATCAGTACAGAAATACATGTTAAGTCATGTTCTTAGCCATATCACTTGGAATCACTTGCGGAGCTGTATTTTTCTGGTCGAAGAAGCTGTTTAAATCTAAAATTAAAATTTAAGATAGAACTCGTCATTTGTTAAAACAAAAAAAAAGTTTATGCTTACTTTACAATCACTTGAATCTTGAAATCTATAACAACCTTCCATCAACCATTGGCCCACAATATATTTTGCAGGATTCAGCATGAGCATCACCCACGTATACACAAGTAAACTAAGTAATCAGTCGAGAGAGAAGACATAACAAGTAATAGATATACTTGAGTTAGATCTTTTTTTTTTTGGGCTACTTGTTAAAAAATTATTGCATCAAAATATATACTTACTTTACTTTATAATCAAGCATCAAAGCAATAATTTTAGATTCTTGGTTATAAAGTCTACAGAGAAATGTTTGCTTTGATGCTTGATTATAAAGTTATATTGAATAATATAGCGTTTGGAGCTTGTTCTTGTGGTGGTAAAAATATTTGGAACCAAGCTCAAATTTTGTAAAGAGGCTTCAAACTATTTGTTCATATGTACAGTTATTTATTGGCAGTAGATTACCAACAACAAAAAAGGGGGGTAAAGAGAGATTCGTAAGACAGCAATAGAGCAAGCACATACAATTTTTTACTCAACTTTTTTAAAGTACATATATACATGTGCTCCAAAGCACTCACATGATCTCTACAATGGCCCTCGGCTTCATGCTTGGCGAGAAAAAACCTTACTTCGGACATGTATATCCCTCTTACAAAGTACTCTCCATAACTATTATTTAAATTGCCACTAACTATGTCTAATGTCAACCTTTATTAGGGTTTGATGATTATATGATATTTTTTATACGGTTATTATATATATGAAAATCTGAGACCAATGATATTTTTATACGGTTATATATATGAAAATCTGAAATGTATAAATAGATAGTACTGCAAACGTTTTTAGTAAGATTCATTTACTACTAGCTTCAGTTAAAAGTAAATAAAATATATTTTCACTTCCCGATAAAAAAGTCATATACACCAAACTTTTTAGCCATGAACATCAGTATTACGGATCTATCTAGTTTCACACTTGTTCTATTTTCCTTTACGTTGGTCTTGGCTCTCGCTACACGTTCCATGAGATCCAAGAAACCAAAAGGTCAACTTCCTCCGGGCCCGCCTGGATGGCCGATCATTGGGCACTTGTTCCACGTGATCACGAACCGGCCGGCTCAGGTGTGGATCCACCGTTCAATGGAAGTCATGCAAACGGAAATAGCTTGCTTCCGCTTCGCCAGCGTCAACGTCATCACCGTCACCTCAAGCGAGATCGCCCTAGAAGTGCTTAGGGAAAAAGACGAGGCTCTCGCAGACAGATCGGAGTCGTACACGACCAATCTCTTAAGCCATGGCTACAAAGACGTTGCTTTCTCTCCCTACGGAGAGAGTTGGAAGCTGATGAAGAAAACCATGACCAATAAACTAATGTCTCCGGCAACGTTGAACAAAACCCTCGGTGATAGAACCCTAGAAGCGGATAATATCGTCACGTATCTCTTCAATCTATCCCGATCAGGGACCATGAGGAGGCCGGTTAACGTCAGAGATATTGTATTAACTTATTGCCACGCCGTGATGATGAGGATGATGTTTGGCCAGAGGCATTTTGATGAAGCGGCCGAGGACGGAGGTCTCGGGCCGAAAGAGAAAGAGCATATGGACGCAATATACAAAGCTCTAGATTGTATTTTCAGCTTTAACGTAACGAATTACATCCCTTTTCTTAGAGGATGGAACATAGATGGAGAGGAGGCGGAGGCTAGAGAAGCGGTTGATATACTCAACGGATGCAACGATCCGATCATCCATGAGAGAATGCGTTTGTGGAGGAATAAAGGCGGAAAAGAGACGGAAGAAGATTGGCTCGATATTCTCATCACGCTAAAGAATGGCCAAGGAATGCCTTTGTTCACATTTGATGATATTAGGGCTCAATGCAAGGTCAGTGATGCTCACACTATCAAATTGTGACCGTAAACTTAGGGTTTAAATCTCTTATGCATGTCTTATCCTATATGTAGGATATCAATGTTGCAACAATCGACAATACGATGAATAACGTGGAGTGGACGATAGCAGAGATGTTGAATCATCCTGAGATTCTTGAGAAAGCCACAAATGAGTTGGACATGGTAGTTGGTAAGGACAGACTTGTCCAAGAATCAGACATACCACAACTTAACTATATCAAAGCTTGTAGTAGAGAATCTTTCAGGCTTCATCCAGCTAATACCTTCATGCCTCCTCATGAAGCCAGACAAGATACTACTCTCGCTGGTTATTTCGTTCCTAAAGGTAAAAGTCTTTCATATATATATATATATATATTATTAGATAACGATGTCCACTATCTTAATTTGGTAACAAGGAAGGACGACCAAGCGTTTATATGATAGTCAAAAAATTATATTATAAGATAAAAATGACTACTAATAGTAACGCTTTCTTGGATATTAATTTCCTAGAGATATAGACGACCATGCCTATATGACGTGTGTAAAATTACATGAGATGTAGTATTCAAACAAGACATAGACGAGCATTACTTTATGACATGTTTGATTTGTCTGATTTTAATAATAGGTAGTCAAATTCTGGTGAGCCGTCTAGGGCTTGGTCGCAATCCTAAAATATGGGACGAGCCAAACGTGTTCAAGCCTGAGCGACACCTTGCTGGCCACGAGGTGAATCTGATGGAGCCTGAGATGCGGTTCGTGACATTTGGTACTGGTAGGCGTGGCTGCGCAGGTGTTAAGATTGGGATATCTATGACCATAATGCTTCTAGCCAGGCTTCTCCAGGGGTTCGAGTGGACCCTCCCTAATGGTACAAGTCAAGTCGAGCTCGTTGCAGCTGATAGCAACTTGTTCATGGCAAAGCCTCTACTCGCTTGTGCGAAACCGAGGTTGGTTCCAACTTTATATCCGGCAATTCAGGTCTGAAATTGGGAGAAGTTATTTCGCTGGTAAAAATTATCAAGATATGTAATAACTAAAATAAGGTTTAATCAGTTTAATTACCACTAAGAATTTAAAGCAATAGACCACGCTCAGACACTACGTGTTATTGTGCTCTTTCATTATCTTCTTAATCAAATATTGCATTAATAAGACTTATTGTTATGTCAATTTAGCAACGGATATATAGCTATAGTTTCTGTTTTATTTTCCTATAAGGGTGCGATTTATTTGCGTAACCAAAAGACTATGCGTTTGTACGTAATACAACGAAACTCTCCAATGAAGTTGACCATTAAAAAAAAACTCTCACACAGCAAAGTTGGGATTGAACTTATTATATTATGCTTATGCATGGTATATTCTTGTAGATGAATTTATTCATCAGTTTCCACGTACTTTACCATTTACTGTTCAAGATTGTGATGTTATTGATGTAATTTTCTTTTTTAAAAATTTAATACAATTTTAACGTTATATGGAATATTAAATTCTGAGAAAAATATAGTCAAAACGTTAAATGAGATGGAAATGTTCCAACATGATATAGCCGAACATTATATGACATGCGTGATTTGTCTTGTATGAAACTCACACACAGACGCAAATTTGGGATTCAGCCTTTATGCACACACAGGCGCAAATTTTAGGATCTCTAAAAGGGTTAATACTAATTGGAGATAAACTTGACTATTTTTTTTGTATCTAAACTTTCAAGATGAAATTTGGTTTATAATTCCAACATTAGTGTACGAATGTGATGTGTGTATGTTCTCAACTTCAACTTTGATTTTTTTTTTATATCTATAGATATCTTGTTTCGGTTAATCAGATACTAATTAACGTACATGAGCTTCCATTTAGCTAACAGATGGCTTACTTGGCTTCTAGCAAACAATTCTTCCACATTTGGTATTCTTTTAGCTAGTAGTAACAAAAGACCTGCAAATAGTTAGAAATTAGCTTAGCTGTCCTTTTCTTCGGCAACTAGACGGTTTCTTGATCATTTTCGTGTGCATTCTCTTCGAAAATTCCATGGAGTATTGTTTTTCTAATGGAAAGGAAATAAAAATATAGTTCAAAACAGAGCAATGAACACAAGTGTGAGAAATATGTATATATAACATGCACAAGCTTCTTCCTTCATCATCTCATCATTCAAGAAAACTTGAGACTTACGCTATACAAAAAAAGGTATGGCTATGATTTGGTTTCTATCAATACTCTTTGTCACCTGTCTTCTTATCGCCGCCTTCAAACGCAAGAAGCAGCAACCAGGACCACCGTCTCCTCCTGGTTTTCCGATCATCGGAAACTTGCACCAGCTCGGAGAATTACCACATCAATCTCTATGGAGACTCTCCAAACAGTACGGTCCTGTGATGTTTTTAAAGCTTGGAAGAGTCCCAACGGTCGTAGTTTCTTCCTCTGAAACAGCAAAACAAGCTTTGAAAATCCATGACCTCCACTGTTGCAGCCGTCCAAGCTTAGCAGGTACCGTAACTCTCACTCAAGACACACCAAAGTTTTGTTTTGTTTTGCTCTATTCACATGATTCAATAACAACCGATGATTGTTGATCATTTCTCAGGGCCAAGAGAGCTGTCTTACAATTATCTGGACATTATTTTCTCTCCCTTTGATGATTACTGGAAAGAACTACGGAGGATGTGTGTGCAAGAGCTTTTCAGTGCCAAACGAGTTCACTCGATTCAACCCATCAAAGACGAGGAAGTCAAGAAACTGATCGATTCAGTCGCGGAATCAGCTTCTCAGAGAAGTCCGGTTAACTTGAGCGAGAATTTTCTTGATCTAACTGTTGGCGTGATTTGCAAGGCAGCGTTTGGTTTGAGTTTCCAAGGAACTGTGCTCAACAACGACAGATTCGACAAGTTCATCAACGAGGCATTCTTGTTTCTTGGGAGCTTCTCTGCCTCAGATTTTTTCCCAAATGGCGGCTGGATAATCGACCAGCTCACAGGGTTACAAGGGCGGAGAGAGAGAAGCGTGAGAGATCTCGATGCCTTCTATGAGCAAATGTTCGATTTGCATAAACAGGGAAACAAAGAAGGAGTTGAAGATTTCGTGGACTTGCTCTTGAGGTTGGAGAAAGAAGAGAGTGTTCTTGGATATGGCAAGCTCACAAGAAACCATATTAAAGCAATCTTGATGGTAACTATATACAGAGATTTGCAATCCAATTGTAAGAAGATATACTGTAACAATATTAGTGATTCTAACATTATTTCTTTGTTTGATCTTATCACAGAACGTTCTTCTTGGAGCCATCAATACTTCTGCGATAACAATGACATGGGCAATGGCAGAACTTGTGAGAAACCCACGAGCGATGAAGAAAGTACAAACCGAAATCAGAAACCAAATGGGGAACAAACCAATGATCACCTTGGATGATACGGATCAGCTAAATTACTTGAAAATGGTGATCAAAGAAACATGGAGGCTACATCCTCCAGCACCTCTTCTTGTTCCAAGAGAAGTAATGTCTGAGTTTAAGATCAATGGCTACAAGATTCAACCCAAGACACGGCTTTATGTGAATGCTTATGCTATCGGACGTGATCCTGACATCTGGAAAGATCCAGAGATGTTTCTCCCGGAGAGGTTTATGGATAATGACATTGATGCAAAAGGACAGAACTTTGAGCTGTTGCCGTTTGGAAGTGGCAGGAGAATCTGTCCAGGAATGTACATGGGGACAACAATGGTGGAGTTTGGTCTGGCGAATATGTTGTCTCGTTTTGATTGGGAATTACCAGAAGGCATGTCGGTCGAAGATATCGACATGGAAGAATCTCCTGGACTCGCTGTGGGCAAGAAAAACGAGCTTCTACTTGTTCCTGTTAAGTTCTTATAGATCATTGATCACTTAAACTATGCAAGTTCTCCATGAGATTACAAAATACAATGTAGCACCGATTGTACCGAAATAAAACTATATCTTGTGTTCCTTTCTTTCTTATCGTGTAAATCAAACAGTGTTGAATCGTCTTTATCATTGTGAGTAGACTAACTTCGTATTAGAAACAATAATATGGACCATCTTTCAAGTGTATCCATAAGATGGTCAATTCATGAAACTAAATCAGTTGATTCTTCACCAAAACATTTCGAGTATTATCCCATCCGCATGGAGGAATCATGGGAGACACAAATTTTCAAATACCAGACATAACTACATCATTCGCAGTATCAAAGAAACATGAATCTAAGATTCTGACCATAGCAGAAGAGTTGTGACAAAACTCTTAAAAAGCTAAAAAGGTCATCAAAGTATTTACTCGGCCGCCTCTTCCATCACCTGCTCCGCGGTGGTGGCTGGAACCACGGGGTAATAGTGGTAATGCAGCTCGCCAACGTCATCTCCAGAGAGTTTCTTCCATCCATTAGGCCCAACGTGGTACACTGATCATATAGATTGAAGAAAGTTTCAATTCAGAATCTTGATGTAAGAGAAAATGTTATATATCAAAAGATAAGATGATGCATTTTTGCACAAGAAGAAGAAGAGAGGATTGTTCTTTTTACCGCTGGCAACTCCACCACTAGCTCCATCGCGGAATGTAGCATGGTAGATAGATCTCCTTGCTAACTCCGAGGCTTCCTCAACCGACATCTCGAATTTGTATCTGTTGACACACAAAAAAAAAGACCATATGATCGGTAACAGTACTAACTTTTGGAGTGTGCAAACAGATGAAGATTAAAAATAGAGAGTTACCCGCTGTCAAGAACACCATAAGCGTATGGTGAGCCCGAACCTACAGAGAATCTGTCTCCTTTAAGCCGTCCTCCTTCATTGTCAACGTAGTACAATCCAGGGCCCTGTTCCACAACGAGAGTGACTTTTCTTAGTGAAATTAAAGACGGGGAAAGAGATAGAGTTTGGTGTACTGACTGTTTCATCCCATCCAGCAATCATAGTGCCAACGGAGAGCCCCATTCCACGGTATGAGTAGAGCATGTTGGCAAGAAGCTTCGAAGCTCCTGAAACAGAGATTCTCCTTTTGTTTTCAAGCTCGTGTAGACGGCACTACGATAGACAAATAAACAACTCTCTATAAGAGACATTGATCCAGCATAGTGCAGATTTGGTATACAAGATAGTTAAAACGAAGTAGACACAAGAAACTGAAGAATCCAGGTATACAATAGAGAAGAAAAGGTATGCTCTTAGTGTCAATCTCAGCTAAGATATTTTGTTCTCATTCTTGGAAACAAACGGCATACAAAACATTTAAGTCCCACACAATGCAATATAACTCAACTGATTTCAGAAATCAACAAGCAAAGGAGAGACAATGAGTAACCTAATTCAGAAAGCTAACAAGATTAAGATTCGGTACCTTAATTCCAAGATTCCGGTGCCAGAATTGGCAGTCAGCAGCTCCACCAGCCATTGTACCAAGCATGTAAGGATTGATTTCAATAATCTTCTTCACAGACTGTGACGCTGAATGGAGAAAAGAAAAAAAAAACACCAGCAATCACCAAAAATGGCTCCTTTCTTTCACAGTACAGTTTCACTAGCCAACAATAACAAAGAGTAGAAATTTGTTCAACTATCCAAGACAGGACTAAAGCCAACAAGAATATAATTCAATCTTCATTGTCAAGATCCTAAAGCTGATTGTGGAAAAAATCTTTGAAGAGCTCACAACTAATCCACCTACAGATATCTGAGAAGTATATAAAAATATAAATTCAAAGAGAAACATACAGATATATCCTCCCATGCTTGCTCGAGAATCAGCAGCTACCATAACACCTTCTTTGAAGATAAACGCGAGTGTGGTTGTACCCTTTGCAGGCTTCACCATCTGTACAGCTTCTTTCTGAAACCCATCAAACTAAAAAACATACAAAAAAAGCAAATTTCGAAATCAAAACACCTTTGCAAATTGGAATCCAAAAACAAGAAATTTAATTTCGAAACTCAAAGCTCACGTCGGTTGTACGGGGAAGATCAAACGAAGGTACAGAAGAAAACCCTTCAAGCATCTCGCTGCTCGATCCAAACCCAATCATAGGCTTAGTTGTCTCGAATCCACTAAAATCAAGCTTCATTGTCAAAAACCCTACAGAATCATCGGAAAATCCATTAAAATTATAAATTATCTAGCTTGAGGTACACCCGAATCAGATATAAATCAAAGAGCTTCCTCGCATAAATGACAAATCGGATCGAATGTGTGTGTGCAAAATCCTTAAACCATTATACTTATCTTCAAGCCAAATTAACGACACAATACCTAAATTATGGGTTTGAGACATACCTTGCTGAGGAAAAGCTACGAAATCGAGACGCAAAATTAACTACGCAGAAGAAGTGTGAGAGCTGACGAATGACGAAGAGGAAAATAGAAAAGTCACTTCTATGGAGGGATGTTTCTTGAGCTCTGGGCAAACCGCACTGGACCAGATTTGGGCGATCGGGTCGGGTTGAGTCGTTTCGGGTCATACTGATGTTCCATTATTGGGCCTTTTGGCCATTGTTGGGCCTTTATCGGCCATTATTGGGCCTTTTCTCAAATACTGTGTCAACGGCCCATGGGTATCAAATATTGTGCCTTAGATAATAGGCAAAAAAACATTTGAGATTATTCTTTTCTTTTCGTGAAACATTTATAAAGTTTAAGCATTATTAACTTCTACTTTGCAAATGATTTTACAGTTAATAAATCTGGTAGTATCATCAATGAGTACAGAAAATTAATTATTTTCTAGAGGTGACAAAAAATAAATAAAAAAGGAGCAAACGCAAACGGGAGGACGCTAGCGTTTGGTACTGCATCTTCTGGCTCGCATAGTTCCTGAAGGAGGGCTATTCAAAGAGAAGCTGCAATGAGTATGCAATTTATAAGAGTACCTAAGCAACGGCCCTAAATTCGAACGTGCGTGAAACGTTCCTCTCAGGTTCAACAAAACCGGACCGGTTTCAATCTGACGCTGCAGCTCCCGGCTCTGCGTCGGCTGGAGCTGAACCTGACTGCTCACGAGGTGAACATTCGCAAACTTGGACATTTTCTTCGGGACTTTAAACGGCTCGATGTACTGAGACGCTATGAGAGTGTTGTAATAGTAAAGCTCGAACACCACGTAGCTAAACTCAACACCAGCTTTCTTGTTCGGGTTTGTAAAGTTTGCTAAAACGGTTAGATCTCCGTTTAGGAGAAAACCCATGTCGAGATAAGCGGCGTTTAAGTTAGCCGCTGAGATGTCGATGTGAGGAGAGCGTGGACGGTACACGAGGTAGACGATCAGGACTATTAGACCGCCGAGGATAAGAATGATCCAGAAAATCGCACAGCAAAAAGCAGCCGACCATGTCATTGCGTTTGTCTGATCTCTTGAAGGCGGTGGTAACCGTGGGTCGCCACGGCGGTGATGCGGTGACGGTGTTGGAGCGGTTCTCCATGGTGTTGGTTTGGCTATTGGAGGTAGTGATGTTGGATAACCGCCGCCACCGCGTGGTGGTTGTGGTGGTGAAGGTCGTTGTTGCTGTTGTTGTTGTTGTTGTTGATGATGATGATCTTCAGGGGTTAATAGTAATGGTCTTTTAGCAGATTTTGGAGTTTTTCTCGGTGGTTGTCTCTCTTCAGGGCTTGATAGTAATGGTATCTTTGCAGAGTTTGAAGTTTTCCGTGGCGGTAGCTTCTCTTCCGGGCTAAGTGGTAAAGGTATTGCGGAAGGCGGCGGTTCGTGGACTGGAGCTTTGCGGTTGCGACCGCGAGGCTTGATTAGGATTCCGGGAGGAGCTTTTGAGTGAGATTGCGGTGTTTGATGGTGGTGATGAGGAGGTGTTTGTGAGGTAGAGGCACCACCGCCTTTGACATGTTGATTCTGCGATGGGAGGCGAGCGAAATGAGGGTTGGTTTCGTAGTGATGATGAGACATTTAGAGGAAGAAGCCTAAAAAAGCATCAAAGAGGAAATTTGATAACATAAGATGAGTTGAGAGATTTCTTCAACTGTTTGTAATATCTGAACGGGAGAGAGAGAAGAGAGGATAACTTGGTGACAAGTTCAAGGATTCTTGTTGTGTGAAATAATCTCTCTTAAGAAAATAAAATAAACAAGGAAACTAATGCAATGAAGCAAGTAATCTTTTTTGTAGATTCCTTGCACTAAATCACAATCAGGCTCTATTATAGATCAAGCAAAAGAACAAAAAGAAGTTTTTTTTCGAATGATTATGGAATACTTGGGGGAAAGAGAAGCCTTATTCATAAGAGTAAACAACTAATGGTAAACCAAGATTATACCAATTCCACATTGATTCCACTCATCAAAAGGTTCAATATGAAAAAAACTCTTGACCATCACTGTGTTTATATCACACATACTAGCACTGATCAACATTAACTCCCAGAAAAAATAACGTAATGGAAAGCAGAAGACGAATGGTTATAGCAGCAATGTTGTTTCGGCTCAGTTCTCATAAACCTCTGCAAAGAATAAAATGAGAAAAGCAATTACAATCTGTTGAATCCAATTATAGCTATACTGCAACAATGGTATATGTTCTTGTAGTTTTTTTTTTCCTAAATTCATGGTTTTTATCATACCCAATGAATCAAACCAGTTCATGAGATCAAGTGTGAGTTAACAACAACCATTAAAACCCTAAATGCGAAACATTTTCGGAAATTATACCTGACTTTCTTGATGAGGATCGACTGAAGTTTGCGAGCAAAGTCAATGGATTTGATCCTGCGTTCCAGATTCTTCCTAGCAAGGACCTTCTTCTCCGAATTCTTAATGTGATGAGTCTGGTGCGCTTTGATCAGCCTCTCCATCCCGCTTGACTGCATCTTCCTCTGCAAAATCGTCAGCGCCTTGTCCAGATCTCCGGAAAATACCTTCACCCTTATTCCTCGCTCCTGCTGAAACTGGTTTTGACTCGTCCGAGTCATTAATCCCGTGACTCGCTTCGCTATCGTGTTCATCTTCCCGAGAAAATGTTTATCCCCTTACACTCGATTTCTGAGAGATAAGAGTTCCAAAATGATGGATGAGAAATAAAAACAACAGAGAATCGGAGGGGAAATCAATCGAATCCGATTTCGACTTACTTAGTCGGAATCTCGCCGAAGAGATCAAAAACCCAAATGACTGATGATGACGGAGAATGTCTAGGTTAGAAGAAAAAGCGCTTAAACTAGCGATGGAGGTACTGAGACAAATTCAGAGAGTTAATGGGTGATTATGTAATTATAATAAAGTATAGAGTTGCGTTTGTAAATATAAAAAGAAGATAATCCTCTGTCTGATTTAGAGAGTATTGACTTTGAAGATGAAGAACATGTGTAAAGTCTTTCAAAAAAGCTTTCTTTAATTTCGTCTGTCGAGTGTTTTCGAGTCTCTCCAAGCTCTTCCTCACATGGCAGCGTCTCGCATAGTAAGCTGAAGAACTGTTTGCTATCCATAGAGATTGAGAGAGATAGAGAGAAGAAGAGAGAGATAGAGAATCGATAGATTAAGCTGGCGACTTTTAGCCCGAGGCGAGCAATGGCGGAGTTGCGGCACTCGAGCTCTGTCGGGAGCCGATCTTCTTCCTCCCCGCTACGTGCCGGAGGCGGAGAGGAGGACTCGTCGTCACCTCACGTACACGATCACTCTCCCAACGGCGGAGACGACGAAGATGGACGACCACGTCATCCCTCGAATCGAGACCGTCCGATCTGGTCACTATCTGGGTTTCACTCTTTATTTCCTTTCCTCGGCGACGATCCTAGGGTTTCTCCTCAGAAGAATAAAATATCGCTCCTCTTGATATTGATTCTCGCCGTCGCAAGCTTGATCTCCGTTTACGGGATTATTAATCACTTGGTGAGTCTTTCTTTCGATCTACGGATTGTGAGATCTTCTGTTATTAAAAATTTCAACTCTCTCAGATTCAGGCTCTATGTTCAAACTGTTGAATCGATTTGGGAAAGTTTTAGTTTGCTCACGAATTCTCTTCTAAAGTAAAAAGCAAGGGACTTTTTTCTATATATTATAGGATTTACATTATTCTCAAGCTAAGATCTCTTGTATGATCTCTATCTCTGTTTCTGCAGAATGCACCATATTTGTGTAAAAAAGATGGAATTGTGCTTAACTGCCCTCATGTAAGTGTTTGAGCTTTTTGGAATGTGTTTGTTCAAATGCAATCCCTTAAATCGAATTGTGTATTCGTTTGCATTTCTAGGTGAAAGAGTCACCTTCTCCTTGGGAGAATCCTTTGTCTGCAACAACTTCTTGGAAACCTTGCGCTGAGCGGCGGATTGGTGGAATCTCAGGTATTAAAAAGGGCTAGAGGATCGCCATTGATATTGTCAATCTGTCTTTTCGTGAAAGTTCAATTATTTGTTGATGGCTGCTTATTAGATTTCATCAACTTTTTTTGTTCAGATCTTCTTCCTGAGAACGAAACAAATGGCTATGTTTTCATTCATGCTGAGGGTGGTTTGAATCAGCAGCGAATTGCTGTATGTACTTTCCATGCTTTGATCTCACTTTCCTCTTTCTTTTTCTTTTTTTCATTTTGGATGGTTGAGTTATGCACTTTTATGGCTTTTTGTTTACAGATCTGTAATGCAGTAGCTGTTGCCAAGATTATGAATGCAACTCTGATTCTACCAGTACTGAAGCAGGACCAAATTTGGAAAGACCAAACGTAAGCAGTTTATTCAGATGTTGATTTCATTATCTCTCGAATACTTTTTCTAAATTTCTAGGTACTGCTGCTACTTTGTAGTTTGTATACTAGTTATGATTATTGAAGCACACTGATAATGGATTCATGTACTCTCTCTATTCTCTTTATAGTTTACTGAGTCTGTTAGCGTTCTTTTGCAGAAAATTTGAAGATATTTTTGATGTAGATCATTTCATTGATTACTTGAAAGATGACGTCAGAATTGTTCGAGATATACCTGACTGGTTCACTGACAAAGCAGAGTTATTCTCTAGTATAAGGTTTGTATTTCAACTCTATATATTTGTTAATTATATACTTGTTTGAACATTTCAAAAGTGAGCTTGTGGGTGTATGGCGTCATCGGTTATGCCTTGTGTATATTCTGATTAAAAAAGTTATCACAGTTTATTTATTTATCAAATAAGATTTGGACTCTTTTTTTTTTTGTTAATCTTCTGCAGAAGAACAGTCAAAAACATTCCAAAATATGCAGCAGCTCAGTTCTACATAGACAATGTTTTGCCTCGGATAAAGGAGAAGAAGATAATGGCCTTGAAGCCTTTTGTCGATCGACTTGGGTATACTCTATATTCGATAGTTCTATATAGACAATGTTTTGACTCAAGACTTTGGAAAATTTCTTACAAACGATGAATGATATTATCCTTGTGGTGCTGGAAAATTTACAGGTACGACAATGTACCTCAAGAAATCAACAGATTACGATGCCGTGTAAATTATCATGCTCTCAAATTTCTCCCAGAGATAGAGCAGATGGCTGATTCACTTGTTTCTAGAATGAGAAATCGCACTGGAAATCCGAATCCGTATATGTATGGTGATATCAGTCTTCTAGAACTTTGTTTAAACTTGGGACCTTATGCACTGTTGCGACTAAAATCTACATCTGTGTCTCTTTTGTTAGGGCTCTTCATCTTAGATTCGAGAAAGGAATGGTTGGTCTATCGTTCTGTGATTTCGTGGGAACAAGGGAAGAGAAAGCTAAAATGGCAGAATACAGACAAAAGGAATGGCCTCGGCGTTTCAAGGTGACATTTATAAATGGTTGGATAACTTCTGTTTGGTGCTTAAAAAACCTCAACTGCTGTCTAAACGAATTTGCTTGTCGTGTATTGCAGAATGGTTCCCATCTCTGGCAGCTCGCTTTACAGAAGCGCAAAGAAGGTCGATGCCCTCTTGAGCCAGGAGAAGTCGCTGTGATCCTACGCGCAATGGGATATCCAAAAGAAACACAAATCTATGTAGCATCTGGTCAAGTCTATGGCGGCCAAAACCGTATGGCTCCACTAAGAAACATGTTCCCAAACTTGGTAACACCACCGGACTCTATATCTCATCAGATTCTATAATGAATCAGCATGCTTGTCACTCACAACAGCTGTCCTTTTAAAAAAACCAGGTAACGAAGGAGGATTTAGCAGGCAAAGAGGAACTAGCAAGCTTTAGAAAACACGTAACAAGCCTCGCTGCTCTAGATTTCTTGGTATGTTTGAAGTCGGATGTGTTTGTGATGACACACGGTGGAAACTTTGCGAAACTGATCATTGGAGCACGGAGATATATGGGTCATCGCCAGAAATCGATAAAACCGGATAAAGGGTTGATGTCGAAATCATTTGGGGATCCTTACATGGGATGGGCAACTTTTGTGGAAGATGTAGTTGTAACCCACCAAACACGGACCGGTTTGCCAGAAGAAACTTTCCCTAACTACGATCTGTGGGAAAATCCTCTCACTCCATGTATGTGTAAAGCTTGATGATGCTTTTGTTTTGCACTGTGAGCTGATTCGGCTTAAAAAGCGAGTTTGGTCTGGATTTTGTCTGAGGAGAGCAACAGACTATAGAGATATGGTAGTTTCCCTTCCTTTTTTCCTTAATTTTTTTAACCTTTCATAGCCTTATTTATCTTTGTAATCATTTTGATATTATGTAAAGTTCCTAGTGAAGGAAAAAAAGTTTACAAAGATACGTTGAGCCGTCGGTTTTGAGGTTTATCCATCGTAGAGTTTCAAGTATGGTTTAGACAAATGCAAATGAAAGAATAGGACTTGTAGAAGAACAAGACAATTTCGAGTTCCATTGATACATTTTAAATCTCGTCAAGAATCATCTTCGAATTCCACTAGAACTTATTACAAACCTTTCATCTCTTATGCCTTTGTCTTCCTCCCAAATGAGAACTGAACCAGGAAGCTCACGAACGCACAAAAGGACTCAAGAACTAGCACAAAACTCAGTTGGTTCGTTTCTTATGCTTATTTTGTCTTCTCTCGTTCAACTCTTTCTTAGACTAGTACTAAAACTTTTGCTATCTCAAGTGGATATCTCAAAACATGTATAGACTTTTCGAGATATGTCAAAAGAGAGTGACAAAAGTGCAAAGTTCTTTTATGAAAATAGGTTTATGTCGTGTAATTTCTCTTAAAAATAGTTCAACGGTTACTAATCTAATCCTCTATCTTCTTAATTCTTGTCACGCTAGTAGTACCCGCCATTAACGACAATCGCGTGCTCTAGTCTCTCAGGTTCTCAAAAACATAAGAGGAAACAAAAAAAGAACAAGACATCATCATAATCGGGTCTCATCGCTATGATCGGACAATCCCTTGAGAGAACCGGGTCGACCCGGTCCATCCTCTTCTTCATCATCCTCAACCTTTCCATTTATAGGTACTTCTACCTTCTTCTCTTACCTTTACTCCACTGTTTTATTTCATAATCCGTCTTGAAAATTTCAAGCTTGTTTTGTTGGGTCGATTTCGATTTTGATTTTAAGCCGAGTGTTCTTTGTCTGATCGATCGCGAATTTTCAGTATCCCGATCAACGCAAAGTCGAACGAACATGCGAGCTTTCCTCCAAGAGGATGGAATTCGTACGATTCCTTTTGCTGGACTATCTCTGAAGCTGAGTTCTTGCAAAGCGCTGAAATCATTTCAAAGCGTCTTCTTCCTCATGGATATCAGGTCTTTGCATTAAACACCAAAAACCCCTGAAATTTTTACCCATTTCTGAATTTCTAATTGAGTTTCTTCTTCAATTGAAATGTGAAAATTTGGTTTTTTTTTTTTTTTTTTTAAACATCCTGTGTTGTGTGTGGATTTGGATACAGTATGTTGTGGTGGATTACCTTTGGTACAGAAAGAAAGTTGAAGGAGCTTATGTGGAGTCTCTTGGGTTTGATGTGATTGATGAATGGGGAAGAATGCATCCTGATCCTGCAAGATGGCCGTCTTCTAAAGGCGGCAAAGGTTTCACTGAAGTCGCAGAGAAAGTTCATAGAATGGGTTTGAAGTTTGGGATTCATGTTATGGGAGGAATAAGCACACAGGCTTATAACGCAAACACTCTTGTTATGGATAGTGTCAAGGTATTTGATTTGATATCTTTTTTTCCGGTTTATAAAGTTTGTTTGCAAGTTTAAAAATTGGATCTTTTTTATGCTTCAGGGAGGTGCTTATGAAGAATTGGGTAGACAGTGGAGGGCGAAAGATATTGGGATAAAGGAGAAGGCTTGTGTGTGGATGCCACATGGGTTCATGAGTGTGAATACAAAGTTGGGTGCAGGGAAAGCGTTCTTGAGATCTCTTTACCGACAGTATGCTGAATGGGGAGTCGACTTCAGTAAGAGAATTTGACATGATTTTTACATAATAACTTTCTTGTCTGAATTCAGTATATGGAATATCTTAACCTTGTCTCGTTTTTCTTGGTCTTTAGTAAAACATGACTGCGTATTTGGTAATGACTTCAATATAGAGGAGATAACGTTTGTGTCAGAGGTACATAAACCGTGTTTGTAATGTCTACAAGCTTCTGGTTTGAAGTCAGAGGTACATAGAAGAAATGTAATCCTTTTAGTTTTGTTCGTTCGCAGGTTCTGAAGGAGCTTGATCGGCTTGTTCTGTACTCCATATCTCCAGGGACGAGTGTGACACCTACAATGGCTAAAGAAGTTAGTCAATTGGTTAACATGTACAGAGTAACAGGTGATGATTGGGACACATGGAAAGACGTCATGGCACATTTCGATATCTCGAGGTCTAGCTTCATGTGCATTACGTAGCTGTGAAAATGCTTTTACCAACCTTTCTTTGATGTATAGAAATTTGCAATTCTTCCAGGGATTTATCTGTTTCTAGTATGATCGGTGCACGAGGGTTACAAGGAAAATCATGGCCGGACCTAGATATGTTACCTCTTGGATGGCTTACTGATCAAGGTTCGAACTTTGGACCTCATCGAGCGTGTAATCTTAATATGGAAGAACAAAAGACACAGGTATATAGCTCAAGCTTTCACAGATCATTAGTTTATCAGTAATCCTCTAATGCATAATTCGCATGTCTCTTAGGCTCTGTTTATGCTTGTTATTTAGATGACATTGTGGTCTATTGCAAAGTCCCCTCTCATGTTTGGAGGTGATGTGAGAAAGCTTGATGACGCCACTTATAGTCTGATCACAAATCCTACACTGCTGGAAATCAACTCTTATAGCTCTAATAACAAGGAGGTTTGTTAAATCATAACTTCAAAACTCATATCTCTATCTTCCGAGTTACAAACTTCTGTCATCAAACTCTGTCTGTTTCTTTTTTTTTTTTTACAGTTTCCTTACATCACTGCGACAAGAGTATCTAGGAATAAGCACAAAAGCCATCCTCGTCATCCAACGGGCAACAATGTTTCAACTAAACATGCTTTTGGTCTCACTAGCTGCAAAGAACCAAAAGCCAACACTTGGTCCATTGTAGACAAGAACCGTGGACAAATCTGTTGGAACAACCAATACTCCAGCGAAAAACTAGAGAAGCCCTTTTGCTTATACAACAGAAAAGCTCTTCTAGCTTCGTAAGATTCTTTTTTTTCTCTTTTAACTTTTTCTTCCACTCACTTTACATTTCATAATCCCCTCCCTTAACCAGTTTATCTGCTTCGTTTTGGTGCAGCAACGAGGAGATCAAACACAACCAGCTTTATCAAGGCAAGCTTCATTTACAAACGAATGATAAAACAGAGTCTTGCTTAGGTGCTTCCTCGAAGCAGAAGCTCACTTCGAAAGATTATAGTCGAGGTGCCTTATCACCTTGCAAACTAGTTGCAAACCAGGTACTACAAACGATCTTCAATCTCTCTCGCTATTAACTTGATATCATATCTTCATTTTCCTATAACTCACATCATAATCTTCAGATGTGGGAGCTCCACAGTAATGGAACACTAGAAAACAGCTACTCTGGTCTTTGCGCCGTGTTAAATCCAGTGAAAGGTTTTTACTTTCAGATCATATAAACTATAGTATTATACTTTCTTTCGACATTCTCTCCTTTATCCAATCGTTGACATTATCACCGATCTTCCGCAGCAGCCGAAGCTAGCTCCAATGGTGTTCGTTCTTGGATTGCCACGGGAAGAAGAGGTGAAGTATATGTCGCCTTTTTCAACTTAAATCCGGTGAAGACGACAATATCAGCCAAGATATCAGACATTGCTAAGGCTCTTCAGAACAAGAATAATCTTGAAGGAGCTTCATGTAAGAGCCACGAGCTATGGAGCGGCAAAGATTTCGGACCAACTAAAGATTCAGTGTCGATTCAAGTCGAATCTCATGGTCCTGCTCTGTTCGTTCTTCATTGTAGCCATGCATGACTATCTCAGATCAACAGACTTTTCCTTTACCTTCTCCATCCGACGTCGTTTCTAGTGATGTTTCATCTTTAGCCTATAAAAATGGAGTTTGTATGTATAATCTTATGCTTCAGTTTACTAGATAATCATATGATAAAAATTAATTAGGTAAGTGATCATGTTTTTTCAAAATGTGACGCCCAATGATAAATGTTGTTTTGTCACTAGAAAGGACTAATTAATTTATCCACCTAATTGTGCCCTTAATAATTACTATGTCATTAAAATTTATTTCTTTTAAAAAAATTTGATTAAAATGAGTTAATAGAATATAGATTTACGACCGTTCATTTCATTGAAGTCAACCGTCACTTGCTTTAAAACGTAGCGTGACCACACGCTGAAGCCGTAACTTCCATCCAGCTCTCGTCACTGAGTGGTACGTGTCCCTCACGCTCCTTCCAAACGCGTGGTTCTCGATTTTCCGTCCATCGCTCCTTCGTTCTGAAGCATGCAAAAAAAACAGCTTCAAAGGAATAAATCTCGATTTTTTTAATGATTTTCTCCAGAAAAATTTTCATCTTCACACAAAAGGAATAATCTTCCGAACGGTTTCTTCTGTGGATTAAGCTTTCGTCGGAGCCCTAAATCGTTTTCACTTTTCCGTTTTCAATTTTTTGCTGTTCCTGGCGATATAGATCTCTCCGTCTCACTCCAGCATCTTCCTTGTTCAGATCTGGGAATTGTTCAGATTCTGATATCAACTGGAGGATGTCGAAACCCTGGGGAGGAATCGGAATTGGGGCGTGGGCGGACGAAGCCGAGCGTGCCGATGAAGAGCAAGCGGCGGAAGCTACGGCGGCTGCGGCGGATGTGCAGAGTTTTCCTAGCCTGAAGGAGGCTGCGAGTGCGAACAATGCCAAGTCTAAGAAGAAGAAGAAGATGACTCTGTCGGAGTTTGCTTCGGGGGCTTACACAGCACCTGCAGGTAGAAATTCCGTTGGATTGACGCAGCAAGAGATTCTTCAGCTACCGACTGGTCCCAGGCAACGCTCGGAGGACGAAATGCAACCTGGACGCTTAGGCGGTGGATTCTCTTCTTACGGAGGTCGTTCTGGTGGACCTCCTGGCCGAATGGGGCGAGATCGAGATGATTCCGATGGCTCTTGGGGTGGTGGAGGTGGTGGCCGGAGACCCTACGGCGGCGGATTTGATGACGACAGGAGAGGACCTCCGTCTAGGATGGATTTTGCGCAGCCTTCGAGAGCTGACGAGGTTGATGATTGGGGAAAAGCTAAAAAACCGCTTCCTTCTTTCGATCAAGGACGACAGGGTGGTCGTTATGGTGGCCTCGGAGGCGGTGGCGGAGGTAGTTATGGAGGTGGTGGCGGTGGCGGTGGCAGTTTTGGCGGTAGCGGTGGTGCTGGTGGTTTCTCCAAAGCTGACGAAACCGATAATTGGGCTGCAGGTAAAAAGCAAGCTCCGGTTAGATCATCTACATTTGGGTCCAGTTTCGGTGACTCAGACCGCGAATCAGACCGTTGGTCTAGAGGAGTAGCCGGAGGTGGTGTTCAGGAGGAACGTCGTCGACTTGTTTTGGAACCACGAAAGGTTGACTCAGGAGGAGCAAGCGAAACTCCCCCAGCTGCTGCTGCGAAGACGAGTAAGCCGAGCCCGTTTGGGGCGGCTAGACCAAGGGAGGATGTTTTGGCGGAGAAAGGTTTAGACTGGAAGAAGCTTGACTCGGAGATTGAGGCTAAGAAAGGAAATTCTCAGACGAGCAGGCCAACGAGCGCACATTCGAGCAGACCTTCCAGTGCTCAATCAAACAGGTCTGAGAGTTCGGGACTGAATAATGCGGTGAAACCGAGACCAAAGGTGAATCCTTTCGGCGACGCGAAGCCTCGAGAAGTGTTGCTGGAGGAACAAGGGAAGGATTGGCGCAAGATGGATATGGAACTCGAGCATCGCAGGGTTGACAGGTCCTCATTCATCTGAATATTGGTTTTCTTCTGCTTGATCGATATTTGCTTCAGAAAGTTTTAGAATTTTGAAGTAACTGCTTGATATTTAACTTTAGAAATTGTCAATCTTTAGGTAGTTGGATGGATGAATGTAGGAGATTAAAATGCATGGAGGTGATAACTTAAAATAAGTTTTTGCCACTTCTGCTTTAGGTTTCAGATCCCCAAATGGCATTTCTCTGAAGGGATTCTGTACACATTAGTTATAGAGTCTTCATGATTCTGAAAATGTGTGATACTCTGTCGCATATCTGTGTTCTCTCAATAGAGTTCTTTCGACATCGGTGATTGTTTTTAATATTCAGCCTCTCAGTGCATTGATTGACTGTTGATTTAGATAACATTAACACCTGCTTGTTTCAGCTTAGTTGTTATTTGAGCTGAAAGTTTTGAGATGCATCTTGTGTGATTGTGTGATGTTATGAACTCTGTGATGCTTTTTTCTTTAGCTTAATTACAATTGGCTATTGATCACTGTGTCGTGAAAACAAAATTTTCCAGGCCTGAAACAGAAGAGGAGAAGATGTTGAAGGAAGAGATTGAAGAACTAAGGAAAAAGCTCGAGAAGGAATCCATTGATACAGAGGTCAAGGAATCGGATCAAGAACCGGGGAGTAACAACAATCACCATGATTTACCGGAAACTATACGCGGGAAGGAGAAAGATCTTGAAATACTAACCCGCGAGTTGGACGACAAAGTCAGGTTCAGACAGAAACCAGTTGAGAGGCCCGGGTCTGGTGCAGGCAGAACAGGTTCATTTTCAGAAAGGACACATTCCCGGTCTGGATCAATCGATGAATCAAGGAGTTTTGAATCCATGGAGAGACCAAGATCACGTGGTGCCGTCGATGCTTGGGTTAGACCCGTCGATGAGCAGCGAAGAAACTTCCAAGGAAGCAAAGAGCGCGGATTCTTCAGCAACAGGTTTGTTCGTTACTATAAAAAAATCTCTATCTTTTAAGTTTAAACCAGAAATGGCGATATCATATTAATTTCTGAAATCTTGGATTTCGACAGGTCGTCGTCTAAGCAAGGATGGTAAGGAGGAAACGAAGAAACAACCAAATGTGGGATGTTTGTTTAACTACTACTACACCATTCTCAGATTTTGAAGAAGACTTAGAAGAAGCGTTAATTTATATTAATAAAAAAAATTATCTATCTTCTTTGAAAAAAACTCTAATCTTTGTTCTTTTTTGTTGGTTCATCTTCGGAATCGGAGCCTTCGTTGTTTTGTTTTTGTCTTCTGCTCAGCGAAGGCGTGTGCCTCAAGAGAATGTGTCTCTTTTGTTGCATTTTTAATACCTTCTCGAATCCTGATTGTTATATTTTTTGTAGTTTAAACTTTAAATCCTTTTGTTTCTCATCTCCTTTGTTATGTATAAAGCACTTGTTTGCCAATAACACCTGAAATCTGATTTGTATTAGAAAATGGAAATGAAAATCTTCACAACAAGAAAGTAAAAAAAAACGACAGCGTTCAGCAAAAACCAAACAGAATACAACACAAGGAACACAAAAACTCATGCCTACACATACTTTCCTCTGTACTTTGGTTTTGGATCTTTAAAGGATTTGGAATCAGTGTGAATCTGAGAAGCATCATTAGGCTTAAACACAGAGGAATGGATATTACCATCCTCTAACCACTTGAGATGATTCTCTCTAAACTCTAAATGCATCAAACGAGCAGCTTCTTCAATCTCTTCACCGTAAGGCTCAACTTTCACCATCGTCAGCAAAACCCTACTGTACCGAGAGCTCAGGATCTGTTCGGAGACGGCGACCAACTTGAAACAGGGGTGCTCGGGAAACTTAACCTCACCGCCTTTCTCATCTCTCAGAACCGGGAAAAAGAAGACGAGCCTGCCTTTCATCACCAGCATTCTTGCAGCAAGGTTAAGCAGATCATGAACACACTCCACTAGACTATACGCACCAGTGGATGGGATGTGATCTGTTCTTTTGTCATCAGGGACGGTGTAAGGTTCCACTGTCCCTCTAAGGATTTTCCTCCCACCGGACTTGCGTCCACCAGCTCGAACCCCATAAGGTGGATCACAGATAATCGCATCAAACATCTGCATCGATGAATACAGAAGACTTAAACCTGTGATCTCCACTCGATAATCAAGAGATGATAATGAAAGAACTAAGAGAGAAAGAGAGAGTGTATTACCTCCTTTAGACCGGAACGCCAAGGAGGAAGATTATTATCCATTCTAAGTAAAGCAACTGGCATAGGTAGTCCATACTGCAGAAGCGATAAACGATATAAGAATCAGAATAATTTCGAAACGAAAGAACCAAACATAACAGGAGAAAGTTAAGGAATCAAACCTGCTTGAAATTGCTCCAAACATTACAGTCTGGACCACGTCCATCACGCACAACTCTGATATCAATATCTGCACCCTAATAAAAAAACTCTTTTTTGTCAATTTGGGGGACAGAACAGTATCAAGAAACTTGAGGGAAGGTTTGCAAACCATTGTCATTGCGCCAAAACGCGCAGCAGAAACAAGAATGCTCCCTGTACCGACGAAAGGGTCGTACACGAGCTTTCCAGATGTAGCTTTTGCTTGATTGGCCATTAAGAAAGCCATTTCAGCGTCCATAGCAGTCGGGCCAAGGTAATTGCGAGATTTCAACTGAAAAGTCGGCAAAAGCTTCCTATCAGCAAAACCAACCTCCCTCCCGAAAAAGATCCTTCTTTGCACAATAGGTGGAAGTCCATTGTTCTCTTCAGATTCATCCATTTCCATGAGAAAGAAGTTGTGATCTGGGTTTTTCAAGTTTACCCTTCCCTGCAATAATCAAATCACCAAATGTTCATAGGAATAGAGACCCAAAAAAGACTGAAACAAAAAGTTTTCTTCCATGGACGTGGGATTAGACCTCGAATGGGATATAAGTAAGTGAATGGATTCGATCCTTCTGCTCATCGAAAGTCATGGCCTTTCCGAAAGTTTCGACAGAGATCCTAAATGTGGAACCGGAAGTGAGAAATGGAAGCTTTCGAGAATCAGGGTAGCTTTCAATGGAGTCTTTGAGCTCTTCATAGCAAGTTCCTTCACCCCAAAGCTCGTACATTCCTTTCACTAAGATGCCTACACTAACCCCAAATATTTTTTGAGTGGATGAGATAAACAACAAAATAATGGAAGGAAGGAAGGTAAGAAAAAAATTCCTACTTCGTTTGGCAATGTTCTGGGCGATTTCTTCAGATGAGAGCTGAACAAAATGGAATGGAGTATCGTTATGGTGATGTTCAGGAAGCCGCCATTGGAGAGACTCATTCTCAGCAATCTCCTCTCCGAAGAGCTCGGCCAAAGCTTCCACCTCTGGCTTTCTGAAGTCTAATAGTCTGTGATAGAAAACACATAGAAACCACATCTCTTCTTTGCTCCAAATCTCAAACCCTAATTCGTCAGTGAAAAGACCTGAGAAGAAGACGAAGACGGAGAAAGGAGAAAGGAAGACGACGGCGATTAAACCCTCTCTTAAAACCCTCTTTAAAGGCCCAATAAAGCCCATTTATTTGAGGCCTAGTTTTTTGTCAGAAAGGCCAATACTATTTGTCAAACCGACGTTTAAATGACGGAAGTACCCCCACGAGCTAGCGAATACGATAGGACCTTTTTTTTGCGTCGCTTGCTTCATATGTGTGTGTTTGCCTAAGATCGTCTGCTGCTTCTCCTCTTTTCAGAAACTAGGGTTCCTTAGCAAATCACAATCAGATCTCGTCTCCTTCGCTCTCTCTGGTACGATTTTTTCGTTTGCTCAGCTTTGTTTACACTGAACTATTGACTCGCTTGTATGTCTTGCAATCTTAGTCTACCGATTGTGATTCGCAATTTTCTATGAGTTTACCCAAGCTTCGTGCAATTGCGGTTTCTAAATATGTTGTTTGCTAGTAGTTTTCAATTGAAATTGAGCTTCATAGATACATGTCATAAGTGCGTGTGTATGATTCTGATGATTTGTTAATCATGGTAGAGAATGAGTTCAGATTTGGTTCGCGAGCTATGTTTACTTGAGGATCTGCTGTTCTAAGTTTCTTGATGTTAGCTCGGACTTACAATGCCGCTTGCTGGATTTTCCGGGAGACGTATTTATTTTCTTCAAACAAAAATTTGGCAGTTTGTTCTAGAAGATGTCAGAAGAGCTGGTGGAGTACCGGTGCTTCATCGGTGGGCTTGCGTGGTCAACGTCTGATCGTGGCCTCAGAGATGCCTTTGAGAAGTACGGTCACCTCCTTGAGGCCAAGGTTAGTCTTTATCTCTCTTTTTAGTGGCTATTTACTCTGGTCGCTAAGGTGATGAAGCTTTGATTTGATGTGTTTTGGTTATTTGTTAATTTGCTTGATCGTTGCATATTTGGTGTCTACCTTGTACTTATTTCCATATCTCTAACCTTATAGGTGGTCCTTGACAAGTTCTCTGGCCGTTCCCGTGGTTTTGGGTTCATCACTTTTGATGAGAAGAAGGCTATGGATGAAGCTATTGCGGCGATGAATGGAATGGATTTGGATGGGCGAACTATAACTGTTGATAAAGCTCAGCCGCATCAGGGTGGGGCAGGCAGGGATCGTGATGGTGATCGTGGTGGTGATCGCGGATATGACCGTGACCGTAGCCGTCCCTCTGGTGGGCGAGGTTCAGGTGGTGGAGATTGCTTTAAATGTGGCAAGCCTGGACACTTCGCAAGGGAGTGCCCTTCTGAAACTAGCAGAGGTGGTGGGGGAAGGTACAGTGGCAAGGACGATAGGTACAGTGGCAAGGACGATAGGTACAGTGGAAAGGACGATAGGTACGGCGCCAAGGAGGATAGGTACAGCGCCAAGGAGGATAGGTACAGCTCCAAGGATGATAGGTACAGTGCAAAGGACGATAGGTATGGTAGGGATGGTGGTAGGGAGTCTAGGGACGGTGGAGGTAGTCGCTATGGGCCTGATCGCAGTGGTGGAGAACGTTCTGGAGGACGTAGCCGGGATGGTGGCAGCCGTGGAGGTCCAGGAGGTGAGAGGCACAGTCGTGCTCCATACGATCGCCCCAGAGCTGGTGGCTTTCACTAGAATTCTACTTCAAAGGGTATTATATGCATCTTTTGCTTGTGTTAATCAAATTCTTTCGATAATCTCTCGACGAAGTTGTGATGCTACAGACTTAAAGTTGAAGTTTCTTCACATATGTTTTTGCAGTTAAAGGAAGGAGTGGAAGAAGGTTTCTGCTTTCAGCTCTCTACTCAAGTGCGAAGTTAAAGTGACGCTGGATGGTCTGTTGTCTTCAATGTATTTGGATAGCTCAAGAAAGAAGATTTGTCTCTGTTTTGGCCTCCCCCTAAAAACTCAAGAGTCGACTATGTTCTTAAAGTGCTCTCCTTTTGATATGTTGGTCCCTATGGAAACCTTGTGCTTGGTTGCTTTGAGACACAATTTGAGATGTGCTACTTTATGCTTATCGTAATGAATGCGTGGGTTATCCCCAACACCAAATTTGCAAAAGCCCTCAGGTACGTGATTGATCTCTACGGAAATATTCCAGGATCAACATTTGGTAAAAATTTCAAATGTAGTTATGTTAGGGGATTATGCCGTTTATTGATTATGGTACATGATGCAGGATCATCTGATACCTTGAGAAAAAAAAAACGACCGGTCTATAAAACTTGTGATGGAATTGGGAAATATACATTGCTGATTCTTGGCTAGTGGAACTCAAACAAGTCATGGTTCTTGAGCAACGAATATTTTCAGGAAAAAAGAATGATCCTCGTGCAGTTATAGTGTCATGGTTCAAGTCAAATCCAATATTCTCTTCGACTAAAGAAGTAACTATAGCCATTGGTCGTTGGTGGCTCGTCTAGTTTATGGGAAATCATCTCTCTACCTTCTCTGTGGGTTCTCTTCATTGCTTCTGCGTCTGCTCTGTCTCTTACTCGTGACCCATCTTTGATTCTTTATTTGTGACGTTGGATCTCTCTATATAGTCAATAGATGCTCTAGTTCCACATTCATAATCTGTGTATGCATACATCATTTAGATGCCTTTGTGGTTCCAACCATTTTTAAACATAATTAAAGACTTGAGACTTAATCGGGCACATGAGTAAACATTGACTTTGTTATTTTATAGTACAAAGAGTAGTAGTATATCTTTTGCCTCTTTTGGCTAATATCTCAGCCACACCACCAATTTAGAGCTCTTAACCAGAAGAGAAGGATCGAAAGAGAAATGCAAACTCTACTCTTCTTCTTGGTAAAGTTTGTAATATTAGCATCATATCTCATACAACCTCGAGAGTGCTCTCCCTCTTGCAACTTCCCGGCGATCTTCAACTTCGGTGACTCCAATTCCGACACTGGTGGCCTCTCCGCCGCCTTCGGACAAGCGCCTTACCCTAATGGCCAAACCTTCTTCCGCTCCCCTTCCGGTCGTTTCTCAGATGGTCGACTCATCGTTGACTTCATAGGTGCTTAGTTGCTTTACACACATTCGGTGATAAATTTCGTATCCTTAGTGAATTTTGCATCAGATTGTTTTTCTATTGTTGATATCAGCGGAGGAATTAGGGTTACCATACCTAAATGCTTTCTTAGACTCCATCGGTTCAAACTTCAGCCACGGTGCGAATTTCGCCACCGCTGGATCCACCGTCCAGCCACCAAACTCCACCATATCTCAGGGCGGTGCGAGTCCAATCTCTCTCGATGTTCAATTGGTTCAGTTCTCCGATTTCCTCACACGATCACAACTCATTCGCAATCGAGGTGCTCAAAGCTTCAACCTTTTGGTTCCTAAAACACATTGTATGATATGATCATCAGAACGTTTCGTCAATCCGATTTCGTGTCTTGAAAAATTAGGTGGAGTGTTTGAGCAATTACTTCCGAGAAAAGAGTATTTCTCTCGAGCGTTGTACACATTCGACATCGGTCAAAACGATCTCACCGCTGGATTAAAACTCAATATGACAACAGAGCAAATCAAAGCTTACATTCCAGATGTTCTCAATCAGTTTTCCGACGCCATTCGTGTAAGCAAAGCATATATAGTTTATTCACCACCAGATACACACAACTTTGATTAACTGAATTAACCGTCTTTTGGTTTCATTTTCTGTAGAAGGTGTATAAGTTAGGAGGAAGAAGATTCTGGATACACAACACTGCTCCAATCGGTTGTTTACCTTATGTTCTTGACCGGTTTCCTGTACCGGCCTCTCAAATCGACCGTCACGGTTGTGCGATTCCCCGCAACGAGATTGCTCGGTATTTCAACTCCCAACTCAAAAGGAAAGTGATTGGTTTAAGAAAAGAGCTTTCTAAAGCTGCAATCACTTATGTTGATGTCTACTCTATCAAGCTTACTCTCATCACTCAAGCCAAGAAACTCGGTACGTTCTAACCGTTTATACCAAACAATAGGTAGGCTCGGTTTAGACCGGTTCTAATGGTTTACTTTTCTATGTTGAAATTTGTTTATTTAGGTTTCAAGTTTCCTTTGGTGGCTTGTTGTGGACATGGTGGGAAGTATAATTTCAACAAGCTTATCAAATGTGGAGCTAAAGTCATGGTGAAAGGGAAAGAGACTGTGCTTGCGAAGTCTTGTAACGACGTGTCGTTTAGAGTTAGCTGGGACGGCGTGCATTTCACTGAAACGGCAAACCGTTGGATCTTTAAGCAAATAAACGGCGGAGCGTTTTCGGATCCTCCTCGTTCTTTTAAATTTGCCTGCACATAAATCATATGACCAAAATACCCCTTTAAAAATGGGGACTAATAAAAGCTTTTTGGGATCTTTACACAGTGTAATACTATTTGGTTATCTTAATTTCTTTCTTTTGTCTACATCTATGAAATTAGCTCATGATAATGAAGTCGCAACTACCCAGCCATATTTTATATGAATTTTCCAATAAATATCTTATAGGTGGAAATTTTGTAATCATTTCAACCAAATCATTTACTTTTTTTTGTATCTGATCTTTTACCATTTTCATCCGTTTTTTTTTCCTCACTGTTAACAGCCATAAAACTGCTCAACGAAACGAATAGGATGGTAAGCTAATCGGACAATTATTCCTATTAATGTCTTAACCTAATATGTTTTCGTCGTCTCCACTTCACCTAAGACCCCTCCTAAATTCGGAAAGGGCAATAATGGCATTCAAGTAAATGATAATTTATTATACTAAGAAAAAGGCACATGAACCAGGAATCTCTCTAAACAGTCCACTCATAATTGGCCACGTCGATATAAGTTCGAGCCCGTGGACTATATTATAGACCGTGTTCCAGTCTGGCTGCTTCGTGAGAGTCACCCTCCTTCCACGAGCTTCTGAAAAGTCAACTCTCGTCTCTCTCTCACACAATCATCCCGTGCCTCGCGTCGCACCTGATTACTATATATGTTTCCATTTGCTGTTTTTTATTTAACTTTATTTTATTAAACCCGCGAAGAACTAAACATAACTTCAGACAAGTTCATCAAAAAATTCCCGAAGAAGACGAAGACTAATTTTTACAATATTTTTTCCTGGTAAATTTTATTGATTAAAGTTTTTTTTTCTTTCTCATCGATGTTTCTCTGTTGCTTGGAAAACTGATACAGCTTTAAAATAAGAAGTCTTTTATACTTGTTGATCAAGATTTAGTGTTCGTTTACAAAGAGTAACGTATCTGCTATTTGTTAACAACCTCTTGTTATGTCTGAATCTAGAAATCACTGTCTCTTTTGAGTTTCTATTTCTTGTCTTAACTTCCCCAAAAAAGTTCATAACCTCGTCTTATTTTGGTGATTACGGGTACGTAATTTATAACAAAGATAGCTCATAGCTTTTATGTTTATGATATTAAATTCATATTTTGGGTTAATCGTTCTTGATCAGAATTCAATTTTTTTTTTGTTTCCCTTGATTTCGGCTCAAGAACCGAACTAAATAAACTAAAACTTCCATGTTTCTCTGTTTACTCCTAATTACAAATCAATTACGATCTTACTGCTTTAAGCAAAAATCAATAACGAAGCGGGATTTTCTCTGTTTTGTATTTGTTTCGCTATTTACTGATATGATCAATATCAGCTGATTTTACATATCTTTATTTACTTGATCTCATATATTGACATCATGATACAGATAACAAAGTCTCGGAGAGTGAAGCCTCCATTGAATGAGATTGTTTCTCGTCAACTTAACCAATTTCAGGACATGGCAAACCGAACAGAAAATCCACTACGCTGGTTTGTGAACTTTTAACCAGAATGATTCTTAATTTGTTGAGTTCATAACAAAAGTAAGAATGATGATTAACATTGTTCTGTTTTCTTCTTTTTTTTTTTGCAGTTCGACTAGTAAAAAATCGAATGACAGATTGATGCTCATAATAGGGACTTGCGCAGGAATTGTTATCGGATTTTTATTAGGAACATCTTTCCCTGCATCGTCACTAACTAAAGTAACTTTTTTTTATTTAGTGTTTACTTTCTTTCATGAATTAGTGCTTTGGTCTGATTCGTGAAAATTGTCATTTGTTTACTGAATTTTTGTTTTTCAGATGAATATTTCATCAACCATAGTTCCTCCTGTAAATACTGTTCATGGTGAAGATGAGAAACCGGAGAAGTCAGCTACAAGGAGTCCTCCATCAAAAGGGATTAATTCAAGTGATGCAGCATTTCACAAGGTGTGTTTTGTTTCTGCATTTGAACATGATTTATCTTGAGTTTCAGTGTCCTGTGGATTAATTACATGATCTTTTGGATTCTGCAGATTTGGGTTCCATCGAATCCTCGAGGTGCAGAGATGTTGCCTCCAAGTATTGTTGAAGCTGAATCAGATTTTTACTTGAGAAGATTGTGGGGATTGCCTAAAGATGTATAAATTATATATATTAACATCCTAGCTTTGTTATCATCTTTAGACATATTTAATATGTTTGAATCATGTTTTTTGGTTTCTTTAGGATTTACCAGAGGTGAAGCCGAAGTATCTTGTTGCTTTTACCGTTGCTTATCAACAGAGGAACAACATCGATGCTTGCATCAAGAAAGTATGTCTCTCTCTCTCTCTCTCTCTCTCTCTCTTTTTTTGTTCTTTTCCACCAAAACAAAAGAAAGCTAAGAACTTTTGATTCTCTCAACAGTTCTCAGATAACTTCACTATTGTTCTGTTTCATTACGATGGAAGAGCCTCGGAATATGATGAATTTGAATGGTCTAAACGGGCGATACACGTGAGTGTACCTAAGCAAACTAAGTGGTAGGTAACAAACAAACACTTGCTCCTTTTTTTTTTACATGTCTGTCTACATTTTTTCACTGATCATCTCTTGCATATATTATTACCATTGAAGGTGGTATGCTAAAAGGTTTCTGCATCCTGACATTATAGCACCATATGAATATATATTCATTTGGGATGAAGATCTTGGTGTTGAAAACTTCGATGCAGAAGAGTGAGTCTCTCTGTTTGATCTTTTATATATCTCCAAGAAAATTAATCAGAAAATTGTTATGGAAGTTTGAACATCTTGCAGATACATCAAGCTTGTAAAGAAGCACGGTCTAGAAATATCGCAACCCGCTGTGGAATCAAGAAAAACCATCACGTGGAAGATAACAAAGAGAATACCCGGAATCGAAGTTCACAGGTAAACAAATTTAACACTTAAAGAAAATGTCAATTTCTTAGGTTTAAAAAGTGAAGAAAGTAACTAAAAGCAAAGACTGTGTTGTTTGCCAAATTCTTTCACCAGAGAAGTCGAAGAGAAATTAGGCCGATGCAATGACCCTCACTTACCACCTTGTGCAGGGTATATATAGATCTCATCTTTTCAATAAAACAAACAATTTTTATACAATAGTAACTAAATTATTCTAACTTTTTTTTAATCTCATGGTTATGTACGATGTTTCTTGTTAGGTTTATAGAGATTATGGCTCCGGTTTTCTCAAGAGATGCGTGGCGTTGCGTGTGGCATATGATTCAGAACGACTTGGTTCACGGTTGGGGTCTTGACTTTGCGCTAAGGAAATGTGTCGAGGTTAATTAAGATACTAATCTAAACTTATTCACAAACGTGTATAATATATATTTAAAAAAAAAACAATTATGGAAACTAAGAAACACTTTGAAAAACAGCCTGCACATGAGAAGATTGGTGTTGTGGATGCACAATGGATTATTCATCAAAAGATTCCTTCTTTAACAAGCCAGGTAAAATAAAATGATCAACTACATTAAATTACTACCTTCATTGTTCATAGTTTTAATTTTAATATAATCTATTAATAACATTGATCAGGGAACCGCGCAAGAGGGTAAATCCGCGTTCCAAGGGGTTTGTAACTCTTAAACTCGCGTTTTCTTGCGTTATCTACTTACTGTATAAGGTGTTCTTGATTTGTCGGATTTTAGACCGAGTTTATTGTTAATTACTGATAAAGAGTATTTGTGTTTTGGTCAGGTAAGGGAGAGATGTAAAAGGGAATGGACAATGTTTCAGAAAAGAATGTCTCGATCAGAGCAGAAGTATCTGAAAGACATTGCTTCTGCGTCTTCAAAATCTACACTTACTTAAACCAAAATCAGAGGAGGAACTGAATAAAAAGTTTAGTGTTACAGATAGCAATTCCAGGAAGAAGAAAAATAGAATGTTGATATGATGATTACGATTATAGAGCACATATCCAAATACACACACACACACAATTACATAGCTTTTGTTTCTTTTGTTCTTGAAACATTCTTGTAGTCTTGAAACATTCTTGTAGTCTTAAAACAGTGAAATGAAGTTCGTTACAAACTTTTCATTTCTACTTTAAATTTTATTGACATTAAAAATTATCTTCATTTCAGAATGTGGCGGCAAACTAATTTCTTATTGCTACTTGTACAACATAATATAGTGCAATTTTATATGTTTTTATTATGCATTTGTTTTAAAAATGGGCGTTTGTGTGACATTCTTTTTTATTCAAAGAAAAAAAAGACAACAAATAATGCTAAACTGGTAATTGGTTTTGATTAAAAGGTTAAATTTGATTTGGAAAATTAGGAAGATAGCTATTTTCATTTAAATGACAGTTGTAAACATATAATTGGTGAAATGACTTGTAAGGATTTCCAAAAGTAAATTTGGGTCCCTTTAATATGAAAAATCTTCACAACGAAGGAAAGGTAAAAGATAAGTAATAAAAAAAACAAAGCAAATTCTTCTCTCTGAGATCGAAAGTTGAAAGTTGAAAGTTGAAAGTTGAAACAGTCATGGGATCGCGACCAGAGTCTTCCGCCGTCACAACAATGACGGTGACTTCAACGCCGGAAACAAGTCTAGCTTTCACCAACCTCGCGTACTGCTCCTCCTCTGACCTCCGTCAGTTCGCTGTTCCCGGCACCGCCGATCACTTCCTCGCGAACGTCGCCGACGTCTTCATTCTATCGCTCTCATATCCTTTTTTCTTACCTTACCACTGCGGTTTCAGTTCCGACATTATTGTTTGTCTTGGAGATTTCACACTTGTTCCTCGCAGGTTTTCCGGAATCTGTCTGGGAAAATTAGAAATTTAGTAGGCAATTTATTTTTGTCCCAAAGTCTTTTGCTTTATTTTAGTTTTCATTGTTTTAATTTTCCAGTTAGTTAACTTAACTGATATAAACTGAACACGAGAGGATCCATGATGGAACCATTGCTCTGAATGCTATTCAACGAAGACATGCTAGAGTTTCTACTGATGACAATGTTACTGTCACCAGGTAACTAATTCTCACACGGTGGGCCTTAAGTAAGGTTTTGTGTGTTGTCTCGAGTTGTGTCTCTATTAAGACTTTTTATCTTGTTCTTGCAGATTCGTTCCTCCAGAAAATTTTGACCTAACTTTGCTGGCACTTGAGTTGGAATTTGTGAAGAAGGGCACTAAAAACGAAGAGGTAATAATGCGTTTTTTTTTGTTGACATGTATGGTGTGGTTTCTTGTGATCTGTAAATATATTTATTCATGAAAAAATATTACTTTTTCAGGTTGATGCTGTGCAGCTTTCAACCCAACTCAGGACGAAATTTATTTATCAGGTAAAAAGGTTTTGAGGATTCTTGGTGTTTTTCGCTGTGCTCCTTATAGAAGTTATGTATACTTGAGGTCATGCAATGTATTAACATCTACACATTCCATCATTGAATAGATTAGATCCTTTTTTCACTGTCTGCCACCTTTTCTTTGTTTTTGTTACTACTCGCAACTCTTCCATCTTCTGCTGAATATATTGGTTCAAAAATGTGGATGTTTGTTTGACCTTTTCCTTGTCTCGCCAATAAAAACATTAGCACTGTTTTTAATGCATACTTATATGCGCAGGTCTTGACGGTAGGCCAGAGAGCTACATTTGAGTATCATGGAAATAACTACATTTTTACAGTCAATCGAGCTGTTCTAGAGGCTGAGAACCAATCTAATGGTATCGAAAGAGGGATGATCTCTGAGGATACATATTTTGTGTTTGAAGCATCAAATGCAACTGGCATAAAGGTCTGGTTCTTGGGTGTGTTGCTTGATATCATATATCATCCTTTCGAAACCTGATTTGGTGCAACTTAATACAGATTATTAACCAAAAAGACGCTGCAACAAGCAAGATATTTAAAGAAAAAGAGTTTAACCTACAGTCCCTGGGCATTGGTGGCTTAAAAGCAGAGTTTGTTGATATATTCCGAAGAGCTTTTGCTTCTCGTATATTCCCTCCTCGTATCAGGAACAGGTTCGGTGATCCGTTCTTCAAGCTGATCATGCTGACCACAGTTATCTGCTGCGTATATATTACTCAAGTTTTGATTCTTTTTGATCTTGCAGACTTGGAGGTAAGCACGTTAAAGGGATGCTTCTCTATGGACCTCCTGGTACTGGCAAGACCTTGATGGCTCGCCAAATTGGAAAAATGCTCAATGGAAAGGAACCAAAGGTATAGTTCTCATTGTACTTATAGTACTCTTACTCGTGAAGAAAAGTGTGACATCCTAATAAGTGTTCAAGGCCTTAACTTTATCTTCTTGTGACATTTATAGATCGTGAATGGTCCTGAGGTGCTAAGCAAGTTTGTTGGCGAGACAGAAAAGAATGTAAGAGACTTGTTCGCTGATGCTGAGAATGACCAGAGAACCCTTGGTGCGGGAAGGATTGTTTTACACCCTGACACTTTTGCTAAGTTTTGATGTTTTCCTTTTCCTAGCGAGTCATGTGCTAATTCGGCATTCTTGTTTATTAAACTTGCCAGGTGATGCCAGTGAGCTTCATGTCATTATTTTCGATGAAATCGATGCTATTTGTAAGGCAAGAGGATCAAGCAGGGATGGCACAGGTGTCCATGACAGTCTTGTAAACCAGCTCCTGACAAAGGTTAGAGCCAACGATCAAGCAAAAATGTTTTTTTACTTTCTTTTGTTAAGATATGGCTGCGAAGACGTTCTTATATCTTGCAGATAGATGGTGTGGAGGCCTTGGACAATATTTTACTTATTGGAATGACTAATCGCAAGGATATGATTGATGAAGCTCTTCTTAGGTCTCTGCATCCTTGTGCTGATTATGAGAACTCTGACTTTGATTTTTAGTAGATATATATAATAGATACAATAATGTTTTCGAGTTCTTGCCTACAGGCCTGGAAGGTTAGAGGTTCATATTGAGATTGGCCTTCCCGATGATGCTGGACGTTTAGAAATTCTTCAGATTCATACGAAAATGATGAAGGAAAATTCTTTCCTTGCTCCTGACGTCAATCTCCAAGAGCTCGGTATGCCTGATTCGTCGATTATACCTATTGATGATTCATAAAATCTGGCTCTTCTTGACATGATTTTTCCAACTTTTTCTTCATTGAAAAGCTGCTCGGACGAAGAACTATAGTGGTGCTGAGCTTGAAGGTATTGTGAAAAGTGCAATCTCATTTGCTCTGAACAAACATCTGAGCATGGAAGATCTTTCTAAGCCAGTGGATGAAGAGAATATTAAAGTTACAATGGAAGATTTTCTTCAAGGGTTATCTGAAGTCAAGCCTGCATTTGGAGCCTCTCCAAAAGACCTTGAACTCTCCAGGTAAAATTTGTTTGAATTTAAACATTTTGAGTAACTAACTTGATGGAAAAGTTAATTTGCACATTTTTTTTTTTTACTGATGCTAGTTCAAAGCGAAGCTTTATTATCTGGTTACATATAATGCGTCTCAGGCAGGTTTCATAGGCAAAGATGGGTGATTACTTGGAGCTGATTTAACCTGATATTACTATAATTATAGGTTTTCTTTGCTTATCTGTTTGCTTAAAGTTCTTTTGTTTCCGTCTGGTCGACTCAAATCTTAAATGCGTCTTATATATTATGGCATTATCTCTGGATCTTGATCCCCATATTCACAACATTTGTATAGACCAAAGGGATTTGTGGACTGTGGTGATCGGGAAAGGCTCATCTACGAAAGAGTCATGTATCTTGTTGAGCAAGTTAAAGTCAACGAAAGAGGTCCTCCGGTCACTTGCCTTCTTGAGGGACCTAGTGGAAGGTATCTTTCACATTTTATGATTAATCCAACGCTTTTGCGTTTTGTATCTCTCAAACGTTTTCTGATTTTCTGAAACTTGTTTTGGTCAGTGGGAAAACTGCACTAGCTGCTACTATTGGCATCGACAGTGAGTTCCCATATGTCAAAATAGTAAGTGGTGAAGTTTATAGTGATTTTGTGAACCTTACTAAATCCATCTCTTTTGAACTTGTTTGATACTAATTTGTTTCGCTACTTTTGGCAAAGGTCTCTGCAGTGACTATGAATGGTCTTCACGAGAGCAAAAAATGCGCACACATTACCAAGGTCCCTTAGCTTTTTTCCAAAACCCTTATTACTTCTTTAGTTTTGTGCTCTTATAATAATAACTATCGCCTCTTGTGTGTGTGTCTGTGTGTGTGAAATGAGAATAGGTCTTTGAGGATGCATACAAATCACCACATAGCATAGTGATCCTTGACAAGATTGAAAGGTTGCTGGACTACACGGAAATTGGACCGCGGTTTTCAAACGAAATCACTCATACGCTGTTGAATTTTCTCGAACAGAGTCCTCCCGAGGTGTGTAATACTTTTGGTATATTGCAAAATTGAAGTAAAACTGTTCATTTCACTCATTAAACATCTCAGTAGTAGTAATAACTTTGGGAAATATTATTTTTTTGTTTGACAGGGAAACAAACTTCTTGTACTTGGTACAACAAGTAATGTAACGTTTTTAAAAGCTGTTGGTTTGCGCAACGCTTTCTCTGTTACATACTCTGTTCCATTACTTAGGACAGAAGAAGCCAAGAAGGTAAAAATCTGTTTTCTTTTTTGCAAACTCATTTTCTTCGATCCATGTTTTTGACAAAAGCAGCTTATTATATAGTTTCTACCATGATTCAGGTGCTGGAGCAACTAAACGTGTTCTCAGAAGATGATATCGATGAAGCTGCCCAAGCCCTTAATGATGTATGTGTGCTCGATCCATCTCATGGTGTCTTTTTTTTTATTATATATATTATTACCTTAACTTAGAACTTAGAACTGATTACATATATATATATTTCAGGTTCCAATTAAGCAGCTATACACTGTTATTGAGATGGCAGCACAAAGAGATGGAAGGTCTAAAGAGGCGATCGTCTACAACAGGGAGGAGAAACTCAACATCACTCATTTCTTAAACTGTCTTGAGGAAGTTACCGCAGATATCTGAAGTTACAACAGTTGATTGATTTAAAAACTCTCATTTTGACTACTCAAGTTCATCAATATACACTCTTATATCTATTACTATTGGGCCTATTGGCCATTTGATTAGTATAGCCCGATCTGACTATTTGAGTATGGTTTTTATGTCATGGTTTATATAATGCACTCAAAATCTTGAGCTTTGGTTGAAATAAGGTGTAGCCATGCTAAATCATTCTTGAAACATCCATTAAATAAGTAGAATAGAATTACAATATCATTAAAATAAAATATTATTGAAAAATACGTAGAATAGAATTACCGAATTATCATAAAATGATTCAAAAACAGAAGTCAAAAATAAAACCGAGTAAAAGATAGGCCATACATGATAATAGAAAAGATAGTTATGGATTAGGATCGGGCACAATCTGTGTTTGAACGGAGCGGCAAACTCTCCAGCAAAGTTTAGCAATCATGACTACCGCGAGTAAAGCTACGACGATAATTGTGATGAGATAGCCACTATTCATTGTGTTTCTTCACCTCACAAAAATACACACACCACAATTTGTTCTTTCTAACTTTTTCTTTGGTCTTTTTTTATTCTTTATTTGGATTGATATTTATACATACATGTATCATTAATACATACACTTAATTTTGTAAGTTTTAAATTTTCTCATAGAGGAATTAATTAGAAAAATATTGGAATTTTTACATTTAAGGAAATATCTTTTTTTTTACCTTCCAACTTCTCACAATTCGAGTATATTCTAATAAGATTGTTTAACTTACTACAAAATTTAGTTGATTGTATCTGTAAATAAAAATATAGTGCAAGAAATTCGAGATTTGCAGTGATTAGTGGAACAAAGCTTTGTCATCTAATTTCTTCTTTGTTTCACGAAAAGTTAGCTCAAATGAGGCCGAGCCCAAAAAATAATATCTAATTTATTAAAGCCCATTTAAACCATGGGTAAATGAAATCCAGCCAAAGACCCGACCCGTACCCGAAATCCCCAAATATGGAGAAACCGTTACGTCCACCATAGGCGACGTGTTCCGTATGCATAAGCAGGTCACTGAACGCTTGCCGGTGAGAATTTAATCATCGGAAAAAGTTTCTCCGACGAAGACAAAGCTTTAATGTGATTTCCTTTTTAGGTGGCTTTTCTTCCATTTTTTGACAAACAAAAGCTTATATGCTGGATACTGAGGTTTTCTCGGATTCCTGAATAGACTCGTCGTCTTCCTCGGGCTGCTAAAGAAGATCCTAGAACTCACCACTCCCATGGCTCTCAATCTACGCCTTAAACAGCTTGGTAATTTCGCCGATTGTTTTTCTGTTTTTCATCGCTTTTTAACCCTTTTTTTTTTGCTGCATCTATACAAAATTTTCCCGGAATCTGAAATCGAAGAATGCTGGATTGTTTTAATTAATCTCGCCGATTTGCAGAATGTGTAACCCGGATGCTGAATCTGAACCAACCTCTGGATCCAAGCGAGGAATTTTACAAGGTGTTGATCTACGACGATTTCTGCAAAGATGTCATCGCTCCATTAATGCCGGTGAAGGATCTTCGTAGACAAGGAGTTACGCTTGAGTCGCTCATCTCTAACGAAAAGAGAAAGTACGTTTCCGCTGTAGCCGTCTACTTTGTTCGACCCACTGAAGCCAACATCCGCAGAATCATAGCCGATGTTTCTTCGTCTCTCTACGACAACTTTCATTTCAACTTCTCCTCTTCTATCCCTCGCCCTCTCCTCGAGAGCTTAGCTTCAGGGACTCTTGATTCCGGTTCCATTGAAAGGGTTTCAAAGGTTTGTGATCAGTATCTTGAGTTTGCGACTTTGGAAGATAACTTGTTCTCCTTGGAACAAGACTCTGTATATCTTCAGTTGAACGATCCATCAGCGACTGATGGAGAGATTGAAGAGATCATCGGAAAAGTTGCTAATGGGATCTTCTGTGTATTGGCGACGCTTAGTGTTGTCCCTGTGATCCGATGCCCTCGTGGAGGACCAGCAGAGATGGTGGCGACTTCTCTGGATCAGAAACTAAGGGATCATCTTTTGTCCAAGAACCATCTGTTTAGCGGCGGTTCACTGAGCTCGTTTCAACGGCCTTTGCTGTGCATTTTCGATAGAAACTTTGAGCTCTCCGTCGGGATTCAGCACGATTTTAGATACAGGACTCTTGTTCACGACGTTCTTGGTCTAAAGCTCAACGCTTTGAAGCTCCCAGGTGAGAAACTAGGCGAGAAGGAGACGTTCGTAGACATTTCAGACCCGTTTTGGTGTGCGAACGGTTCTCTAGAGTTTCCTCAAGTCGCAATGGAGATTGAGACTCAGTTGAACAAGTACAAGAAAGACGTGGAGGAGGTTAACAAGAGAACTACGGGAGGTGAGAGCACTGATGTGATGATGATTGTGAACACCAAGAATCTGATGAATGCTGTGAACTCGCTTCCAGAGCTGACAGAGAGGAAGAAAGTAATCGACAAGCACACCAACATAGCGACTTTGCTCCTACGAGAGATCAAGGAGCGATCTCTTGATGTGTTCACAGAGAAAGAGAATGACATGATGATCAGAGGAGGGAGCATAGACATGAGCGATCTTCTCTCTGTTCTGAAAGGGAAAGGTACGAAGATGGACAAGATCCGTTTTGCCATCATGTACTTGATATCCTTGGAAACTATAAACCAGGTAGAGGCAGAAGCCGTGGAAGCGGCCTTGCGTGAAGCTGAGGCCGATACAAGCGCGTTTCGGTATGTGAAAAAGATCAAGTCGCTGAATGTCTCCATGGAAGCAAACTCAGCAAGTAGAAGCAACATTGTTGACTGAGCTGAGAAGCTCTATGGTCAGTCAATAAGCGCGGTCACTGCTGGAGTCAAGAATCTCTTAACCGGTGATCAGAAACTGGCCGTGGCGCGGACTGTTGAAGCTTTAACCGAGGGGACACCGAACCAGGAAACCGATTCATACCTAATGCTTGATACGAGAGCTTCAAAGTCAGGCTCTAGTGGTGGTAGTAGTAGTGGTAGCAATGCGATGGGGCCGTTCAGAGAAGCGATAGTTTTCATGGTCGGTGGTGGAAACTACATTGAGTATAACAGTTTGCAGGATCTCTCGCAGCGTCAGGAGACGGTGAAGAACATTATATATGGAGCCACGGAGATGCTTACTGGAGCTGAGCTCGTGGAGCAGCTCGCGCTCTTGGGACAGAAGATGGGACTGAGGTAGAGAAAAGAGAGGAGAGGATTCATTTCGATTGTGAGCTCCTTGACCATTTCTTTACATCTGTTTGATTTCTTGGTGTGCAAGTGTTTCTTCCAAGTTTCAGTTTTAACTAATACTATGCATCTTTTCTTGGACGTCTCTTGCTTTTTAGTGATCTTTGTTTAGTTTAAGAGATTCTCTTTTGATGTCCTCGTGTGGTGGCTTTTCTTCTGTGCTCTGTGAATCTTAGGGGTTATTGGTTCTTGTATTTTGGTGGATTTATAAATCTTTTTTGGATTTGATAAATTTATTGATTTCAAAATCAGCAAAATAGAAAAAAATCAAATCTACTCAAATATCAAGGTTAGATCTTGTATTTGGGTCTTTGTATTTTAGTCATGAAAATCCTTCTATATCTATTCAAATTTAATTAAAACTCAAATCCTTATAATATTTAGATTCTAAAATAATAGAATCAATAACACTGTATTTCATTATAGATTTTAAAATCATAGAACCAATAACACTGTATTTCAATATAAATTTTAAAATATAAAAATCAATAACACTGAATTTAATTTGGATTCTCAAATCTATTAAAATACAAGAACCAATAACACCTCTGTTTCGAGAATTATCTTTGTATTCACACGGTAATGGTGATTATCTTTGTATTCACACGGTAATGGTGATTGAACGTGCATCCGTTACGGCCCACATCTGCAAAACATTAGTTAAATTGTGAGCCGTAAGCAGTAGCCTAAATTAAATATTAGTTAAACTGATTTTCTAAATTGCCAAATTTTGCAGGATATATATAAAAAAAAAAAACTTTAAATATTAACTCTTCTTAAAAGAAGTAAAAACCCTAAACTGAAAACTGAAAAGGTTGAAGGGTAATAAGCAAGCCATATGCTGGTTCACAAAAAACAACAAAATAAATGTACTAATGAATTGTTCGTCCACTATGTAAACAACCATCATGAAAAATAATGAAACTGGGAGACAAAGTGGGACTTTTGTTTCTAATCGTACGTCCAATGAATTAGAATGTGGAAAAAATGAAAATCAGATTTTATAGATGTGAATTATTGCTTTCAATGTTCCCTAAACCAAGTCATCCATTTTGTTGTTTTAAATTTTTGCTTATAATCACAGATTTTGCCGAATATTTATCATCGAATATTTATAGTTTTAGGGTCTTAATTATAAGAATTTTTTATACAGGTTTTCAACTCAAATTGATTCATAATTTCTTTTAAATTGATGAAATTAATAATATAAATTGAAAAAGGGTTCTTATCGCCTTAATTTTATCATATAAAAATATTGTAATTTACAAAAGAAAAAAATCAAATAACTAAAAAAAAAAATGATGGAAACTGAAATTAGAGAATATATATGTAAAACAGTTGACAAAATTGGGTCCAAAATTAAATGAAGCAAAGACAAAGTGTGTATTGTGGTTGTGATGAGACGGCCGGTCCCATTGGATGGATTCCTCTCTTGTAGACAAACCTTAGACAAAAACCATTATGGTAAATTTTCTTCATTTATCATTACGAATCTTGTTTCTTCCTTGTCCCACATTCTCTTCTCATGGCTTTGCCTAATGCCTAAGTGTAATCAAAAGATTCGAAACCCTAATTTTGGAGACAATGAACGCCATTTTCACTATATGATGTATTTAGTTGCATACGTACATCATAGCTATTCAAAAGATAGATTTTGATAAAAACTACTTGTTTAATTTCCGTAAAAAAATCCAACCAAATTACTATACTGTTACGATATGATTTAACTCCACCATTTCTTGTTACAATCAAAATTACTCAGTTGGAGATGTTAGCTTATTAACATGCCAATAGATGAATTAAGTACAGTAAACCTGGAGTTTCTTTACGAGTTTTGTGATTTTAGATGGTTGTACAAATTTCATTTTATTAATTTTACATGTTGATGTTGCGAAACTCTTGGATAAAATTGGTTGTCATTAATTATAGCCTTGGCTCTGTAAAGATAAGACAAATAATATGAACGAAATGACAAAAATAGCATCCTAAGGCGATTACACTTGTTGGGAGCATGAAAGGGAAACCAATTTGCTCATTTTCAAAAGATTTTTAAACCAAAAGTAAACCTTATTTGATAGTGATACTGATATCTACCTGAGTAGTTAAAATTTCTGTTCTTTTTCCTTTTTTTTTGTTAACATGTTGACAATATAATATCATCCCTTTGGGTTACTAGTTATACCGCTCATAATACCACGTTTGTATACTATCCTTCGTCATTTCAATTTTGTTTTATTAAAAATATCAACTTTATATATATATATATATAATAATCTTAATACTTGACACAGTAATGATTAATGAAGTACAGAAACACTTGAAAAAGTGATTTTCAAAAAAAAAAACACTTCAAAAAGTGTTTACATTTTACTTTAGTAAGAAAATGATAAAATAATAATAAATGAATTAAAACAAGCGGCGTCGAATTTGCAATGATCGTAAGACGATGGACAATCACATGGTGCTTTTCCTTTTGTTGTCACGAAAATACAATCTATTAAGATTTTTCCCAATTATTAGAATTATCTCATTGTTTTGAGATAGAAAATCCAATGAATACGTAAAAGTTATATACACACCACATGTCATGCATTAACATCCAACGCAAAGGATAACAGGCCTTTTATTTCTATTAAATAACATATCATGTATACTTTACAATGCTTTCATAAGGAACAATCATCATCTTAAATTATTAATATCCCAAGTTCGTACAAATGGCTATGACTACGAAAAAGATGGTACTAATAAAAAGAAAAGAAATATGGTTTTATTAAATGGGGTCTCCGAAATATATCATTAGATCGTAAAAAGGAGAAATACATAACCTAGCTATTAGATCCATTATATTATTCGAAAAAAAAGTATTTCATGATATCGAAAGGAGAAGGGTAAAGGAAATCATGCTAAATGCTGAGTTTTAGACAGTAAAGGAATGGTTGGCAAAAAGAATAGATAGTAAAATGATGAAATAATGATAAAAGGTCACTTTCAATTTTGTTTTATTTTTATTTTCTTTTAAAAGTACCAAACATATTATAAAACTGGTTTATGAATGGTTCTTAGAAAATTGTTCTAGAATTTTAAAATATATTTTTTTTAATATTTTTAAAATTTTTAGAGATGTATAGAAAATTTCATAGTTATTTTAAAATTTTACATTATTTAACTTACGATTTCTAAATATCTATTTAAATTTATATTATTAAACATAAAATTTATATAAAATTAATTTAAATAATTTAAATTTCTATATTTTTAATTAAAAATTTGTAAAAACTAAATCAATTCTACTGTTATTAAAAATATTGTAAATAATAAATTTTAAAAAATATTAAACGTTTTAAAATGATTTGGTAGAATTTATTAGTTAAAAATAATAAAAAAATACTATTATTTTAGTTTTTGCGAATATCTAATATAATAAACATAAATTTATTTATTTTAAATTAAAAGTCACAAAAATTAGCATAGTATTAAAATCCAAAATTTACTTTAGTCCATAAGTGACGCTAGATAAAAAAAAAAATTACAACTTAGAATATGTTATTACAATTTGATCTTTTCATATCAACCAACCTATACTATACAACTTAAAAAAAAATATTAGGCAAAAAAAAATTATTATCTCATCATCAACTTTAGCCTTTTTTCTTTGTGCTGTAAATTTTCAATAAATAATATTATTATCTGGTGAACCATACTTTTATGCTTTCTGCTAAATTAATTATACGAAAGTTCTCAGGTGGTGTGAGAAAAGCTAATGATTTCCTCAAGGTAACGAGCTAACCTTAAAAAAATTACATCTGACAAAGATATAAAATATTTTATTACAAAAAACCACTCACTTATATAAATTTGTGTATAACAGATTCTTGTTTGTACTCAGTCGATTTCCGATAACAGAAACGAAATTTCCAGAGAAAAAATTGTTTCTTCAGCCGTCGAGCTCTACTGAGCTGTCAACCGTCGCCAGAGTACTACCGGACTCTTCTGTTTAGTTTCCGGCGATCTGTACCATTCTCCGGCCGTGATTCCGCCGGAAACCATCTGGAATCCCTCTGATAATCAGAAATTCAGACCAAGTTTGACGATCTCCGGGATCTGGTTCTGGTTCTGACAAAAACATCAATTCCAGATTTCGACAAAACCCACAATCTAATCCTCCCGGCGAACCGAATCCGAGACTTCTCCGGCTACTTTCTTTCCTACCGTGGAAATGAAGTTCATGGAATTAGGGTTTCGACCTGACACATTCTACACTGTGGAAGCAGTAAGGTAAATGAAGAATGTCAATCGTCTCTCTCAATTTTCCGAATTCTGTGTTAAATCTTCCAATCAATCTCTGATCTTTTTACTGTTCTGTTTGAAAATTTCAGGTCTGTGTCTTCTGATTTACTGAATGATCTTGTAATCCAAGTCAAATCCACCAAATACCTTCTTCACAAGGTAAAAAAAAAAAAATCTTTTTAAAAGTCTCAGTTTTTTCTCATAACATTTCCATTTTAGATTTCTGATTTTTGATTTCTTGGCTCAATGCAATTTCAGTTTCCGATGTTATCAAAATGCCTGCGTTTAAAGAACTTAGTCTCTTCACAATCACAAGAAACCGAAACCTCACAAGAACACCAAGTGATTCAGCTTGTTGATTTTCCCGGCGAAACAGAAGCTTTTGAGCTCTGTGCTAAGTTCTGTTACGGCATCACAATCACTCTCTGCGCTCACAACGTAGTCGCCGTACGATGCGCAGCAGAGTATCTCGGGATGACGGAAGAAGTCGAGCCAGGCGAGACAGAAAATCTTGTCCAAAGACTCGAACTTTTCTTGACTACTTGTGTCTTCAAGAGCTGGAGAGACTCTCTTGTTACTCTTCAGACCACAAAGGTCTTACCTTTATGGTCTGAAGATCTTGGTATCACAAACCGATGCATCGACGCGATCGCCAACGGCGTAACTCTATCCCCCGGTGAGGATTTTTCGACCCAATTGGAAACCGGTTTGTTGAGAAACCGGTCAAGGAGAAGAAGAGATGAAAGCTTGTGTAATGGAGTAAGCAAAGCAGAGAATGCAAGGTGGTGGGGTGAAGATTTAGCTGATTTGGGTTTAGATCTGTACCGGAGAACAATGTTGGCGATTAAATCATCAAACCGGAACATATCTCCGAGATTAATCGGGAATGCTCTTAGGATCTATGCATCTAAATGGCTACTGAGCATCGATGAAAGCTCTCCTGATTCGAACCTGGTTTTGGAATTGGTTATTTCCCTTCTACCAACGGAAAGATCCTCTGTTCCTTGCAGTTTCTTGCTTCAGCTACTGAAAATGGCGAATGTTATGAACGTTTCGCCTTCTTCGAAGATGGAACTGGCGATAAAAGCCGGGAACCAGCTGGATAAGGCAACGGTTAGCGAGCTGTTAATACCGTTATCGAGTAAGTCAGGTATGTTATACGATGTGGATGTTGTGACGACGATGGTGAAGCAGTTTCTATCTCAGATCAGTCCAACAAGAACAAGAACTCAACATAGAAGGTCTCTTTCTGAAGAGAACATGGAAGAGATTCAAGAGATTAGACGATCTCTGTCTTCTTCTTCTCCTCCATTGTTGGCTAAAGTAGCAAAGCTTGTCGATTCGTATCTTCAAGAGATTGCTATAGATGTGAACTTAACGGTGTCCAAGTTTGTTGAATTGGCTGAATCGATACCGGATGTTTCAAGGATCAGTCACGACGATTTATACAAAGCGATTGACATCTATCTCCAGGTAATAAAATGCAAAAAGGCAAACAAGAAACTATTTTCTATTAACATACATTGATTGTCTCTCTCTCACACACACTCACTCTGTTTTCAGAATCATCAGGAGATTGAAAAGAGTGAGAGAAAGAGGTTATGCAGAATCTTGGACTGCAAGAAACTATCAATAGAGGCAAGCAAGAACGCTGCACAGAACCAGCTGCTTCCATTGAGAGTGATCGTGCAAATCCTCTTCGTCGAGCAAGCACGAGCTACGATAGCTACAACGACAAACAATATCTCCAAGAACGAAACACCGATTTTGAGAAGAAGCTTCACAACGAGAAGAGAAGATGAAGAAGAAGAAGAAGAAAGAGTCGAAATCAAACAAACCGGAGGGTTTCAGAGCACTCCTTCAAGGTTTATGGCGTTGTGTGCGATGCCGAGGCAACCTAAAAAGATGCTATGCAAGTTGTTGTCGATCAGTAGGAGTTTAAGCCAACGGATTTAAGAAAAGTAATGCTGCGAGGTTTTTTTTTTCCCACTGGTTTCTTGCTGCTCAAGTCAATTGTTTTTGTGAAGATTATTTGGTCGTCCCTGTGAAGATTATTTGGTTCTGAAAAATTATTTGTCACATCACATTGTATAACAGCAGAACAATAAAGAAAATCTATATAAATTTTGAGAAAATGTATTTTAAAAACATATTAACTTGCACACGACGTTAAACAAGGTAATGATGTGTTTCACAAGAAAGTCACCCCAAAATGAGAAAAACAAAAACTCGAGCAGAGCTTAGATTTGGTGGTAAAAATATGAATCTGCAGGTTTCTTGTCTCCACCAACAGCAGATCCTCCTCCAAATCCAATGGTCTGAGTCACACCAGAAACAAGATTAGTAACCATGGAGGAGCCCCATGAGACCCACCCGTTTTCATCTCCATGCCGCTCAGCTTCAACACCGATCCTCTGCTGCTCCTCCGCCATAATCACAGCCCATCTCTTCCTCATAAACTCTATCACCGCTTCGGCTCCTTGTTTAGCCACTTCTTGAGACGGTATCTCAAGCGGGTTCTGGTCCAAGTTCAGTTTCTCCAGCTTCTTCAACCTATAAAACGAGTCTGGTATCGCTTGGATCTGGTTGTTGCTTAGATCAAGCTCCCTCAAGTTGATAAGATCGGTGATTGAGTCGGGGACAGTCATCAAGTTGTTGAAATTGCTGCTTAGGTTTAGAAACTCGAGTCTCGTTAATCTCCCGAAGGAATTTGGAATGCCGTGGATCTCGTTCATGTGCGCGTCAAGGTACTTTAGAGAACGCATTTCGATGATCGAAGTTGGAAAGTAACGGATCTTGTTCAGGTGGATCGATAATCTCTCGAGGTTCTGTAGTCCGTATCCGATGTTTGTAGGTAATGAAGCCAAGTTGTTGAAACTTGCGTCTAACTCAACCAGTGACCTAATTTATGGATTCCCAAACAAACATCAGGGCAAAAGTAGAAACAATATTCAGATAGTGAGAAGTGAAGATAAAGAAGCAAACCTGCAGTGTCCGATGCTTTCAGGGAGTGATGTTAGATTGTTGGCAGTCACATTAAGGATCCTAAGGTTAAGTAACATTCCTATAGAGTCAGGAAGAGATTCGAGAGAATTTGAAGAAACATCAAGTTCTTCTAGCTTCTTGAGTTTCGAAATTGCATCAGGTATAAACTGTAAAACGTTTTAAAAACAGAGTTTGAGATGTTGCAGTAATAATCAAAAACAAGAAACATTGCAAATAGATTATCAAGAATCTTGTTTTTAGCTGTTCTTACTCTTTGGTCAATTCTATCAATGCCTCTTTATCTCAAATTAATTATAATAATCGATAAAACAAAATTGGAAAGCTATAAATCAAGATTTTAGTATATACCGTCAAGTCGTTGCAAGAGAGATTCAAGGAAACTAAGCCAACGATTTTGCCAAAAGCTTCAGGGAGAAGCTTAAGTTCTTGGCCGGAGAGATCAATCCTCTCAACGACGCCACCTGATTCCGCCGCCTTGAGCACCGCAACAACCTCCTCGTTCACCTCTTCGCGGCTTCTCAACAGCGATTCAACCGCCGTGGCATAAACCCTAGAAAGCTCCTCCTCTAAATCTTTCAACTGTTTCTCGTAGCTATCGTGCACCTCCTCCAACCGAACAACCCCGGTGTAAATCTCCGCTTCCTTCGCCGCTTCCTCCGGCGAGAGAGATTCCTTCTGAAGAATCTCAGCGATCTTGGACCGAGCAGAGGAAACAGCCAACGGGTCTGGTCGTGATCCGAGAGAGGTCAAGACGGAAAGCGTCTGCGTGATGGTGGTAGGGATGGATTGAGTCAACGAGGAGATGATTTGTTGATCGGAGAGAAGAGGAAAAGAAGGAGCGAGAGTTTGTTGGACCGCTATTGACGGCGGAGCGTGGTGATCGGAGTTGAATTGGTGAAGGACGTAAGAGAGTAATGGGAATTTCTCGAGATCGTGGTCCATGGTTTCGTGATTTTCGTTTGAGCTAATTGAAGATTAGTGAGGTTTAAGTAAAAGATTTTTTTTTTTAAATAAAATCAAGATAAATTCGTAGTTGAATAAGTCCGGACTTAATGTTGAGTTTAATGCTGCCATGTTCTGTGATCACAAACTCTAATGAGTTGAAAAAATGTCCAAGTTGACCAAAGAGGCAAAGAACTTAATATGATTCCTTGTTGATAAAGTCAAGCAGCCATCTTTTGAGAATAATCTCAAAAGTCAAGATCAGTCCGGTCCACTTATAATATAACTGTATGATTCTATTGAATGTTGTTGGCTTATGTAATTAAAGTGGCGAAGTTGAATCGGTTAGTTTACGGTTCAGCAGTTTAACTTCCAACTCTTTTTTTCTTTTTCTTTTTTAAAATCGAAAACTGTGATCCTCTCGTCTCGTTAATGATTCCTTATGACAAAAGCTACGAAGAGCTCGATAGCCTAAATGCCTAATTTTGTGTTATTTTGCCTAACTCCTCTTGTGATAGTGCCTAATCCTTGGTTATACGTCCACCACCTAAATTAAACCTCATTAGCTAAAAATATCTAAGTTGTTCAAAACTCACGTCCCTGTTTTAGGTCATCATCATTACACCCCAATTTAATAGTTTTTCGTTTCTCCACAGTCCAGACCTTCAAATTTGTTTTTGGATATAAAATCGTATATGGTGTCTTCTCCTCTCCCACACTCAAACTAAATCCAATGAATATCATTTTCTGTTCCTTAAAAACCAAGTGTTGTACTTCTCCACACCAGCTGTATTTCGGGACCCATTTTAGTTAATACCGAATCTTATCATCATCATTCATTATCACTTCTTCTTCTTCTTCTTTTTTTCCCCAACATTCCAAATATTTTCTTTTATTTTGTCCTTCTCCTCCATTTCTCAAGCTTATCCCCATTTCGAATTTACTTCCACCAAAAAAAAAAAAACCATATTATAAATTAGAAAAATGTAAACGTCGGGTTATAATATAGAGTATAGACAGATAGATGTACGTGTTTAATTAATGTAAGAAATGATGTTAAAAGTTAAAACACATACCATAAACGAGAAAATCGATCACGCCTTGTCTCGATTTTTTTCAATATATGTAGAAAATTACCTGCAAATCTGACAAAGGTAGATTGTGGATGTCAGTTCAACAGAAATTGAATTTTACCAACTGAATATACAAAACTCTAAAAGCAAGTTTAAAATTAATGCTACAAAAAAAGTGTTATTAAAACCAATTAAAATATGTATATAAAGGAAAAAAAGTGTTCGTTGAAGAAAAATTATATTTTTGGAAGCAAAATAAATAAAGACCAGAATACAAAAAAAAAACAAAAGTGAACGGTGACGGCGCAACATAAAACAGAGTAATGTAACGGAAGAGTAGATAAGGTACGGGTAACACGTGGCGGACAGTTACGACTCAACGAATTCACAAACACCGGTTAACGTCGACGGCAAAAATGTAACCGAGTGATGACGAAGAATAACGTAAAGAAGCTAAAAAAAAAAGTGAGGAAGAAGAAGAATTAAACGAACTCACCCAATTCACCAACACAAAAAGAAAAGCTTTAGGAGGATTTCATTAATGGCGACGGTCATCGTAATAGAGAGAGATCACTTACACCTTCTATTTTTATCTCTCTCTATTTTACATTTATAAACGAAGATTTTTTTTTCTTTATGTATAATCGATTCATCACATTTCATTGCTTTTTTTTCTTTTCTTTCTTTGGTATCTGATTTGGGGAGGCTTGGGGTTATTGCCAGTGATTGCCGTTGTGGACGAGGTAGATATTTCTCGAATTACGGTGGACGTAGCAACCGTAACACGGATTCTTCGCCGTCGTTAGTCTCGGCGGCGACGGAGGTAGCGGTGGTTTCGACAACGACGGGGATCTAGGACTCGATGAAGTGGAGGAAGTGGTGGAAGATGATGACGTTGTGGATGACGGTAACGCTAACGGAGGGGGCGAGACCGTTAATTTTGAGGATTTCGGCGGATTTAGGAAGACTCTAATCTTCATCGGCGACGGCGATGAGGAGGAAAATAGGTCGTACTCTTCGATTAGATTCGCCAGATCTTCATCGGAGGTAACGGAAACGAGCGCGTCGAGATCTTCCGTAGGAAGTTGACACCGGATAGTGACGGTGGATCCGCACATCTCCGCCATCTTCGACGCTAGCTCTGTTACACGCACCACACGCGCGGCTTTAATTTTTCACTCCACAAATCCGATTTCGAAAAACTTTTTCGCAATTCCGCAATTTCAAAAATCTCAAAACCGGAAAATGATCAGACAGAGCGCGAACTAACCGGAAAATGAGACGGATCGAGGAACGGCGAGGACGCGGGTGTGACCGCCGTTGTAACGGAGCTTCCCGTCGGGATAACGAGGTAAAATCTTCCCGCCATAGCTACAGAGAAATTTGATTGCGGAGTTCGTCGGAGATATAACCATAACTAGAGAGAGAAGTGAAGAGAGAGAGAGTGTATAGAAGAAGAAGACTAAAGGATTCTTCTAGTAGGTTTGTCTCTGCAAGCCAAGTGACGAGTAACGTTAAGAGCGTATTTATAGCGATTTATGAAATGGAGCAAAGAAAGGGAAGAGAGATAGCGAAGGGTAGGATCGTCATTTAGTGGACCCATTAAGTTACGTAAGCCATAGTCTTCTTCATTTTTTTTTTCTTTAATGCAAAAGTAGGATAAACCGAAAAAGATGACATTTTCAGATTGAGCCAAACAAAAATTAAGATAACAAGATTTATGATAGGGTTTTTAACTTTTTGTATTGAGTGCTATGTTCTATGAACAGTATAAATAAATTTTGTCTGCGATCTTATATTTCGGTGAACAGTAAAAATGTAATACTATAAGCTAAATTCACATCGAAGGGTGTTCTTCTTTTCTCAAAAAAAGTATGTTATTACTTTTTACCTAGAAATTTAATGTATTCGACCATAGTAATTAAGTTCAAATTCACACCAAATTATGTTCTTCTTTTGTCAATGTATGTGAAAAAGTACTACTGTATGTTATTATTACTTTACATTTTGAAATTTAATGAATTTGGGACCATAATAATTTTCTTTTTTTTTGTAGTCAATATATGATGACACAGAGAAAGTAATTAAATCAGTTGGGAATTTTATTAAATCTGATAACTATCTGAAGTGTTGTAAGATTAATTTTTTATATTTCACCTATCAAAAATCTCATTATAAATAGATCAATGAAAGGTACATATCTAATATTTATAATGAATTACAAGTAATTGTTAATAGATTACCAAGGAGAAAGAAAAGGTTGAATGGTATTTTTGATGATATTAAAAGTGATTTTAGAAAACATAAGTCAAACTTTTGTAAACTAGATTGCTATATTTTCAAGTATTCAAAAAAAAAACTCTTCTTCGAATGGCCGATATTGATCAACTATCAAGAAAAGCAGTCACCGTACTTTACATTAACAGTGATTAAAGTTTGAGGTTAAACTGCAAGACGGTTTTTAGATGGCCATTAGAGGTAAGAGTCGTAAGCGAAAGACTAGTCGAGAAATAATAAGACTAATGGACCGCCTTAATTATAAGCAATTTTAGATTGACTAGTAAGTGTTTAGAAATTACGGAAAACGAAATCAGTAGACGGGTTATCATAAATATTAAATAGAGGTGGACATTTTAACCAAACCCAAATCAAACCATATTCCACGCACAAGGATTGAAAATTATGATCATTTGAAACTATATTAGCATTATAAGAAAATAGAAACCTAATTGCTAAACAATAGTATGTTGGAATATAATATAAACAATGACATGCGAATAAATCATGTTCAAAGGTGGACGATATTTAGGATTCGGTTTAGTTAGTTTGGGTTTTGATAAAACTTAGCTGAACTTTAACCAAATCTTATGTTAATTTGGAATCAGTTTGATTCGAATTTAGTTATGTTTGGTTCGACGAAATGCCACTTATATGGCGTCGAAGTTCAAACTAGTGGACATTGCTCCAAACTGTTGTGAACAAATTTGACAAAGATGGAAATAATATAAAGAGAGCTATTTGGGTCCTACATCACGTGGGCCACATATGGTGTTGGTGGTCCATAGGACTTTGCATGGCCTTGATGCAAAAACCCATCAGGCATTTATGGTAGCCGATAATTTATCTCACCAATTAATAATTTTTGTTATGAAACTTAGTATAATTAGGAACAAAATTATTTCCAATTTATGAAAAATAAAATTTAAGATAGTATAATAATACAGTGTTTAATTCACAATGGTGTACGCTAATCTTCAACTAGATATATAAAAACAATATTAAAGGTGGGATAGCAAAAGAAAAGAGATAAACATAAAAGTGGAAGAACAAATTCAAGGTTACATCAACATTATCCAATGATGTCACGTATACACAGACGCATCAAACAAAATATGATAAAATGAAAAATATAATCGAATATTCTTTCGGAAATATGCTTTTTCCTACAATATATATATATATATATATATGTGTGTGTGTGTGAAAAAAAGAAAACAAAAAAAGATTGGAAATGATAATGATTATCTTGTGTGTGTATACGTGTGTATCAGTATCGCCCCCGATCTCCATGTCCAATTATTCTGAATGGACCTACTTTTTGCAGCGAAATTATAAATATATAAGATCTTTAGTTCTTAATAAATATTGTAAAGTGAATGATATCGTGCTTACCGTGATATAACGATTAGTAGTATCAACTTGTATTATATAAAATACTTATGAACCAATTGCCACGGGAAGCCGTACTCGTATTATTCAAACACTATGTGCATGGAGGTCACGTAATAAATATGTATATATATTATACATACTGTATATTACAATTATTAACAAATTTGGGATTTGTTCTCCCTACACATTTCTGATCTGATCATGTCATCGTTTCAATGCAGCGTCGTTTCGACGTTTCCCACCCACAACGGAAGACCGAAATGCGTGTCCGGTCGAAATCATCCGACGGAAATTACATTAGAATACTATTCACGGCTGCCGAAAAACGGTGTATAGTTCATTTTCCAGCGCTCGAACCGTTCTTCATAATTTACTAATATCGAGCAAAACTATCACATATTCCATCAGATATATATTTGTGAGAAATTCTTCGTTCTGCCTTCGTTCAATCCTTTGAAAAACCGCGATACTGAATAATTAATGGTTATTTGTGAGAAATTATGAAAAAATATGTCAAGGTATGAAAGTCATAAGTAAAACGATAATTATTTAATAACACAAATTATATAGTAAACTTTAAAAAGTAATCTAGATTTTTATAAACTAATATATAATAATCTAAACTTTAAAGTTTAAATCATTCATCTTTAGACTTGAATCATGTTATCGTCTGACTGCTGTATTTCAAAATCGCAAACTCGCATGATAAATAGCTTAAAAGCAATACCGATATAAGTTGATAATACGTAACTACATAAGAGAAAATAAAGTTTTATTCACATGATCGACTTGAAAATAGTTTTGTTATTCAATAATTTTCGAACTTATTCATTTTCTATGCAATTTTAGTTGTTAAAATTTGGGGGAAAAAATATAATAAAACGATAGGGCTTATCAAAACATTTCTCATTCGTTTCGCATAATCCAGGGAATTCGTTTTAAAGGTACAAGAAAATCGAAATTTTATTTTTCTGCAAATTCATTGGAGAGAATTTGACAAAAGGACAAAGCGACACGTATGGTATGAATAGAGAGATATTGACGAGTTGTTATTTCTGCGGCAGACACGCAAAGCGCCATTGCTTCTCCCATTGAAGAGGATAAGCCCATCTCATAATCATAAATGTTGGATCTACTTACACATAAAAATGTAACATTCATGCGATGTTTTATAAAAAAAAAATATTTTAGATTATAAAAGCATCTCATGCATAGTCATACATTGGTGGACTGTGAATGTGTAATGTGGGACCAGTATGACCCACAAGGTGACTAGGACAACGAGAGAGGTATTGAGCAAGTTGGATGGAGTTTGCAAATACAAGGCAAGTGTCCATTTGGCTTGGCACGACTGACACGTGTATCCACCGAGGCAACCCCGTTTTAGGGTGTTTTAGTTGGTCCTTGCTATTTTGGTAAAACGTAATTCTTACTTCTTTCGTCTTACGGTTATGTGTGGGGAATCTTTGGATCAGTTTTTGATAAAGTACATATTGCTGTTGCTTTCTCCGTGGGAGAAGATCTAATAAAGAAAAAAAATTGTAATTGCCTGATATGATTAATTGATAACAACAACTGTAAAATATGGTTAACACGCATGCATATTGATTAGTAAATGGTCCAACCGAAAATAACTTTTTTCTTTAACGGTGTGCCATCGTTTCGTAGTAGTTAGTTGACATACTAAACTAGAATACAACATTTATTTACAAGTTGTTTGACTAAGAATATCGAACTATCGAAGATGAATAAGAAAGTGACTAATTAAGTCGATCGCGTTTAAGGTTGTGGAAGTTTAATGCATGTTTACAAGAAGAAGAAAATGAGGTTTCTGTAACAAAATTTGTTTTTATAATATTGTCTCCAAAACAATGATAGTAAAAAATGAAAATATAGTTTTTAAAAAATGGCCCTTATAACGGATAATGTGGGGTAATTCGATCTGCTCCATTTAAATCCATACTTGAAGAGATAAAAATGTGGTTAGTCCCATCATACGCATAAAGACCTCAGAGCCAATCCAATAACCCATACGTACATGATTTCGGAGGCTCATAGCTCTTGATCTAAGGATTAGAGCGAGTGGAGAATTTTTCTTAAACAGGCTCGTTAGGGAAACAAGCCACTTAATAGTTATTATATCCTGGACCATTGCAGATATGAGCTGGATCAGGGCCTCGTTAACTGTCACAACGGCGCTTCGAAGAATCATCATAAGGCATACTATAACGAAATAAATGGGCTTTCAAAGTTTTCAACTACTTTAGCCCAAATTTATTTTAGTAGTACAAAGAGACCAAACTATTAACATGCAAGATTTTGATGTTCCTCCCATGAACAAATATCCTCTGCAACATTTGACCAAAATAGTATAGACTATAGAGTTACCATTAACCAGAAATTCATTTTCATGAGCCAACAACGGGGATAAAGTGCTTCTACTCACTGATCCAGTTCTATATTAGTTACAATCCAAAATAATAGAGAAAGCTATCACAAAATTATTGGTCAATACGAGTGGTAAGAATTAGCGGTTACTGTTAGCATATATATACTACACAAAATAGCGATTTGAAATGATTTTGATAGAAATATCAAAAACCATAGCGTGTTGATAGCTAGAATCGGTCCTAACTCCGGGCAAACCAAGTTTGAGAACTTCAGATACAGTAAATACTTTTGGGACCACAAATTGTTAGAAGATTGCATTATCTTTCGTTATGTATATAGTATATCTTGTACTACAAGTGGAGGATTCATGGGCCTGTCTGCATGTTGAATAGAAACTACATGATCGTAATAATTTCTGTAATTAAAACTTAACAACAAAAATCGAGTGATTGAACAATGTTTGACATTTTTATCGTACACATATTCTTTTTGTGTAGAGGAAATGAAGAGCGACATGCAGTATGGATAACCTTTAAAATCTGTTGTATTTTACAGTTTTTTCCAAAAACAAATTAATTGGTCATGTTTTACAAATTATAAAATTATAAAACACACTGTTACTGATTATATGTTCTCCTCATATCTTCTCTCTCTCTCACATACACACACACACATTTAAGTGGCCCTATTCTAAATTGTCGCGTTGTGAGTGTAGGGGCCTAACTTCGTAAGAAATTAAATGTAGAAAATCCTGAAAAATGATTACGTTTATTGGGTAGAGGAAGAGACAGAGAGACGTGGACGTAGTTGGTCGGAGAATGACGGGGGAACGTGAAGGTGCCGACCAAACTTAAATATGTGATCTCTATGAATTACAATTTTGAACTTGCTCCCAAAGTCCAAACCGACCAAGCCATCCCAACTTCTAAATATTCAAAATGTAAAAGACTATACATATGGCGGCCTTTAAAAATATATATGATCATACAAAAATATATATATATATATATATTTATGAGTGTATCTGTAATTATGTGGTAGTACATGCACGGATATGAATCCGTTCATCGATGAGAGGATTGAATATAAAATATATTTTGTACGTAATAAGTGCTTTTATGTTCGAATAAATTCACAACAACAAATTGTCGATGTGGTTACAATCAATCTAAGTCTGGAGGATTAATTTCCAAGATGGGATTGCGCATCATCTAACTCCATCTTCAAGAAGAAAATTGGAACTACAACAATTTGAATGTTCCTTAGTTACTTATTATATTTAACTTTAAAGGTTGTTTGAAACATAATTCTACAATTATATAACAGACACAGATATCAAAATAAACTTTGGTCACAAATTTTATCAAACGAAAAAAACATTGTAGGTCCAATCCAAACATATAAGAATTGTTATTACATAGTTATGTTTTTGTCTGAAACAAATTTGAAGTAATAAGACAACACAAATTGGCTGGGATGCACCCAAATAAAAATCAGCCATGTGCCACACTGATGTACTTCTTCTTAGTCAGAACAGCTCTCAGTCAATTAGTGTTTTGCACTTCATTTCACCATTACATGAAACCAAATGTTTACTGTATTACTTATTTTTTACTCTTATGATGTAAACAGAGCGTTTATCATCAAGAAAACCAAAAATTTAAGAATAATATTCAAAAGTTAGGAGATAACTGATTTCAAGATTTCTTTTAAGATGTTACTTGTTCGTTTCACAAATGTTATTTTTGGGGTTCTTGGTTTTTCTTTTTACAGCTTATTGTTTTAAAAAATTGCCATCAATAGGGAGGCATATGATATAGATTTATATGGAAAGAACAAAAGAGGAAGGTAGGAGAAATTAAGTAATTGTGTGGTGTACGAATGGTCCAACTTTGCACATGGTAATTCGCACATCGTATATATGAAATGAATCTGCATGTGTATAATCTATTGTCTTTAATTCTTTGATCGTGGTTTGGTAAGCCTATTATATAGCTAGCTGATTGTGTTAGTTATAGTATATATCTTCGCACATTTTCACGTTCATGCTATCTAGATCAAGCTGTATATCAATATATTAAAAGAAAATAAATGATCAGTGTATTTTATTTGTATGAAATTTGGACGGCTAAACGTTTATCTCGGATGTATACGTCATTTTTGGTCTATATTACTACTATAACTTATCTAGATGTGTTTAATCGGTTTGTGCAGCTTTGGTTTGGTCTAATCGTCTAGAGGTAGTAGATGGTTCGTGTCCACTCGTTTCACGAACTTTCTATCCATTTACCCCACAAGATTTTGCGAATCTATTATCGACCCATCTAGTTTCTATTCACGTTTCGAATGCAAACAAAATGAAATTAAAATGGCGAAAATGTCCCCACATATTCCCGCCGGAATGTTGGAAAAAAGAATTCGAAAGACGTAAATAATAAATGGTGATTGGATTGGTCGTCATGGACCAATCAAAACACGTCGTTGGGAGCCAATCCTTTTTTTTTCCGCTAAAATAAAAACGCCAAAATTGATAAATTTGAAAAAATTTAAAGCTCATGAGTTGTATTTTCTGATGTCTATTTTCGAACAACAGTGCTTTTTTCTGAAGTGAATTATTAGACTATAAATAGTGACCACCTTTTTGCTGAATTGGTGGAATTTTTAAGATGAATTTGAAACGCATACGCTTTAAACATAAACTAAAGAAATTTTCAGTTTTCAATAGAAGAAAAAAAAAAAAAAAAACAACACAATTTAGAAGCATAATTCACATTCCCTGGTTTTCTCATTCTTAGTAATTAATACAATTGCACAAAAGCCTTCCAGGTAAATTATAACAACAAACCCAAATACAACATTAACCAAACATACAAAGATTCATCTAAAAAAGAAAGATCCAAACGGCCACATAGAAACCCAATTACGATGCGAAATACAAAGAAATCAAATCACAACATTGAATTTTTTTGTTTGGCGTCTTCAATAATCAGTGGTGGGCAGTTGCTCGTGGCCGTTTCCGTTTATGAAAACAAACTCGTAGATGAGTCCGGCGAGTCCACCACCGACAAGAGGACCAGCCCAGTAAACCCAGTGGTTGGTCCACGTCCAGCTCACGACGGCTGGTCCGAAAGCTACGGCTGGGTTCATGGAGGCTCCGCTGAAAACTCCTCCGGCGAGGATGTTAGCTCCGACGATGAAACCAATGGCGATTGGTGCGATTGTTCCGAGACTGCCGTTCTTTGGGTCGATGGCGGTTGCGTAGACGGTGTATACGAGTCCGAAGGTCATCACGATCTCGAAGACGAATGCGTTCAAGGATCCAACTCCGGCACCGAGACCGAAGGCTGGAACCGGCTGAAAAATTAAATTTGAAAAAAGGTTTAGTTACTTGCCGGAGAAGTTAAATGAAAAGCGTGATTTTAGTTGGAATATTCATTATTGATACTGGACACCATCATAACGCAAACCGAAAAAAAAAAAAAATTGGTCGAAATTAAGTTTTCATTGTAGCTTGATTGTTTTGTTAAAACACATTTTTACCAAGAAATCAAACATGAACAATAAAACCAAAACCAAAATCTACCAAATCGATTCATATTTGAATAAAAATATCAGCTAGTAGTCTTTTAAAACCAAATTAAGTTAAATACCATTAGAATGTTTTTACTTTCCAAATTTGTAACTAACCACGAAACAGAAAACCAAACACGTTAACTTAATTCGATTATAGGTTTAGTGACTGATTTCCTGAAACCAAAGCAATTAAACCCATTTAGTAAGGCATAAAGTAAATGACGTTACCAAGCCACCGGTGGAGAATGAAAGGAGGAAACAAGCCACGACGGAGCCAAGAAGCTGAGCGATCCAGTAGAGGATACCACGGAGGAGAGTGATGTTACCACCGAGGAAGGCACCGAAGGTAACGGCGGGGTTGACGTGGCCACCGGAGATGTTAGCACCAACCGAAACAGCGACGAAGAGACCGAAAGCATGAGCTAAGGCAGCGGCGACAAGGCCTGAAGGAGTGGTGGCTCCATTGTCAGTGAGCTTGTTGAAAGCAATTCCGGATCCTGAGCCGGCGAAGACGAAGATCAAGGTGGAGATAAACTCAGCAAGCGCCGCCCTAAGTGCGCTTGGGTGAGTCACTTCTTCTTGGACTCCGCCGATGGCGATGTTTCTGATCGGCATGATCGGAGAGATTTAGTTGGTTTGAGGTTAAAACGTTTTAAGAGTTTTCTGTGTAGTGATTGGTTTGTCTTTCTGTTGTGTGTTTAGGTATATATATAGCCTAGTGTGTTTATAACCAAGGGTATTATAACAATTCCATTTCTTGTCATATAAACAGATTTTAATTTATTTTGCCGTCTACAACTCACGCATGGATATTAAATTTGGACATGGATTATGACACCGTAGCGATACGAATACAAACCATTAGGTGGTTATAAATCCGAACATACTAAACATGTTGAATTGTCTGTCATAGTTTCATAACTTACTAATTAGGTTGTCTATTCTAAAAAAGTCGGGTATTTCTCTCGCATAATGTACATTACCCATTTACAATTATATATATATATATATATATATATATATCGATAAAGAAAATAATGAAATAGATGATTTTTTATTCTTTGAAGATAGATTTTCTGAATTATATTATTTTGCTATATACTAAAAGAAAAATATACATGCTCTCTCGGCAAACAGTAAATTGTTTAGTTAAAAGTAAATAATTGTGTAAATGACTGGCTAAAGTTCTTCCTGTTAAGCAATAAAAGAAAAATTAATTGGAGCGAGCGGGTTGCAAGTACGGTCGAACCAGACCAAAAAACCGGTTTGTTATCGAACCGCGACGATTAGGGACAGTCAATGAAGGGAGAAGGTCACATGGTGGGGTCTACTTTGATCACGTGTCGGTCGGTTTATAGCGAGATAAGGTTAGTGAATGGGATACAGCTGGCTCTGTCACTGACCAATCACAAGTGCCAGCCTGTCCTTACCCGCTTCCACTTTTTAGACCTTACTTTCCTTGATTTTCCCATGTTTTTTCATTTTTGCCCCATATTCTTTATCTTTTGAATTCTCCATCCAATTTTTTTCAAATACTTTCTTGATTTTTTTTTTTTTTTGGTAAAATGTTCTCACTCTTCTTATTTTAACTAAATATATAGTTTGACAAAGAAATCATTTTTCAAATCACAAATTGAACAAATAAATGATAATAGAAGCCGTAAAAAAATGATGTTTTATAGATTCTATTTCATCTTGGTTTCAGCTCTTTGATAATCTGATTCGTCAGCGAGCGTTACATTTTTTTTTTGCATTTTATCTGCAAAGCGTTACATTTTCTTTCGTATTATTTTTTCATAAGAAAAATGAAAATTAAAAATTTCAGAGATTTTTTAGCATCGGACAACTAGTGTTAAGAAACCAAAACATTATTATTCACTATTGTCAAATCAAACTAATTATTATACAAGAACGCAATAATGGGCGGGCCGGTGAAGCTTTTTTCTCCATTATCGCCGGCCTGACACAATGGCCGGTGGCGATTTTAGACCTCTTAATTAACTCATATATTATATATGCTCCAATTTCATTAAAATTTTCAAAGTTGTTTAGACAGCCAGTTATTACATGCATCGTTTAAAAATTCGAGTGGTTTTGAGGGATGGAAACAAATTGCTCTTTATTAGCTGATAAAATCATAAAACTAACCTATATATATTCTATTATTGTTTTGGACGAACCTGCATATTCTTTTTCTTATAAAAATTTCGAGTGAGAAAGCAATCACGTGTACCGTAAACACATGCCCTTTTTGCTACAAAAAAATTAAAAAACCATATGCCTTTATTGTTTTGTAAAAAAGGTTAAATATAGTTGCTATACGATTTAAAAATGATATTGTATTATATAGTATATCAATCATAGATAAAAACTTATCTGTACGATACGAGATAAAAAAAAAACTGTGAAATTTGTGAAACTTATTTAGAACATCTCAAAATGGAAGATACATTACAAACAGTAATTTACCAACAAAAAATAAATATATTGTCATATATGTTAAACTACAAGCCTCCATAAAATAATACTGTCATATTGCAATGATTACAGAATTTTGTTATATGAATTGGACAAATAATTGTGTCACCTTTAATCATATCATTTCTTAGCCGAAGCATTTGCTAGAAAGAAAAACATATACACAGACGAATAAAAAAAAAGTGATTGAATGATCAGAATAAGGCCAAAATAATACTGACCACTACGTCAAAAAATTGAGAAGGAGAATATGCTTTTAGGATATGAGGCTAACCAGACTTACGCTTTCATAATTAATCAAGGATAACAAACAAACAGATTAGGTAAAGTATAAAGATAATGAGAGCATCTAATCATTTTTATGAACTTTTAATATATACTTCCTACAGCACTAAACAAGAACAAAAAAAAAAATGTCACTGTCGCGTATACGTGCACCATGTGTAAGTGTATTTTTGGATTCTTTAAAGTTTTAGATAGGGTTTTATTTTATTTTTACTTGCCCAAAAAAAAGATAGGGTTTTATTTATTATCGATATACAAGCCAAGGGAAATGGTGTTGAAGTGCTCTTCTCATGGACTCATGGTTAGTTTAAATCACTTGTTGGAGTTGTTAAATATATGATTTCTGATAAGTAATTGATTTTGTTTTTAGTTTGAACAAATTGGTATCCATGGTATATATATATATATATATATACATAGGTATAGAAATGATTTAAATGAACATAATGATGTAATGGACTGCAACAATCTAACAAACAAAATCATTCATTTATACTATTTAATACAATGAAATTATAAATCAACAATTAAGATCATATATACAGATTTAATACGATATCACGTATAGGAGAGCAATGATTGGTTATTGAACGTTTTTTAAAAAATGGTTATTAAAGATATAATTTTTGTTTTCATCAAAATATATAATCTTATGTTCAGCTCGTCCAACGTAATATTTTGAGTAATATCCTACCTTATATGTTATCCATTTTTTCTGTCATTAAATCCATCTTATAGAAGAAATAAGAATAAGCCAAATAATTGACAACGGAGATTAGGATACTACCAAGTACCAAAAAGATAACGTTTTATATTTTATACGTAGTGGACAAAGAATTGAGATTAGAATACTAAGAATGACTTGGTATAGGGATCAACAATAGGACTATTATATAAATAGCATTAGTCCAAAAGAAATGGTTAGTATGTAAATGTCACTTCGCATTTTAAAATCATAACCGGCGATGACTAATCTTCATATTTAATGTTTTTTTTTGTTAAAGGGCCTAATCTACATAATTAATCCTTTATAATTTTATATGCCAAAGTGTTATCCTCTTTCTAATCATTGAATAATAATAATATAATTTCTTCTTGTATTCGTCCCAAGACATGTGGTTTTTTTATGTAACATCTCGGGGTTCTCCGATCAGGGACCACGTCTATTATTTCGTTTTCTGTCTATGAATTACTTCGGTTTATATATTTCGTCAAGTTACTGATTTGTTTTTGATAATTTCGCTACATGCGTTAATTAATTGATTTTATATGATTTTGTAATTGATAATCTATATTTCTCATACAATGACGACCATCTGTACAGTCTTCTCAATTGAAATTTTATATACATGTATCAAATGGATGTAAAAGCTTAAAGTGATTTATGTAAATTTATGTGTGAATAAGTGCAACTCTCCTGCGCCAATGGCTTTGATCCCCGTTTCTCTTCATGGTCTTCGAAAGACGCCGGATTTGTCTGTAATCCATCTAAATGCATGTGCTCCGATCTAACTGCAGGACACAACCTCTTTGTTTAAGATTCATAAAACGGTGGCTGCAGGTGATGATCGTTCATGAAGCCGTTTCGCAGCCCATGCTTCTAACTTTTTCCAGCCGTGACTTTGGCAAGCATCGTATACTCTTGTCAACATTTGGATAGTTGGATCAAAAGGCATCAACAGGAGAAACTCTTCAAGCTTATGCAAGCATCCATACTTGCAGTAGAGTTCGAACATACAATCATAATGCTCAACCTGCGGTAATATAAGATACTTGGTGCTCATAGAGCTGAAATACTGAAAACCGAGTTCCACATGGCCTTCGCGTATGCAAGCATGTAAGATTCCCAGAAACGTGACATGGTCAGGCTTAACCCCTTCATCTTCCATAAGCATGAACAACTCAAACACCTCTTTGCTTCTCCCATTACGACAGCATCCACGGATGATAGAGTTCCATAGGATCAAGTCCCGTGTACCTGCCTCGTCGAACACTTCGATAGCATAGTCTAAGCATCGGCATTTGGAATACATGTCAACCATAGCACCACGTATAACAATGTCGACTTCATACCCGTTTCTGATCAAGAACCCGTGCGTTGCTTTGCCTAACCTAAGAGCAGGAATGTTTGCACAACCTGCCAAGAGCGTCGCGAGTGTGTATTTGCTAGGTTTTGCCTCGAGTTGCATCCCTTCGAAGAAAGAAATCGCATGTTCGCTCCGCCCAAGTTGAGCTAAACCATTCAACAGAGCATTCCATGAAACCTCATCCCTTAGCTCACTCATTTGACGGAACAGAGTATTGGCGCTCCCAAAGGTACCACATTTTCCATACATACCAAGAAGTGCATTGGCTACAATCACATTCGTATCGTACCCATGCCGGTAGATAAAACCATGAGCTTGCTTCCCCATTTGAACATCTGAAACACCCGAGCAGACGTTTAGAATCCACACAAGAGTGACGTTATCAATATCTTCCACCTCCTTACGCATCAAAGCGAGAAAATCCAGCGCCTCCTCCCATTCGTTAGCGCGTACATATCCTCCCAGCATGGCGTTCCACGAGACTATATTCCGCTCAGGCATCAGATCAAAGAGTTCCCTTGCATCTCTAGTTATACCGTTCATCGCATACCCTGACATAGCTGAAGTCCAGGATTTCAAATCTTTAGACTCGGTTTGATCAAATACTCTACGAGCACTCTCCAATCTACCACATTTCACATACATATCAAAGATAGAAGTAGAAACAATTGTGTCCGGCACAAAACTAAGTTTTACAGCAATCCCGTGGATTAACGTTCCCACCTCAAGGTCCATGGTTCTTGAACAAGCCAAGACTGCACTAGAAACGGTGTGAATCAAAGGTCGAACATTTAACTCTAGCATCTTGAAGAACATCCCCACAGCGTCATCATTAGAACCCATCTCAAGATACCGCCTCACAATCACATTCCATGAGACATCACTTGGGTGCTTAATCTCATCAAACACTCTCCTCGCATCACTCATATCCCGACACTTGCCGTAAACATCAACGAACGAAGTCTCCAAATCAACATTCCCAGAAAACCCATGCTTTATCACAGCGCAATGAAGCTGCCTCAGCAATCTCAAGTCTAATATCAAACCGCATGACTTTAGAACGCCGGCAAAAGAAGTCTCCGTCGCTCGTATCCCATCTCTATTCATCCTACGGAAGGTACGAAACACCTCATCGTGAACTTTGTTCTGCGCACAAGCGGTGATCAAAGCGTTCCATGACCCACCATCTCGTTCGGGCATTTGCTCAAACAGCTCTCGGGCATCATTCACGCACCCGATTTTACCGTAGGTTTCGATTGCTCTGTTCAAGAGGACAATCGGGGGCAGAGGAGAGAAAGTCACCAAGTGTGATACGACTTTACGGGTTTGCACAGCAAGTGATGCCGACGAACATGAACGGAGAAGGAGCTTGTATAGCCAGTATGAAACTGGCTCTAGAGAGACGAAGAGAACAGAGACGGCTTTCGAGACGTTACCGCCTTCGAGTTGCTCGAGAACTTGTTGGGTCACTGAGGTCTTGCGTACGCGCTTGTGGGTTTTGTCGTCTCTTAAACGACGGCCGAAAGCAGAAGAAAATCTTCCGGTCACTGTCATGTGTTTGTTAATCGAATGTTTCCGTTGATGGAGAAAGACGAAATCTTCTAGGGTCTTTTAGCTCCAAACCGATCGGTTTACTAGTTCTGAACCCAACTGCTAACCGGAAATAGTTATTAAAAGCTGCTGATCGTTTTCACTTTTCATCTACAAAACCGAATCCAAACCAAATTGGCCAAACTTGAGTTCGGTGTTTTTGCTTTCGAACAACCCAACTACGGACCGTGTGATTCAATGGTCTGTAAATATAAACTATACTTTTACATAATAATGCCAAGTGATTCATAGTTGAGTTGTTCGATCGCAAAAACAAAATTTACAACTTCTTAATACGGTATCAAGGAAATGAAAAAAAAATTATTGACTTATCTAATGACTAGTCACAGAAATGCGAATCAGAGAACTTTCAAGATAGTGAACAGATACATAACATCTACTAGTAATAGCTCGAGAAATATGAAAAGAAAACATAACGATGCAGCTGAAATCGATCGCTAATCAAAGATCATTCTGTTCGTTTATAGCTTTTTGAATACAAAAGAAAGGTACAAAAGAGTACATTTGAGGATTTTGCGTAATAAACGAAAGTAAGAGGAAGAATAAATCTGTGAAGTATCTCTCTCTCAAGCACGTCTTTTGCTGAGACGCCAAGAGTTAGGCTCGTGGTAACGATCATACAGAGGCTCGATCCGTTCCTGGCGCTTACGCTTGCTCATCTTGGTCGGATCAGCGACTTTGAAGAACCTTGGAGCCAACTCAACGAGCCACTTGGGGTCAATCACAGTCACTTCTCTCATGTACTCTTTGGTCGTCATCACAAGATCATGGTATATCACCCAATCCGGTTGTCTCTGGAACAAAGCGCTGCTCGGGTGAATGTAAACCGGTTGGTTCTCCACTAGCGTCCTGTAGCCTTCTTGCGGATCTTTTCTCGCTCCGTGGAAGAAGAACCCTGCCGTGATTGCTTTCCTTATCTTTGTGAAGTTCTTTCCCGCGCTTACCACATCAAGTTTATACCTTCAAAAAGTATCACACGTTAGGATACTCTACTTTTCATATATAAACAAACTTAATGTCGATTCTATAGTTTGGTTTAGTTACTTACTTGTCCATAATGCTGAGAAGTTGTTTCCTCACGTCTTGAGCACGCCGTAACGATCGTGACTGAATGAAGTTCTCGAAACACCATGGACCTGAGAAGTTCTTAGCCTTCCAAGCTTCATATACAGCAAGCAATGTCAAGTGATCACCTTCAGGCTGGAAAAATTTGGCTCTTTTTTGGTCTGCTTGAGCTTGCTTCTCCCTCGGTCGATAGAATATGTTGCCCGTCTGGATCATAGCAATCATTGTTAATATCTCATCGCTGCACCCGAGATCCACACTCGCTAGCAACATCTTTGAGAGCGGCGGTTCAAGAGGAAACTCCGCCATTTTTCTACCTAGCTTTGTCAACAACCCTTCCTCATCCAAAGCCCCCAAGCTGTACAGCTGTTCCATAGCAGATATCAACGCCTGCGGTTGAGGTGGATCCATGAAATCAAACGATAACAGGTCGTTAATCCCCATTGCTTTCATTGTCAGCGTTGTCATCCCGAGATTGATCCTCTGGATTTCAGGGATTGATGTAGGAGGCATCTCGTTACGGTATGCGCTCTCGGTGTAGAGACGGTAGCATTTCCCAGGACCAGTACGACCAGCACGTCCAGCTCTCTGCTTCGCAGACGCCTGTGAGATTGGAGTTATGACCAGAGATTCTAGCCCTTGCTTTGGATTATACACGTTCTGCTTTGCGAACCCGGGATCAACAACATAGTATATCCCATCTATTGTCAAGGAGGCTTCTGCAATATTTGTAGCTACAACCACTTTCCGCTTACCAGGAGGGGGAGGATCGAATATTCTAGACTGCATTTCACTAGGAAGGGCACTGTAAACCGGAAGAATAATAAGTTCAGGAACCTTTTGACCTAGATTTTTCATTCTCTCGTATAGAGACTGGCATGCAGAATCGATTTCTTCTTGTCCCGTCAAGAAGAGAAGAATGTCTCCCTCGGGTTCAGTCAAGTGAATCTGAAGAACTGTGATCAGAGCTGCATCCAAGTAATCAGACTCCGGCTGTTTTGTATACAGTATCTCAACAGGGAAGGTTCTTCCAGGAATTGTGAAAATGTTACAATTGAAGAAATAGCCAGAGAACTTCTCAGCATCCAATGTGGCGGACGTGACTATCAGACGGAGGTCAAGCCTGCGTTTCAGCAGCTTCTTTAGAAGACCAAACAGCACATCAGTGTGAATCGTCCGCTCGTGAGCTTCATCAAGCATGATAACAGAGTATTGAGAGAGGTTCTCATCTATCAGAATCTCCCTAAGAAGCATACCGTCAGTCATGTACTTGATCACCGTATCTGGTCCAGTACAATCCTCAAACCGAATCGCATACCCTACCTCCTCTCCCAAACGACAACCAAACTCCTCAGCTACTCTCTTGGCGACAGACATTGCAGCGACCCTACGAGGCTGAGTACACCCAATCTTTCCTCTTGTTGTGTAACCTGCTTCGGCAAGATACTGAGTCACCTGTGTTGTCTTCCCAGACCCAGTCTCACCAATAACCACCAAGACTTGATTATCGTGAACAGCTTGTATCAGCTCCTTTTTCAACTTGTATATAGGAAGGCTCTCCCTTTGCTCCTGGATAGAAAGCTTTGATCTCTGCCCAAAAGTCGGCGTTTTCCCAAAAGCATCCTTCTTCCACTCAGGCATGTCATAAGCTGATAACCCCACACCCCTAAGCTCTTGAGCAAGATGCCTTTCACCAGATTCAGGCATAGGATCTTCCCAAGGACGATTCAGATCCTTTGGGATTGAGTCAAGCATTGTTCTTTGCTGCTGTTCCCTCATCTCTCTCCTCTCCTTGGTGAGTGCAGACTGAAGTGCAGCTGCACGACTCAAGGAACCTTCGGGGTTTTTAAAAATCTTAACTGGAGACATGTCAACGGAGTACCTGGTTTGGCCTTGTAAGAAAGCAGGCTCGTCTTCGTTCATCTCAATCTCGAGTTCTTCTTCAGCGCCTTCCTCTTGATAAAGCATCCCCTCTCCGTCCTCATCATAATTCGGAAACTCGTCCATTCTCAAGGCACCAGAGGCAATCAACTGCTTCGCTTCCCATCTCTCAGGGGAGCTCATCTTCTTCAGTGGCCTACGAGAAGGCGCGACATCACTCTCCTCCACAATACGGATTCCAGAAATCCCAGTCTTGGTGACTTGTCCATCCCTTGTTCTATACGACGGGTTACTCCTGGATGAATCATCATCAGAAGGCTTCTTCAGAGGGATCAAGTCTCTGCCAGAGTTCTGATCAACATCTCTCATTGAAAGACTGTATTTATCATTCGAAATAGAGATCACTTTGACGTAAACCTCCATATCACGCTTCACAAAATCTTTTGCCTTCTCAACCCTTCTAGTAGCCATCTGAGAAACATGAACTAGACCTTCTTTTCCTCTAAATCTATCGAACTGAACAAAGCATCCCGAGTCCATTACCCTAGTTACTCTACCTTTGTATACCTGATACAGCTCCGGCTCATTCGTACCGCCGCCACTATCCTCCTCCAAGTGGTCATCCTTGGCACGCCTATCTCTACGCCTGTCACCTCTTCCATCTTCACCTTCATCATCGCCACGGGCTCTCTCTCTATGCCTATCACTTCTTCTTTCTCCACCTGCATCATCTCTTTCTCTATGCCTATCGCTTCTTCTTTCTCTACCTTCATCATCTCCACGGGGTGGTCTTTCTCTATGCCGATCCCTTCTATCATCTCGATCCCGATCCCGGTCCCGATCCCTACCGGATTCTCTTCGGTCCCGGCCCCTATTTCGGTCCTCCTCTCTCTGTCGCTCCCGAGCTTCTCTTTCAATCTCCTCCTCAAGCTCCTTCACTTTATCCTTAGTATCCTTAATCGCCAAGCCTTTGAATTTCCCTCGCTCTCCCTCTTCCACATCCTCTATCTTCTTCTCAGACTTGGGCTGCGGCGGGTAAATCCCGTGGATTACAGTTAACAGCGAGCGAACGAAGTAATCCGGCATCTCCGCGCCGTTCTCCTTAAGCTTCTTATCGAATTCATCGACAGTCTCAGTGTTGCGGCCAATATCGATGATGAACTCAGCCAAATACTTTGGCGACGGCCCTAGATGCGTCTCCAATTCGTTACAGACATTGGATACGAGAGAGAGATGATTCAATTCTTCGAGTTCCTTCTTCTCCATGGCCGAAACCAAAAGATCACACAGAGAATCGAAGAACAACTGATTTTCTGGATATCGATTTCTAGGGTTTGTTTTCCTGCTTTGCTGGTTTATTTTTTACTTTCCTCTAGAGGAAGCCGACTCTTCCGAACGCTGCGTTTTAAACGTGTTTCTGGAAATTTTATTTATCACTTATGATATTTTGGGCAGATGGTTGCATTTTTTGTTGTTTCCTTTAATGTTTTGGATTTGTAAGCCCGATTAACTTTTAAGAGTTGTGTTTATTTTTCCCAAACTCTCCTAACTTGTTGCTGACAACAACAACAACAAAAGACTCTTATAACTTGTTCTGTAATTGACCCAATAAAAAAACTTGTTCTGTCTTTTCAAATTCTGCTTGTAAGCTGCTTCTGTGTTTAAAACAACTTTAGAGTTATTAGGCTTACAAATATTTTACAATAAGATTACTATTTGGCTTATATATTACTCATAACCCAAAAATTATAGAGACATTTGTGAACTAAAACATCTTTAGTGTTCGAATTCTAGTTGTCTCAACACTAATATATGCTGAAAGCCCTTTTTATATTATATAAAAAACATTAATATGTGAGATTTAATTTAAAATGACTGACACGTGAAAAGAAAAAAAAACCCTAGAAATTAAAGATGAAAGTCACCATGGGGAGAAAGTTTTCCTCTCCAAAAGTTCATAATTTTTTTTACTGATTTCATTACTAAATAAAAATGTGGGCTGTTTTTGTGGATCATATATATATATATATATATATATATATTATATTATGAACTTGGTCCATCACAATCTTTCAAGATCGATCTGGAATAATTTAAAAATAATCCAAAACTTGTTAAGACATTAGTTTCGACTTAGATTAAAATTTGGACCGACCTGGTCGACATGCATTTGGCCAACCATATATTTTCATCTGCAACACAGTTGTTGTAGAAAGTAGAAACCAAACTGAATGAAATGACAGATTCGCAAATTTTATAAAAATATCGAACGTATCAAAATTAAAATGGATTCGTGAAGGATTCCCTAAATAGAGAACACTGATCTGAAAAACGTATTATAAGTTTTTCTAACAAAAGAAATTAGCAAGAAAATAATAATTAATGGTAAGAGAAAATGGTGTCACCTAACCAACCAGCCTCACCTAACTTATAAACCACATGTCCAAAAAAAAAAACTTATACCACATGAAGAAATCGAGTTACCCCACGGACACACACTCAAATCTAAAACTGGTATTTCTATATGTAAGAGAATTTTGGTTATACACTGTTTAATAATACACTGTTTATAATTTTATATACATAACTAGATACTTGATTGATCCTATTATGTTCTAAATAAAAAAAATATACGTGAAGGGCATACAAAATCTCAAAAAATTAGAAAATGATCTTTGTATAAATACCATAAAGTATTATATAGTTATTATTTATAAAAGCATTATGAAGTGTGTGTGTGTTTTTTTTTTGGATAAGTAGTATGTGTGAAACCACATCACTAACTTATTAGTTTAAAATTCAAACAAAAATGCAAAATAAAGAGATATTTTTTGTTTTAAAATATTGGATGTTTAAAGTTATTGTACACATATTTAATAACACTATATTACATAAACAAATTCAACCAATGATAAAACAAAAAGCAGAATACACATGTTTATAAACATGTAAATTTGCAATGAAAATTCAAAACTTCAAATAATTTAAAACAATTTTTTCCTAAAACGTCAACTATTTTGAAGAATAAAACATTTTTTTTCATCTTCTTTTACAAGTGGGCATTTGTGAGGCCCAAACCAAAGAGTTTCTATCTCTCTCTCTTCACATTCCTCAACATTCCACAAGAACCACACAAATTCATAACTCTTACGCTAACACAAGATGCATCCAAACTCAATCCTCTCACCTCCACCTCACATTTCCCCGGCGCCACCATCACTAACCCTCTCTCTAGTCTCCTGAAATCAAAAATCCAATATGCAGCACCATTTTCTTCATCTTCAACATCACCATCATCTCCTTCATCATCCATGGCCCATATCCCATCTTTGTAGATTCTCATCTCTCTACTTTCTTCTCATCATCTTCTCTTAATTCCCATACATCTTCTTCGTCTTCTTCCTCTTCTCAGACATGACTCTTCCTTCTCGTTTCTCTTCGGTTAGAGACCACTCGCTTCTACTTAAGACTTCTCATCTCTGCGTACCCAGATCAGCTATCGGTTGTTTCTCTCCCAAGGATTCTCCTTTCTTCAAGAAGAACACTGCCCAATTCCTTTCTCCACAGAAACACACTTCTCTTCCGCTGAAACTCGTCTGCCCTTTAGCCAGCTTCTCTTCTTATGCCGAGGGAGACGAGCAGCACCATGCCGATCAACAGATACAGAAGTCTAACGAACCTTCTGCCAATTCGACCGAATCAGATGGAAAAGGTAATGCGGAGGCTACTGGCGACTTCTCTGGAATGGCTCAAGCCTTTAGCATTTCGTCCAACACAGCGAGGGCAATCTCAATAGTCATCGCCTTCTCTGCTCTCTCCTTGCCACTCTTCATGAAGTCTCTGGGACAAGGACTTGCTCTCAAGACCAAAATCCTCTCCTACGCAACTCTACTCTTCGGTTTCTACATGGCGTGGAACATCGGAGCCAATGATGTGGCCAATGCCATGGGGACTTCTGTTGGATCCGGAGCCCTGACAATCCGGCAAGCTGTGATGACGGCTGCAGTTCTTGAATTCTCAGGTGCCCTTTTGATGGGAACTCACGTGACTAGCACGATGCAGAAAGGGATTCTCATGGCTAATGTGTTCCAAGGGAAAGATATGTTGCTCTTCGCTGGTCTCCTCTCTTCCTTGGCTGCTGCTGGAACTTGGTTACAGGTTCCATCTTATCTTTTTGCTTCTTCCTCACTAGTTTCAGGAGTAGATTTAGTAAAGTTAATACCTTTTTTTTTTAGGATGGTAAACACAAATGATATACAAGTAGAGAACCTAATCACATTGCAGTTCCTGAAAACGATTGTGTCATTATGAATTTCACAGGTGGCTTCTTACTATGGATGGCCAGTATCAACAACTCACTGTATCGTCGGATCAATGGTTGGGTTCGGGCTTGTCTACGGAGGAGCTGGTGCCGTTTTCTGGAGTTCTCTAGCTAAAGTAGCTTCCTCTTGGGTTATCTCTCCTCTAATGGGAGCTCTAGTCTCCTTTCTGGTCTACAAATGCATCAGGAGAGTAAGTTAAACAAATCAATCAAAAGAATCAAACTTTTTGTTACTTGAGTCATGCTTAAGCTTCCTTTTTGTCCTGTGCAGTTTGTTTACAGTGCACCAAACCCGGGACAAGCGGCTGCTGCGGCGGCTCCCGTCGCTGTGTTCGTAGGCGTGGCCAGCATTTCCTCAGCCGCGTTTCCCCTGAGTAAGATCTTCCCAATAGCGATATCACAAGCCTTAGCCTGTGGAGCAGCAGGAGCCATCATCTTTGACAGAATCATCCGGAATAAGCTCGGCCACCTTCTCGCAAAAACCAAATCGCCGGAGACATCGCAGAACCAGCCCAAAAGCATCGGTTTCTTCTCCGATATCACAGGTCCTACAGGTACTCAGCTCGAGATTGTCTACGGAATCTTCGGCTACATGCAAGTCCTCTCCGCCTGCTTTATGTCGTTCGCTCACGGAGGCAACGACGTCTCCAACGCAATCGGGCCTTTAGCCGCCGCACTGAGTATCCTCCAAAGAGGAGCAGCTGCAGGAGCCGGAGAAATCGTGATCCCCATGGACGTTCTCGCCTGGGGAGGATTCGGGATCGTCGCTGGCCTCACGATGTGGGGATACAGAGTGATCGCGACGATCGGGAAGAAGATCACCGAGCTTACACCGACGCGTGGGTTCGCGGCGGAATTCGCCGCCGCGTCGGTGGTTCTGTTTGCTTCGAAGTTAGGGCTTCCGATCTCGGCGACCCATACGCTCGTTGGAGCTGTGATGGGTGTTGGATTCGCGAGAGGGCTTAACAGCGTGAGAGCAGAGACGGTGAGAGAGATCGTTGCTTCGTGGCTAGTCACGATTCCCGTCGGCGCTACACTCGCCGTAATCTACACTTGGATTTTCACCAAGATCTTATCTTTTGTGTTGTGAGTTTCGTTCTGTTTTTATCAGTTTTTTTTTTCTTCTTCTTCTTTTTGGGATCTCTGGTTTTCTGATATGAAGAACACGAAATTGATCTTCTTCTATGTTGGCTTGATTGATTCGAATTTCAAAAACCCTAAAATTATCTCTGGAGATTGTTTCCTGTGATACATTCAATCCGATTATTCACCGATCGGTGAAGTGTGTGTATGATCAAACTTAAAGCTTTCTTTCCTGTTCAGTGTTCGTCCTCCGATCAAACTCGAGTTAGAGTGGGTGTCGTTTAATTTCATTCCTTAAGAACGTCTTGTTGTTTCATTGTTTGTTTAATGGGGCGTTTAGGTGATGTGGTTTTCGTGAGACGCGCGCATCTCTTGCTTTTCGTACACGCGTCTCTGAGAAAGACTGACATGATTTGCTTATTTAATGACGAAAATACCCTTACACGCATCGTGAGTACAGCGATCTCAAATTAATAGTCTGAGGGTACTTTAGTCACTTCATTAATGGTCACCACGAATTAGAGATATCTCTCATCTCTTTTGCTTCTCTGGTTCTACTTCTTCCTCTGCTTGCATTTTGTGCTCCCATCCATGGCGGCGGTTATCGGAAACGTGGCGCTGTTACTCGACGTTAATTCTCATCGTACGGTGGTTACTGATCGGAGGATTCGTTTGGCGGTGGTTGACGTCGTTCTTAATCTACAGAAGAGAGATTCGCACAGTAGTCACGTTCCTTCCTACTACGCGGCTCTCTCATCCAATAAGCCTCTTGAACCGGACGGAGAAGCTCGGATTCGCCGGTTTTTGACTCGCGGAAAGGCGAATTCCAGGGCTAACGCCGTCGATTTCGACGAGGCCGGATCCAGCGACGAGGAGAGCAACGACGGTGGTGACGACAAGGAGACCGAGGAGGAGGAGAAAGCTTACGATGTGGAGAAGGAGAGGAAGAGGAGAGCTAAGGAGTTTCAGGATATGAAGGAGCTCGAGAGGAAAGCGGAGGAGTTGCAGTATAGGATTGAGGAAGAAGGGGAAGATTCAGAGGAGAAGAAGAGGATGAGAGTGAAAAGAGAACTCGAAAAGGTGAGTCTTTCTGCTTACTCACCTCAATGTTGATATCACTGAGACAAACTTCTCAAAATTTTACATTTGTATTAGCTCAAAATTCTCCTGAATGTGAGTTTTTAGGTAAGGAACACTCTTAGATTAGTTTAGTTTAGCTTGATGGAAGCCATGTGAGGTTAAAAGTGGAAGCTTTTCTGAGAAAATGCAATTTTTTTTAAGAGTAGAGATGTGATGATTGAAGAGAATGGTGAGAGCAGGTAGCTCAGGAGCAAGCAGAGAGGAGAGCAACAGCAGAATTGATGTTTGAATTGGGTCAAAAGGCTTACGGTAAAGGAATGTATGGAAGAGCAATAGAGTTTCTTGAAGGAGCTCTTACCATTATCCCAAGGCCAACACTCTTTGGTGGTGAGGTTGGTTCCAAAAAAAAAACACACCGTTTAGGTACTCTTTTGTGTCCTCTGTTTTTGAAAAAAGATGTGATTTTGCTAATGAGATCTCTCTTGCCAGATTCAAATTTGGTTAGCTATGGCATATGAGGCCAATAATCGCCACGCTGATTGCATTGATCTTTATCAGCAACTAGAGAAGAGACACCCGAGTCCTGGTATTCGCCGTCAAGCTTCAGAGCTTAGGTATATCTTGCAAGCTCCTAAGCTCAAGATCTCTCAGGAGGAAATGGTTACTATACCCATGATCGGTTCAAGCTACGACAGGTAAAAACAAAGTAGTGAGAGCTCTATTTGTTCAGTGTCAAAATGTGTCTTTATGGCTTCCTTGAAATGGTGTTTTTGTGTGCACAGCTATGCAGTGACATGGAGTGACAAGGAGAGGGATAAGGACCGGAGAATGAATGAATCTACTACGAATCAGCTCAACGCGAGTCAAGACTTTCTAGGAAAGCTCTTGGTTTGGCGACCACCGATCGGTATGGAGAAGAACCGAGTCTTTTGGCTTTCTTTGACATTGTGGTTCGGTTTAGTCGGAGCAGCACTTTTCCTACAAAGATAAGTGAAAGAAAATGGGAAAAAAAACACTTTCAGTTATGGTTGGTTCCGTTTTATTTCGCTCTCACTTGTCTTGTAATTATATTTGATTACATGTATGAATATGCAAGTATACGAAATCATAATTCATTGTAGATAATGTATTTGACGTCTGGAAATATATATATCACTTTGTTCTGTATTAGTGCTATTGTAATTGTCAATCAGAAAAGTGAGGCAAACGAGTTTTTGAGGAGGTTTAAGGTAAGAGTGGAGAGAAAGGTTAAAGAAAAATTGATTCTCACGTCACGTGTCTTCAAAAGACAAGCATCGGTAGAATCATGTGTCTATTGAAGATTCGCGACGGTTAATAAAGCGTACAAGTTGCTTATTTTATTAACTACTTGTTTCAGGACTCGACTTATTATCACTAATGACCCTTATTAAGTTATTCTTGCTATAACGTGGAACTTCAAGTAAACTATATATATCATGTGGCATATGGGCCATCTCAATCGATATTGTCGAAAAACGAATGCAAAATTTAACTTCATCTTCTATAAAAGAAAGTGCTACCTCTTAATCCCAAACATAATCGAGGATGAGATTCTTGGATTTGATCAATACTATTAAACGTAAATGTATTTTTAGTTTAAGAGTTGCTCTATTTCCGATACTTCTCCTCCCCACTCTCTTATCCTATCATCAGCCATTGCAGCCTACATTACAACACATATCGGTTGCATTAAAAAAGTGTATATATTTATTTTTAATGTTGTTGACTTTTATACCTCTTTGTCCCAATTTGTTTTGCAGATCATCCACGTCAAGACAATTGTCTGAACCACGGTTCCAGTCAACATCCCGCACCAAATTCCCTAATACATCAAAGATTTATCAACATTGATCGGTCTTTTAACTTCTGAACCTTTTTTTTACGGTTTCAAAAGTAGATGATCTATACCCTTTATTAAAAAAAAAAAAAGTAGATGATCAGTAGTTATCAGTTTTTACCTTTACACCAAAGTCGAGCTTGTATCCTAACAATAGACCAAAAGGGATTCCAAACAAGTAATAGCATGCGATGTTAACGTAAGCCACCACTGCTTGCCATCCAGCTCCCACAGCCACACCTGATTATTGCCATTGCAATTGGATTTATTAAATTAGCTTCTTGCATAACCATAGTCTTAATTAATACATATCTTTAGTAGATTACCTGATAAGACAGGTTGCACATTGTTGATGACAATGGAGAGTGCAAGTATTGGTGTGAGTTCTTTAACAAGAATGATGACTTCTTCATCGCGCACAAATAATGATGGATATTGGTTTCCAAAGATGAGTAAAACGGTCGCTACAACGAATCCTATCATCGTCGATGTTATCACTGCCACTAGTAGTGAGAACTTTGCGGTTCTTGGATGGTTTGCTCCTAATTCGTTTGACACTCTCACACTGCACTCGAATGAATATATCATTTCAAGAAACATTGCGTAAATTAGTTATACAAAGGAGGAGAGGTTATAGAACAAAGTTTTGAGTGTTGCACGTGTTTAAAAAAAAAAAAAGACTCGTGTTTAATTTACCTTACGGCTGCGTTCATCCCAATTGCAATCATGGCGGTCCATCCCAAAATATTCATGCTTCATTTTCCATTTCGTTAAAAAAAAAAAAAGTTTAGAGAAACAAATCCAAACGAGAATAATTGTTTTTTACTATACAAGTCTATAAATTTTATATTAATCATATATTGAGCAAGTGGACATATTCGACAGTCGATATTAGTTTTTTATTAGTTAAAATAGAAAAAAAAAGTTACAGACGAAAATGAAATAAAATAATAAAAATAAATACATTAACTAGTAGGGTTTCACTGCCCAAGAAAGCAACGACTAAATTAGTCGGCAACGTACGATTAAGTCTACTATGCCTGCATGGTCTATGCACGATGTATAATTTATAAAATTCCCATAGAATCTTGATTGATTACGATAACTTTTAAAAAAGGAAGAAACTGAACATTATGTTATACATCGTAAGTAGTGACGTTGACTGAGTTAAAAAAAAAAACATATGACGTTGAGTTAACGTGTCTAATTAAAAACTACTAATCAAAATCTGAATCTTTACCAGATGGAGAGTGCGGCGACTGAGACTTCAGCATTCTTCAAATATCCAGCAAATAATATGATTGCCATAAAATACCACACCTCCAAACTTCCAAAGTAAAAAAAAAAATCGAATTAATAACAAAAAATTTAATCAACGAGACGGGTCGTGTGGGTCGGGTATATAGACTCACCAGAGCATAACAGCAGAAGCCAAAGACAGTCTAACGAAACTCCACAAGTTACGAAAAGCTTCCCACGATAATCCAGACCAAGCCTCACCGCACGTGCCACTAAATATGTACACGAGCTGTGCCACGACAATGAACCACCACGAGCCGTTAAGCACGACGGCTAGACCCGCCATGCCCCACTTGAGCCTCTCCATGACAAACCACGTGAGGGGCACGTGGAGAACAAGCGCAGCCGCGGAAATCGCGGCCATGACCATTATCTTGCTTTGAGACTGGAGGAACTTAGCGGTTGGGAAGTTAATGGCGTAAGCGAAGATTTGAGGGATCATGTAGATGGAAAAGATTCCGGCGGCGCTAGATATCGCCGCCGTTTGGCCGATGGATGAGAGGATTGGGGCGGCGAAGATGTAGAGGAGAGAGAGGATAAGAGCGGTCACGTTAAGGATCACCCATGATCGCTGCAGATAAACGCCAAGCATAGACAGTTTCCCTGCTCCAAACGCTTGTCCACATAGTGTTTCCAACGCACTTCCCATTCCAAGCTAGTCAAGTTCATCACAATCAAGAAAAAATATATATGAATTATCAAAACGTGAATTTTTTTTTGTTAAAAACATAGTTACGATTGGTTGATTACAACGAAAAGTTTATATTTTTATACTTTTCCAAATGTCTTCAACTATTGTGTTTATTTTGAATTGGAAAAGATAATAAGTTGGGTGTACCCGAACATACCAATCTTCACCAAATCGGCTGATAAATCAGTCAACATATGAAAAGAAAAAAGTTTTTTTTTTTTCATGGCAGGCGTACATACTAGACGAGTAGACGTCATAACGTCAACATCATATACATTATTAAAAAAAACTAATTTTCACAAAAATAACAAAAATCAAGAAAATTACACAGAAAGAAAAACCTAAAACTAATTTATGTCTGGCTCGATTTATGCACCAGGGTAAAGGAATACCGAATCAAACTAAAATAAAATGTTAGAAGATTTTATTAAATAAAAATGTAAACCGAATTAAACGTTTTGGATGATAAAGGCAACCTCGCAGATGTTAAGGGGTGTAATGTGAGAGAATGTAATCTACCATGATGCCGAAGGAGAAGCCGGCGATGACAGAGTTTTCGACGGAGACGGCGGCGAGAGAGATGGTGCTGATGTGGCCGGCGAAGACCTGAGTAACGGCGCCGAGAGAATATTGGGTCACCGACGTGAAAATGGCGGGACCAGCCAAGTACCATAGTTTTTTGGCCTCCACGTTAAACTCTTTGACAAAGCCAACGGCGGTTGTGATCGGAGAAATATCATCAGTGGATGAGAAGGGAAGAAGGGTCGTCGGGTCGGGTTTTTCCGCCGTAGAGAGAAGCGCATCCGTTAGATTTTTGTCCTTGCCCATCTCCACGAGAGAGAGAGAGAGAGAGAGAGAGAGATTAAAGGAGGTCAATACCAAAGAGTGAGGATCTTGGGATTAATAATTCATGAAATTTATAGAGAATATATGTTGTATGTGTTTTTGATAAAAGTAGTTTTTTTAAAGAAAACCACGGAGTAATCAGTACTATTTAGCAACTAGCATTTCAATAAATTAACTGCCAAATGTAGAAAAATATTGTTCTGTCATCATCAGTGAAATTACAATAAATTATAGGATGAATCCAAAAAAATATTCGGTCATCTTAATAAATGATATCCACTACATTTCATACATAAATGTCATTGAAACTTAATTTTTGTTTCACATATATGTATTATTAATATAAATCTCAATTCTATTTATATTTTCAACTTAGTAATCATAGAGAAAAAATTAGTTACTGTATTAATAAAAGATATAACAGGGTCATAAACAGCTTTTCATTTGGTCAAATAATACTACTTTTAATCTATCATTTTTTTGTCGGCTACTAGGCTATATATATAATCCAACCATTTTGAATAGAAAAAAAAATTAATGTGATGGTGCTTCAAAGTCCATAGATAGCAAGAAAACAAATCTGTTGTTTTGATAAGAAGTTTACTTAAATAATGACTACAAACAAAATTGTTCTTTGAATTGCCATGTTGAACTTGTTGTTGTTGTTAAATTATGGTATATGATTAATTTAAAATCCAGTTAACCAAATAGGTGGCATGTAACGTACAAATGAGGATCTTCGTTGTGATGTGACTGATGTTCTAATACCACTGGTCAAACAATCGGTCTGAATAGTTTAAGAACAAGATATAAGCGACAAATAAAAGTATCTAAAAACAATATCTCAGATGACAAAACTCATCTTATGTCATGGCAAAACCAGGCTAGCTCCAAGGAGAGGACGGCGTCATCTTCACGAGTTATTATGAGCAAATCTCTATTGATTGCATTGAATATATATATTTTTTTTTTGAAAATTGCATTGAACATTTGTTAGTATTGCGTACGCTAATGTCTCCAATTATGAACGAAGTGGTGATAAAGCTTTCACCATGGCTCTTGGCACCCATCGATGTTGTCATTCAAATATATCGAAAAGAAATAAAATAAACTATGGGCTGGAGCAAATGCCTGCTACTTGCAAAACTAAACCCACAAAATCGTTTTTTGTTGTTTTCTTCATGCCCACGAGATATATATATTTGAAAATCAACTGTGAAGGCTATTCAAAAGTCGGAATTAAATAATTGGATCAAGCAATGCCACGCACGCACTGGGTACAAATGATCTACGCGC